TTGACCTTGAAGTATAACCTTGATGAAAATGGTTTTCGATGTGCGGCTAGAACTTTGCACGCGCTACATTTTGGTGCCAAAATTTTGAAAATCGGACAATATTTAGTGGCAGTTTTTCAGTTCCCCGTCCTTTGACCTTGAATTTGACCTTGAAGGTCAAGGTTTAGGGGTGAATGGGTTCGATTTTCGTGATCCTCATGGTCCAATTCACCTTGGACGAGGTTTTGGCTAAAATCGGTGCTCGTCGCTGGAAAAGTCGCTGGTGACGTAGCATTTTTAAAGTTCCCCGTCCTTTGACCTTGAATTTGACCTTGAAGTTTGACCTTGATGAAAATGGTTTTCGATGTGCGGCTAGAACTTTGCACGCGCTACATTTTGGTGCCAAAATTTTGAAGATCGGACAATATCTAGTGGCACTTTTTCAGTTCCCCGTCCTTTGACCTTGAATTTGACCTTGAAGTTTGACCTTGATGAAAATGTTTTTCGATGTGCGGCTAGAACTTTGCACGCGCTACATTTTGGTGCCAAAATTTTGAAGATCGGACAATATCTAGTGGCACTTTTTCAGTTCCCCGTCCTTTGACCTTGAATTTGACCTTGAAGTTTGACCTTGATGAAAATGGTTTTCGATGTGCGGCTAGAACTTTGCACGCGCTACATTTTGCTGCCAAAATTTTGAAGATCGGACAATATCTAGTGGCACTTTTTCAGTTCCCCGTCCTTTGACCTTGAATTTGACCTTGAAGTTTGACCTTGATGAAAATGGTTTTCGATGTGCGGCTAGTACTTTGCACGCGCTACATTTTGGTGCCAAAATTTTGAAGATCGGACAATATTTAGTGGCACTTTTTCAGTTCCCCGTACTTTGACCTTGAATTTGACCTTGAAGTTTGACCTTGATGAAAATGGTTTTCGATGTGCGGCTAGAACTTTGCACACGCTACATTTTGGTGCCAAAATTTTGAAGATCGGACAATATCTAGTGGCACTTTTTCAGTTCCCCGTCCTTTGACCTTGAATTTGACCTTGAAGTTTGACCTTGATGAAAATGGTTTTCGATGTGCGGCTAGAACTTTGCACGCGCTACATTTTGGTGCCAAAATTTTGAAAGTCGGACAATATTTAGTGGCACTTTTTCAGTTCCCCGTCCTTTGACCTTGAATTTGACCTTGAAGTTTGACCTTGATGAAAATGGTTTTCGATGTGCGGCTAGAACTTTGCACGCGCTACATTTTGGTGCCAAAATTTTGAAGATCGGACAATATTTAGTGGCACTTTTTCAGTTCCCCGTCCTTTGACCTTGAATTTGACCTTGAAGTTTGACCTTGATGAAAATGGTTTTCGATGTGCGGCTAGAACTTTGCACGCGCTACATTTTGGTGCCAAAATTTTGAAGATCGGACAATATTTAGTGGCACTTTTTCAGTTCCCCGTCCTTTGACCTTGAGTTTGACCTTGAAGTATGACCTTGATGAAAATGGTTTTCGATGTGCGGCTAGAACTTTGCACGCGCTACATTTTGGTGCCAAAATTTTGAAAATCGGACAATATTTAGTGGCACTTTTTCAGTTCCCCGTCCTTTGACCTTGAATTTGACCTTGCAGTTTGACCTTGATGAAAATGGTTTTCGATGTGCGGCTAGAACTTTGCACGCGCTACATTTTGCTGCCAAAATTTTGAAGATCAGACAATATTTAGTGGCACTTTTTCAGTTCCCCGTCCTTTGACCTTGAATTTGACCTTGAAGTTTGACCTTGATGAAAATGGTTTTCGATGTGCGGCTAGAACTTTGCACGCGCTACATTTTGGTGCCAAAATTTTGAAAATCGGACAATATTTAGTGGCACTTTTTCAGTTCCCCGTCCTTTGACCTTAAATTTGACCTTGAAGGTCAAGGTTTAGGGGTGAATGGGTTCGATTTTCGTGATCCTCATGGTCCAATTGACCTTGGGCGAGGTTTTGGCTAAAATCGGTGCTCGTCGCTGGAAAAGTCGCTGGTGACATAGCATTTTTAAAGTTCCCCGTCCTTTGACCTTGAATTTGACCTTGAAGTTTGACCTTGATGAAAATGGTTTTCGATGTGCGGCTAGAACTTTGCACGTGCTACATTTTGGTGCCAAAATTTTGAAAATCGGACAATATTTAGTGGCACTTTTTCAGTTCCCCGTCCTTTGACCTTGAATTTGACCTTGAAGTTTGACCTTGATGAAAATGGTTTTCGATGTGCGGTTAGAACTTTGCACGCGCTATATTTTGGTGCCAAAATTTTGAAAATCGGACAATATTTAGTGGCACTTTTCAGTTCCCCGTCCTTTGACCTTGAATTTGACCTTGAAGGTCAAGGTTTAGGGGTGAATGGGTTCGATTTTCGTGATCCTCATGGTCCAATTCACCTTGGACGAGGTTTTGGCTAAAATCGGTGCTCGTCGCTGGAAAAGTCGCTGGTGACGTAGCATTTTTAAAGTTCCCCGTCCTTTGACCTTGAATTTGACCTTGAAGTTTGACCTTGATGAAAATGGTTTTCGATGTGCGGCTAGAACTTTGCACGCGCTATATTTTGGTGCCAAAATTTTGAAGATCGGACAATATCTAGTGGCACTTTTTCAGTTCCCCGTCCTTTGACCTTGAATTTGACCTTGAAGTTTGACCTTGATGAAAATGGTATTCGATGTGCGGCTAGAACTTTGCACGCGCTACATTTTGGTGCCAAAATTTTGAAGATCGGACAATATCTAGTGGCACTTTTTCAGTTCCCCGTCCTTTGACCTTGAATTTGACCTTGAAGTTTGACCTTGATGAAAATGGTTTTCGATGTGCGGCTAGAACTTTGCACGCGCTACATTTTGCTGCCAAAATTTTGAAGATCGGACAATATCTAGTGGCACTTTTTCAGTTCCCCGTCCTTTGACCTTGAATTTGACCTTGAAGTTTGACCTTGATGAAAATGGTTTTCGATGTGCGGCTAGTACTTTGCACGCGCTACATTTTGGTGCCAAAATTTTGAAGATCGGACAATATTTAGTGGCACTTTTTCAGTTCCTCGTCCTTTGACCTTGAATTTGACCTTGAAGTTTGGCCTTGATGAAAATGGTTTTCGATGTGCGGCTAGAACTTTGCACGCGCTATATTTTGGTGCCAAAATTTTGAAGATCGGACAATATCTAGTGGCACTTTTTCAGTTCCCCGTCCTTTGACCTTGAATTTGACCTTGAAGTTTGACCTTGATGAAAATGGTTTTCGATGTGCGGCTAGAACTTTGCACGCGCTACATTTTGCTGCCAAAATTTTGAAAGTCGGACAATATTTAGTGGCACTTTTTCAGTTCCCCGTCCTTTGACCTTGAATTTGACCTTGAAGGTCAAGGTTTAGGGGTGAATGGGTTCGATTTTCGTGATCCTCATGGTCCAATTGACCTTGGACGAGGTTTTGGCTAAAATCGATGCTCGTCGCTGGAAAAGTCGCTGGCGACGTCGCCAACTTCACGGACATAATTTTGTCGGGAGTATGTCAAACTCAATACCTACTCATGGACTCATGGATCTGGGACAGCTTGGTACTGGCTATCGCAATCTTAGCCAAACTAAAGTCGAGCACTGCTACTGCCTCCATCCCCGTGGGTTTTGGAACCTCATGAGTCCTGAAGTCCTGGTCGAGCTTTACGGCCAAACTCCGGCGCCCGGAGCTTGCAGAGTGCAGACAGGCGTTCCTATGGGTCGGGGTAGACCGGCTCGCGGCGGGAACGGGGCGGTCTTCAGTAACAAGCCAAATCCTCTGCCACCGTTGCCGGCACGTTGGATAGTGCAATGAAATTATTATCAGAAAAAAAACAACAACCTCGCCTGCCGCCAACCCACCCAGTCGCGAGATAGCTCAACACGCATGCAGCGGTGCGGAAACCCCATCAAAAATAAATTACATTTTCCGCTAGAATGCCGATAATCATAAGCGACGCTGATTCAATTACTTTGCCCTGGTAAGATAAAGATCACTGACGTGATACGCTGAAACACACCGGCCGACGCACAAGACCAACCGGCCCGAGTGTATGAGACACCCCGCTAAACACTCCAATAATTGATAGCCGGTCTCGGAGCGTGAAAACACTGTCGGCTTGTTTAACCCCCGCCCACCAATCACATCCCTCGATTACCGGCGGCGCCACCCGGGCCAGACACGGGGCGCGGGTGCGTCACCCCTGCCATCACCAATCAACGACCCCGTAACAGCGATCGGACCGATATCCGCATCCTATCAGACACCCCTGCCTCACATCAGACACCGGCCGAGCAGTGGCCGGTCCGAGCCGAGAGGTGTCGGTGCCTATCGGCGGTGAATCCGTCCGACAATCACAGCAGGGTGGGGCTGACCGCGGCCGACCACCCGCTGGGCAATAATCGACAGGGACGGGGCGCCATGGACTCTTTATTGACTGGAACGCGGGTGTAGGGATAGGGAACCGGGCCGGGGTGGGACTCCCTTCTGGATCTGAGGACGTGACGATGGACTCCCGTCTCCTCTCAGACGCTTTTATGGACTTTCGCACAGGCCGAGGACGGAGATTAGGACTTACATAGGACAGTAGACACTGTTGCGGCTCTGAAGTTCAAACTAGCTAGACGCTCAGAGTTGAGGGAGGAACCATGGATGGGGGGCAAGTTGAACCGATTACTAAGGCCATTGGCTTTGTCCCGGTAAAGTTTATGGCACTTAGGATGCAGATTGAATGAGGCCGTGAGAAGACAGGCAATCTGTCTGCTGAGCTAGATCTGATATTTATCGTAACTCAAATCGTTAATCGAGATGTGGTTTGATCGAAAAGGAATTCATATTCACGGCAGAACAAACCAGTGAGCCTGCAGCCCTCAACGGAAACATGATGATGAGTGCTGGTGACGAGTGCTCCGAACTTTTCACATGTAACTTCCGACGATTTACGAGCATTAGCCCACCATTGATTCCCGCCCGTTCGATCGTCCACATACCGCCAGTGACACTCGGCATCGACGGAGTGACATTTATTGCACTAGGTAACAATAACACATCTGACTAGAGTAGGTACCGGTACACCGGTACGCTGCGCGGCCTACCGCCACCACTGGGAGAGGAGAGAAAACGCGACGGCCGGCCGGCCGGCGATATAGTTGGCCCCGCCGTCCGTCCGGATACTGTACGGTAAACCCATCGGGGAGGGGTCTGAGGGCCGCCACCGCGGCGCGGTCTAACCGGTCAGCGAAGCCGAGCAGGAGGTAGTGCCTGCTGTAGTGCTGTACCGCCGCCGCCGACCGACGGGCCGAGACACAGACCAAGGCACGCGGCGCGACCGGGGGGTGGGTCAGTGTGGCAGACCCGACGGGTCAGCTGCTGACCCGGGGGGGGGGGGGGGTCTGACCTGGGATGGCGGGAGGGTTCACTGAGCAGAACATCGGGACTGACTGCGACTGACTGACTGACTGACTGACTGACTGATCAACACGAGGCAGCAGCACCTCCATACAACAGCCTACGCACGGAACGCGCTGACAATAGAGCCGAGTGACGCCTGGCGCATCACAGAAAACTGACCCTTACCGCCGCCGCCTGGCACTGATCGGAACTCATCACTCGCTCTTAAACTCAGACAGAACTCACCACACGCTCTCAAACTCAGACAGCGACCTATATAAAAACAGCAACGGAATAGCATACCGCATACACACGGCAACACCCGCTCTCACTCTGCCGCCCCGCACCACACGTTTGGCTGCCCTGAAACGCAGTCGGATACGCTGCTCGGCGACACGCACCCGGCGGGTCGCCCGTTACTCGGTGGCTGCCACTGCTGATCGTGGTCGCACCACGGGCCTGGCACCGGCCCTGGAATGAAAAACACCGCCCGATACGGATAACATATCCGTCCGGATTGTGGAATGACTCTGACCGACCGACCGATCGGCGGGTATTGGGTGATCCCGTCACCTGGTTCTCGTGTCGACCACCCGGGCAGGCGCTCAGCTCGTCACGATCTCACGGCGCTCGGTCATTCGTACGACACTTCTGAGCACCCGCGGCGCTACACCGGCACCCCTCCCAGCGTCTCAGTCCTTCGCACACCATCCCCGTCTCACGCGTCTGACTCCGGCATCGTCTCCAGCTTGACCAGGTGGATCGGGTCCAGCTCCTCCGGCACTGGCGCCTCCGGCTCAGTCTCCGCCGGCGGAGGGGGCGGCGGCGGCGGCTCTTCGGTCGACTGTGACGCCTCCTCGGTGGCGGGGGCGGCCGGCGCGGGCGGCGGCGGGGGCGGCAGCTCCTCTTCAGGACTGGAGAGTCCCTCCGGTGGAGTAGCAGGTGTGTGGATAATTTGGGGCTCGCTTCCGGGCGCTGTTGGTGATCGCAGCGGCTCGTCCGCCGCGGGGGTAGGCTCGACGGCCGCAGGCTCCGCAGCAACCGCCGCGGGCTCCGTTTTCACCTTGTCTGCCATTGCAGGCTCGGCGGGAGGTTGCGAGGGGGCCGCATCTGTCGCCGATGCGCCACTGTCCGCCACCGTTGCGCCGCTGTCCACCACCTTTGCGCCACTGTCCACCGTCTCTGCGGTCGCGGCGGACGCGGGCTCGTCGACCGAGCGCTGTCGGAACTCGCCGGGAGCTGTCTCCGAGCAGGGAGTCGGCGCCGTGACCACGATTTGGGCCACGCCCAGCGCCGCCGCCTCGGCCGCAGGAGCCGGGGGCGGAGGGGGAGCCGGAGGAGCTGCAGCCGGAGCCGGAGTCTTGGCGGAGCTGTCCGTACCATCCTGCAACAAACAACGGGTAATCAGAAGAAGGAAACTTTCCACAGGCACATGAACACTGAACACGCTCGACTGCCATTGATTATCACTTTCATTAGTTACTGCTGATCTACAGGGTGTCTCAAAAGTTCGCTTACAGGTACCAGCCATGCTTTTTTGTCAATAATTCTGAATCAACATGAAATTAACAGTCAAAATTTTGCATGGGCATTGGTAACAACCTTCCTCAAGCAGCTTCATTGTTTTCAAGCGCATTCGACCCTTCAGGAGCTCACAAAAAGGGTTCACCTCTGAACATGGATCAGGCATGAAAATGGAGGTCGCATACTCGGGTCGGCTGAGAAACTCTCTGCTTCACGAGTAATGGGAATGGTTAGGTCGGAAATGACACATGGCAAAGTGTCGGCGAGGATGAGTACAACATGATGGTCGTCTAATAAAAACGGTGGCTAAAATTTTTGAAGGACAAAACCATGCGAGACTAACAGCGCTTTGAACGACTCTTGTACCGCAGCAGACTCGTGCTCCGGAAAGCAGCTGAAAATGCAGTCCTAACTATTGAAAACTGACTAGAAGCTCACAGACAGAGGTTACCCAGTTTCAAAAATTGCAGGTCATCATAAAATAAAGACAAAATATCATTTAAAATTGTTTATAATATCTATAACGCTAAATTTTGAGGGAAAATAATGCGAAAATCGTCAATGCCGAGGACAAGTGACCCTCCAAAAGTGTCAATTAATGTAAAGTTTAATCTAACGAAGTTTCAAGAGGCAGATCTGGAGCAAATAGCTTTCTTTTACACACAAAATCCGGACAAAACCGCACGATGGACAGGTTTTGGCCGTTTACAAAGCAGAACCTCTCCTGAGGAAAACACTCCGGAACCCAGCGAAGGTCTTGGCATTGGGAATGACGAGCGTTCGGGATTTGCAAATTTTGCAAAATGTGTCTCAGAAACAGATGGCCGACACATTCTGCTACGATATGCTGCGAAAAATTTGCCCCTGGCACTTCCCATTTGTTCAGGAATGGGGTTGTTTTGAAAAGGAAAATGGTGCTTGGGAGGTCGGCGCCAGTCATTCATGAAGGAGTTAGCGCCAGAGCAGACCTACAAAATACTCACGGATGGTGTCGATGGAAGCTATCGGCTTTCAGGGAGAAGCGGATGTTGCCGGGGAGCTCGTTGTTAAGTTTGCATAATGAATTAATATTTTTCATGTAACTTTAAAGTGTATCTTAATTTGCTTTTGGTTTGTAACTTGTGTTAACGGCTGGGCCCCGGTTATCGCTCCTGCGCGCCGCCCGGCCGCCGCGGCGGGCCGCCGCATTGCGGTACAGCCTAACTTGTCAGGGCGCCGCCGATTGCCGCGGCCCTGCGTGTGCTGATTGGTCGGCGGCTGACCACGTGTGGTGAGGCGATGTCGGGTCGTGTCGTGCCGGCGGAGGGCAGTCGCGCAACAGTCCTTGCTGCGGCTGGGTGTGTTGGGCTCTCGAATCTATATCCGTTTGCGGGGCGTTGGCAGGCTCGTCTGTGGGCAGTCTGCCGGCGTTCCCCGCGGCGCATATGCGTTCGAGAATCTAAATTGGAGACTACGTCTGTCGGCTAGCCTCCACCCCACACCCATTTGGTCCCGACCACCAAAACACAGCGCCATTAATGCGGCAGTTAAAACGTGAACGTCTGTGGGCTGATCGTCTGCTGCTATTAATGGTGCTGTATTGAAATTAACCATTTAGCGTGCCAAGTACGGGCGCTCATAATTATACGGCTGTGAGCCTATTAAAGGGTTGGTAATTGCGGGGTAGCGCTCGAGCCTATCTCGAGTATTTACTTGTACCTATTTAAGGATCGAGTCGGCACTGTGGCCGCATCTGTTTATTGCGATTGGCGACCCCTGAAGCGCGGGCGGCAGGGTCACTGTTTTCTCCGGTGTTTAGAGCTGGTTTACCCGGACTTTGATTAAAATACATCCGCTTGGTGTATTTATAACTTTTTTTGGGTTTCATTCGCTACACATTCGACTTGGAATCGCAACATAGTCCTCCGGGCCGGATCATTTATTCAGTGGAGGACACAGTCCCCAAGGCTACCGGTATTAAATTTTGTTAAATTTTGTTAAGTCCACTGGGTAAATTGATAGTTTGTTTTTGAACATACAGTCCACTTTGTACTTTGATTTAGTTCCCATTTCACTCAAACATGGAGGAGCTACTGGCTGCTAGGTCGCGTCTGCGCACAAAGGCTACTAAAGCGTGCAACGATCTCCGAGCCTACAGGGAGGGAGATCGGAAAGCGCTAGACCCGGACCAACTTGCCCTAAAACTCCACCATGTGGAGAAGATCCAAACTGAGTTGCAGGGCTTGCAGGTCCAGCTGGACAAACAGGGTCAAGCCGATGAGACGAATCATGTTCAGACTCTGGAGGATGAGGCCTTCCTCGGTTCTCGCCTCCTGGCTCGCCTCGAGAGAGCTGAAGAAGCTCAATCCAGGGCCTCTGAGTCACTGAACACAGCTGGTAGCGCCGATTTGAAAACATCCCTCTCCGTAAAAATTCCCACTTTCAACGGTGAGGTGATGAAATGGCCTGAGTTTTGGGAACTCTTTTCTATTGCTGTGCACGACAACCAGTGCTATGCCAACGTTCAGAGATTCGTGGTCCTCAAGTCGCATCTTGCCGGAGCGGCATTGAGGGCCATTCAGGGCATCCCAGTCACGGGTGACGGGTATGTGCAGGCGGTGTCAGCTCTGAAAGCGCGATTTGACCTCGAGAATGTGCGACGGGAGACGCTCTTGAAGGAGCTGATGAACATGTCATCAGTCCGCCACGGTGACTTGAAGGCCATGCGATCCTTCATAGATCACCTGTCTGCGCACACGAGAGCTCTCAGCACTCTGGGTGTCTCCTCAGAGAGCCTATCCAGCCTGCTGCTGCCCATGGTGAAGGGCAATATCCCGGAAGACTGGCGTCTGGAGTGGGCCCGGCGATCGAGTCACCACTTTGATGACTTCCTGGTGTTTTTGAAGGAGGAACTTCGGGTCAGAGAGCTTGCTAGGGGCCCGAATAGTGAATACTCTGCTGTTGACCCACCAGCAACGTTCTCGGTGACCACCAGAGACCTCGACTCTGAACACCTGGCCAGGGAATGTCTGGGCAGTTCGTGTGCTGAGCGTGGCCGCCAGCATCACTCGCTGCTGCATGATGCAGAGCTTTGGGCACAGCGCTCGTCCTCCTCAGCCTCCGAGTTGAGGCCTGAGGCTGAGCCACTCTCGCCCACCGGGCCTTCTGCTTCGGACACTTGTGCAGAGGCTCAGACGCATGGTGTTGAGCTGCCCAGCCGTCACCGATACAATGTCAGCTCTACAGAAAAGAGCTTCTTGCAGACCTCTGCTGTTGTGGCTGCAGGTCCCAGTGGTCGGAAACCGACATGCGGTCCCCTTGTTGGAGGATCTCACGCCTCCGAACTTGACATGAGGAGCACAGACGTGCTATGCTCACCGGTCCCAACTGCTCAGCCACCGCGGTTGCCGTCTGAGATCCAGACGGCTGATGATTTCCGGGGTGGTAAGGTTGACGTCCTCGTAGCGGCTGATGACGTGCATCAGGTCGTCCTACAGGATCAGTTGGAAGCTGATGGGCTGAGAGCCATTGATACTAGTTTTGACTATGGGCTGAAAGGTCGAGACAGTGATGGTCCCCACATGAGCCAGTGCGTTCCAAGTCGGCACGATGCTGCCGACCTGGACGCGAGCCCAACTGGCATCGGTGATACCGAGCTGAACGACTCTCGCTCCAACTCACAACTGATGTGGAGTGAGAAGCTCCACGAGCCGCCCCCGATCTGGGGCTCTGATGAGAGGCCGACATATGGCCGCCGCTCCTGGCCGTCGTGGTGCCGTGAGGCGCCCTCGATCGTCGGCCCCCGACCCATCCCGTCGGTGCAGAGGAAGCACCCCGGCGGGATCTGGCGGTGGCATCGGTGGCGCCGTCGAGGGTGAACCCACCGCAACGCGCCCCAGTGAGGTTCATCCCCGAGGCTGTCCCATGGTGGGGAGGCTTTTGGCAGTGATTCGTGAGGTCTGAGAAGCATAGTAGGTTAACTGTAGGATAAGCTTAGTTAAGTGTTTAGATTATTTGGTCGCAGGAAGACAACATGGGCGGTAGCAGGATGGCAAACTCAGTCTGTCGGCTGAGTGCATGGCAGCTTGGCAGCGCCATATTGCCGCTGGATTATGCTATCTGCTGTTCTCGCTACTCACGAATCTTTCTTGTCTTTTTAGTGTAACCGTTGACGTCCTGGAGATGCTTCAGAAGGACGACCACCGGTCGCAGCGGGAGGCCGTCCGGGTGATGGTGATCCTGAACCTGACGTCGGGCGGCTCCCAGGAGCTGGTAGCGGAGCTGTGCCGACTGGGCGCCGCCAAGCCTCGCTGTGACCTGCTGGCCGCCGGGGGTGCCGACCTCATCATGGTCTTCATGGACGCGCCGTCGAACGTGCTGAGGTGCGCCGAGCAGGCGGACCGGGAGGGCACCGTGGCTCTCCAGGTGGATGAGTGCGGCGGCCTGGACCGCATCGGGTCGCTGCAGACGTACGAGGAAGAGCCGTCCTCATCATCGGCAGGCACTTCGACGATGACGACTGGGAGGACGCTGAGGTGGCGGCGCCCGCCGCCGCCGCCGATGGCTTCCAGCTGAGCGTTGACACAGATGCGGCCACGGCCGGCGACCTCCAGTTCTATGGCGGCGGTCTGCGCGGGACAGTCATGAGAGTGGTGCGCCGGTGATGCGAGAAGTGGACTTTAGTTATGAAAATGGGGCAAGCCCCATTTTGGTGGGGAGTATGTTAAGTTTGCATAATGAATTAATATTTTTCATGTAACTTTAAAGTGTATCTTAATTTGCTTTTGGTTTGTAACTTGTGTTAACGGCTGGGCCCCGGTTATCGCTCCTGCGCGCCGCCCGGCCGCCGCGGCGGGCCGCCGCATTGCGGTACAGCCTAACTTGTCAGGGCGCCGCCGATTGCCGCGGCCCTGCGTGTGCTGATTGGTCGGCGGCTGACCACGTGTGGTGAGGCGATGTCGGGTCGTGTCGTGCCGGCGGAGGGCAGTCGCGCAACAGTCCTTGCTGCGGCTGGGTGTGTTGGGCTCTCGAATCTATATCCGTTTGCGGGGCGTTGGCAGGCTCGTCTGTGGGCAGTCTGCCGGCGTTCCCCGCGGCGCATATGCGTTCGAGAATCTAAATTGGAGACTACGTCTGTCGGCTAGCCTCCACCCCACACCCATTTGGTCCCGACCACCAAAACACAGCGCCATTAATGCGGCAGTTAAAACGTGAACGTCTGTGGGCTGATCGTCTGCTGCTATTAATGGTGCTGTATTGAAATTAACCATTTAGCGTGCCAAGTACGGGCGCTCATAATTATACGGCTGTGAGCCTATTAAAGGGTTGGTAATTGCGGGGTAGCGCTCGAGCCTATCTCGAGTATTTACTTGTACCTATTTAAGGATCGAGTCGGCACTGTGGCCGCATCTGTTTATTGCGATTGGCGACCCCTGAAGCGCGGGCGGCAGGGTCACTGTTTTCTCCGGTGTTTAGAGCTGGTTTACCCGGACTTTGATTAAAATACATCCGCTTGGTGTATTTATAACTTTTTTTGGGTTTCATTCGCTACACATTCGACTTGGAATCGCAACACTCGTCAAACCTAAATCCGACGCAGAAACTGCGGGGGATTCCCCTACAAGAGCTTGAAAGCTGGTAACCTTTTATCAGCCTCCGGCAGCTGACGGAGTGACGAAAATCGGTATGGGCAAATATTTTTGGAGATACAGCAAAGGGTTTGGTTTCCAACCTTCCGAATCAGATGTCAAAGCATGCATATTTGTCTAGTGTACACACGGACACCAAAACCTTAGATTTTTGGCCGGTTCTTATATGCTTTATTGACATGGGAAATGTGTAAGCGAACTTTTGAGACACCCTGTAGACCTTAGAACACACTATTGTGGGCATAAAAAGTACGGCTAAAACCTTCCCAGCTGAAGCACAGCCTTTGCTCTCACGAATTAAAGGCATCATACTACCCCCATAATCACCAGCCGTGGAACCATTGCCACGGACTGTACCGAACCGTACCTCGGCGGTGACGGCGATCTGGATGTCTGTGCACGAGGCCGACTCCTGTCCTCCACTCTGAGCAGCGTCCGATCCTGTCCGGCCGGGGAGCGAGCAGGGTCAGTTGCGTAGGGCATATCAACACGATACACGACGCTAGCTCTATCTGTCTCATCCTGAACCCTGCACGGGACTGTAAACCTGCTCAGCAGTCTAACAACAACACCTACGGCCAGACTCTCCCGGGGATGACCAGGTGCGGATAGGTGAGCAAATTTCTGTCATTATGATAGTTATATCGGATCAGCGTCTAAGTTTTCAGGAAAGTGCCGAAGCACTGCCTAGCCCGGCTGCCCGTGCTCAGAGCTCGGCCGGTGCACTCCTCCCTGGTGGGTCCGGTTACTCTCCCGTGGCCATAACTATGTCCCAGGTGCGCTAACACACCGCGCTGCTTTCCATAATGACCACAGCGACGGTCGGTATGCCGCGTTAGAATTCAGCCAGAGCCATTAGACGGCTGGGACGGCCGGACCTCGCGGTATGAGGAGAGGAATATCGCCGACCGCGGGAGGAGGCACGGGGAGTAGACGGCAGGAGAGGGGCTTATGAGAGGAGTTTGGAGCGGCGTAGAGCAGAGGAATACAGTGGTAGAGGTGCAATTTGTCCTTAGGAAATACAGCCGCATTAATTACGAGAACAGCGCTTGTTAAAGAGGGTAGCTCGAAGCGACAGTTGTGGGAATAGTCGGGTTAGGTCGTTATTACTTGGAGTGGCTCTACATATTTGAAACACGAAATGGTTAAGCAGAGGGAAGCATGGGTACAATGAAAATTGGAGTCACAGTTCGGCTCCCCACACTGGAAAATGGGCTCAGTTGGGTGTTCGGTGATGACAAAGAGAACACACGGTGAAAGGTGTGAGCAGGTATTTTGCAGCGTCGGCTTAGAGAGGTAAGGTATAGGTAGCCATAGATGTGTTATCGGTGGGACGTTCAGAGAGAAGACAGTTTCGTGGTCAGTGGGCACAGTTACAATCAGATTAGTTAGCGGTACAACTCGGAAGAAAAAGTTCAAAAGATCGCCGAGCCAGAAACGACGCAGAGCTGCGAAAGTGCGGTGCAAAGTGTAGAGTCAGAGCTGAAAATGTAGCAGAAAACAGGCGCGCACACCGATACACACAGGCGGAGAGCGGGCGGGCGGGGAGGGGGAGACAGCGAGAGCACACAGAGCGCGTGCGGCGGGCACACGACAGTTGGGCGCGGCGCTCCCGGCGCCCCTCACCTGAGCTGCGGTCCTCGCCCCTGGCACGGTACGCCCGCTGCTGCTCTTGGGACAATGCCAAATCAAAACCGGGCGAGCAATACGAATAAGACACCACTGAAAACGGAACGAACCAAATGACTGGGGCAGAACTGAGCCGATCCAGCTGGGCCATGTATCGGCCCAGACGACACTCACATGTTCACATATGCACGTACATAAAAACGTACAGACGGCTGGACGCGCGTCACTGGAGCTGCCGAGGCTATGGAGCCCGGTCTAACCGTAACCAAAGGCCAGATAATCTCGGATATCGCGCAAGTGACGTTCAATGAATGTGGCGATTGAACGCATCTTTAATCTTACTTCAACAAGACAGTGATATTCCGTTAGACGCATCCGAAGTTTTACAGCCATTGGTATGCTACACTTAATTTTTATCAAATTCTCGCGTTTTCTAACTATCTATATATTATCATGCGAATCCACACTCGGGCTCCCAGAAAGCAGACCAGCCTACAGCTTTTCAGTAACTTTTCAACATTTGGATTTTGTGTAGCGGGAATTTGCGGCAAGAATATGAATGAACTAGCTATTTACAGAAGACATTACAAATTAAAGCACCGCTGAAAGCCAAAACACTGATGTCTTTTTTACAAACAAATGGGTAAATGGCGCTGATATAATGTGGGGCGTTGATATCAGGCCATAAAGCAAATTAGAGGATTTGAGAGTAAAAACAATAAATCTCCGCCTGCAAAAACAAAAGGATACTCGGTAAAGAACCATCTCTCTACAGAGCCACCACGTGCTTAACCTTTTAAAGAGCTAAAATATCATGCGAACCCGACTACACCTACGGCCGTTTGACAAATCGACAAAGACAAACGCAAACACGAACAAATATACCACTGAATGCATTGCTAGCATGCTCACTGAGAATGCAGCAAAGCTGAGCAGACACTACGCTTCTGTATAAACTGAGCATAAAAAATATCGATGTGGGTGTTTGTTGTAAAAACGTGTGAGCGCTACGCATGTGTATTAGCGGACGGACTACGGCCTATGTAAGTATTAAGTGCAGGCCAAGCTGAGACGAACAGTCTCGATATGAATTGCAGGGGAGACAAGCGTTGCTGTAGCTGCATTTTCAGCGATACGGGTGGTGCAGATACGTGTGAATACTGCATGGTCTGAGCCCGACTGTAGAAGTGAAGCCGACTAACTACAGTGTGATGTGTGCGCCGAGTTGCCCCTGAAGAGGTTCCGAGCACCCTGTGTCTCCCATTCAGTGAAATCCGTTCATAAGTATCCTTTCTTGGTGAGCTTGAAGACCCATGGTCTCTGTGCCCGATGGATGTAAGTGCGATGTATCGGCTAGCTGAAGTAATTACGACAGAAAGTTGTTTCTTACAGCAGGACCCTTCTCTTTGCTAGTACAGCGAAGCTTTCTTGCTTCCTTTTGGCCGGGCGGCTGAGAGTCACCGACTACGGCCCACCCATGTCATCCGGTGTTCTCAATGCACGGCTGATGGGTCACACACTGCAGTCGTCGCAACCCACCACACGTGTTTCTGTAGTGGAGCTTAGCTTAGCGGAACAGTCCTGCCTGTCCAGGACGGTGTGCGGGCGGCTGTCGCAGCCAAGACAGCCACTGGACTCCATTCCAGCCCACTCTCAGTCTCTGAGAGAAGCTACCCGGCGCCGGCGGGGGGCTGAACGGGCAGTCAGCGAGACAGCAGCAGTCACAGCCAGGCACGGGACCTCGTACCCAGCCGTAACTGGCCCGAACGAGACCAATAAACCCCAGCCGCGCACAGAGATTAGTCGGAACGTTGTCCGAGTGGCGCCGGCTGACATACCCACGCCACGCCCACCGTGGCACGGGGACTGGCCCATTCGGTGTCTCCAACGTGAGTTTACATGTCGACCCAAGAGGTGTCTGACCCGTGCGGGGTCAGTGACCAAATCTGCACCGGCCAGATATACGGTCTCTCAGGCGGCAACCCCGAGTTTATGTGATCAAGTCAACATCGTGAGACTGATCCCGAGTGTGGTTGGACACTCTTTTCTATGCAGTGCTCGGTCATCAGTCGCCAGGCCAAATCAAGGTGATGAGGCGAGTGAGATATAAAATACGTGAAGGCTTTGATCGTGTGAAGCTTATCTGCGAATAGCTGCTACTCCCTGTGCGATTTCAGACCCGAATAGTACGTCTCTGGACTGTGAACTTCAAACTGTGTATTTATAGGTGTAATTGACATACCCCGTACGCATTTGACATGTGACCTGCTGTGTATCTGTATTAGAGATGTCAATCGGATACCAACTTTTTGGTATACCGATACCAAACCGATACCAACTCGGTATTTGGTATTTCAATCATAATGTGTTTGGTATTTTGTTGGTATCACGAACCCTCGCTAGTGTTTAAGAGGCTAAGAAATCGGTAAAAAGTTGGTATTTTCCTCATGTTTCCAAGTTGGTTTGGTTTCGGTATTTCTCCACGGTTTTGGTTGGTATTTGGTTTGGTATCGGTATTCCGATTTTCCGTAATTGACATCACTAATCTGTATGTCCCGCTGACCTGCCCTCTCGTTTCTGACCTGTGACCTGCTGTGTTCCGTCTGCGCCCCTAACCTGTCCCTCTCGTCTCTGACCTGTGACCTGCTGTGTATAAGCATGTGTGTGCCCCTGGCCCACCCCTCTTGTCTCTGATCTGTGATCTACTGTGTCTGTTTATATGTCCCGCTGACCCACCCCTCTCGTCTCTGACCTGTGACCTGCTGTGTGTAATGTGTATACTGCATATGTCCCGCTAACCTGCCCCTCTCGTCTCTGACCTGTGACCTGCTGCTCGGCGGCGCCGTCGCCCTGCTCGCCCGGCTGCGGGGTCGGCTGAGTCACTATGACCATCTCGGGCGGCAGCAGGCTGGCCGGTACGTCCGGAGGAGTGAACACGGGCGGCGCCTCGCCCAGACCGGACGTCTCGCTCTGCAGACGCACCACGAGCGGGTCAGGTCAGGTCAGGGTTGAACACGGGCGGCGCCTCGCCCAGACCGGACGTCTCGCTCTGCAGACATAACGGCAAGGTCAGGTCAGGTCAGGGGTGAACACGGGCGGCGCCTCGCCCAGACCCGACGTCTCGCTCTGTAGGCACCACGAGCGGGTCAGGTCAGGTTAGAGAAAGGCCAGGTCAGTTCAGAGGTTAACACGGGCGGCGCCTCGCCCAGACCGGGGTGGTGTTTCACCGGTGCTAGCAGCACGCTGCTATTTCATTTCCCGAGCTGACGTCACACTTGTGGTAGTGTTGGAGCAATGGGCTTATTGACGTCTCCATGGATCCCAATTTGACACGTGTAACAGCAGCGTGCTGCTATCACCGGTGAAACACCACCCGGACGTCTCGCTCTGGCTTCACAACGGGGAGGTTAGGTCAGGTCAGAGTAAGGTCATGTTGACGGACTGTTCTGGGATCTGCTAAGTGAAATAAAGGCTGGGTGACACCTAGCAAGTCATTGAGGTGATATGCAGAAGCGACGGTACCTGTTCGTTCCAGACTGTCTGGGAGTACGTTTGAGATGCGGTTTACAGCGAGGATAACACACATCCACCCTCAAGCCGCCTCCGACCGATACCGTCGTTCAGTCTATGTTCCGAACGAGTATGTCCGGTCGGCAGTGAACACTGAACACCGACCGACGGCGGGGGCCGAAACAAACAGCGACCGTGGTGACTGATGACGGCCCCTGCCGGCCGGACCGCCCCTCATCGTCCTCCCCCCTCCCCCGCGGCCCTCCCCTCCTCCCCGCCGAGACACCCCGCCAGCCCACAGTCGTTAGCACACCGCTCGCCGCCGGAGCCGACACCGAGCCATCGCTCCGCAGAGCGGCGCCGACACTTGTAATGCCGCTGCGGCACGGTGCGGGCTCGGAGGGCGGCACGGCACGTGGGCGGGCCGCCGGACGGTGGCGGTGATCGCTCACAAACCGGCGCAACACCTCACCGCCGACCGAATTACAATCAGCACGCCGTACCGGGCCTGTGTAACGGCTGCGTGGTACCGCCGAGAACAAATAGGCTCATTAACTAGCATGGATTTCAGCGGTGGCCACGCCAGCTTACAGTTAACCCGGCTCAGATAGCGGGAGAACATTCGAGGAATGAGGTAAAGCGATAGGCGGGCGGAATAACTGACTAAACGGAACGTGCTAAACGAATAATGCATGTTTCTGACACAGGGTTTGCTTTAAATGACGTTTTGATGCATGCTTTCCATCGAGAGGCGGGTTCCAGCGGAAACACTCTAACCCACCCACCGCACTCTCTTCCTCCTTCCCTCCTTCTTTTCTTCGCTCTCCCGTCCATCCGTATGCCACGTGTGACAAATCAAAGTCCCGGGGGAGAGACAAGCGGGCACGCGGTGACCTACGAGTCACTCCAACTGACCTCAGGTGTGAGCGGGTCACCGTTGGCGTGGCAGTCCTCGACCACCAGCGAGGGGAACAGACCGGTGCGCCCCTCCAGCTCGCCCTCCCACCAGCCGTCGTCGACGCCGTCATGACCGACGGTGCGCAGCACGCGGATTATCTGGTCCTCGATGAGAGTCAGCTCCTCGGGACACGTGGCCTCGTAGTCGTATAGCGCCCGGCAGAAGTGGGCACCTGCAGGACGGAAGGAGATCGGCGGTGAGGGTGGTAATAGCACAACTCTTTTACCTGAAACTAGCAAATGGACAATCGACTTACGCCAGAATTGCAAGGACAAATCGCAATAAACGATCAAAATGTATTAATTATGGTTGATACTCAACGAAAACAACTTTGTGAAATATTCGATACAGAAAATCGCATTTGTAACGAATTTGAGAGAGCTCCCGACAGGTTTGCTGGAAATTGACAGGCATTTGGATAGTTCAACGTCTTATGATTCAACTTAGCATTATCTTTGTCCGTTTGAGCTAATATCCGATAAAATTTAGTCCATTAATTTAGATGACTAGCCTATTACGTAAAACTACCCGAGTGTAGATGATGCAATATCGTATTCTGATAAGCATCTGGCCAACAGCTGCAGTATGCAACTGGCAATTAATCGGCCTAGCAAAATGCAAAGAGAACAGTCGCAAGAAACAAAATAAAATAACCAACTTCTATGAGTGAGATACTTTGAAAACAGACAGCTTTTGTCGTAATAGTTGCTAAAAAAGCTATGTGGAACCAAATCGCCATCAAGTACCGAGTATTTCAAGCTGTACGGTCACAATACCTCTGTTTGAATACAAATTCTTTGACAGCGCTGGGTCAAATTTAACGTCAGCGCTTAATAAATAAGCGGTAAGCTGCACTGAGTGCACAGTATCAGACCCTCACACTTGACCTGTCTCTCAGACCGTTCTCCTCCGTGAGTACCACCCCACACCCGCCCCGGCGGACCGTTCCCAGCCCCACACCGTCCCACCATCGATCCCGGCTCTGTGTAGCGGCGAGCGGCGCCTGTCAGCGGTCCAGTCGCCGCTGACCTGACCCGACCCGACATACGCTGACCGATGACCTGACCTGACGTACGCTGACTTGACCTGGCATACGCTGACCTGACCTGACGTACGCTGACTTGACCTGGCATACGCTGACCTGACCTGACGTACGCTGACTTGACCTGACGTACGCTGACCTGACCCGACCTGACGTACGCTGACCTGACCTGACCTGACGTACGCTGACTGAGGACCTGACCTGACGTACGCTGACCTGACCTGACGTACATACGCTGACCTGACCTGACCTGACCTGACGTACCGGGCTCGTGGCCGTCTGCCGGCGCCAGCGGCAGCGACTGGGGCGGCTCGACCAGCACCGGCGGCGCCTCCGGGGCGCCCTCCTGACCCTCCTCGATGGTGGCTAGCTCAGTGCCGTAGTCGACAGAGCTGAAACTGACGCCCCCTTCCGTCTCCACCTGCGGGAGGGGGGGGGGGACGCAGGCAGGGTCGTTAGTGTGTGTGGGGGGGTGGGGGAAGGGGGATAGGTGCGTGACTTGGGACATTTGGGAGAGCGTGAAAAATAACATCATTACAATCAGCTGACATTGCTGTTGACAACGAATTATGTCCGGCTAATTATTAGCTCATTCCCGAAATGAGTTCTCTGGAGTTCACCGTCGTATACAAACCATTACGTTCGTTGCAGAGTAGTGCAGAGGACGTTCGGTCGATCTAATTGTAATTACTTCCTGTTTCAATGCAGTGCTTCGGTATAACTCGCTTAGCCTAACTCGCTTAACTAGCTTCGGTTATCGTCTTTTTTCGGACAATCGTCCACACTGACGGTGACATTAGGGTGAGATGGACCTTTAGACTGGAATGTTTCTGCCTAAGGAAAGTACCATTCATCCTACCTGCACGACTGCCGCTACAGTGCTATACAGCACTAAGCACACACATGATTGCACAGTGAACACTGCACGAACCACATACCTCGACATAGTTGTGCGGGATGAGTCCCTCGTCTCCGTTCTGGTTCCTGGCGCGCACCCAGCCGTCGCCGTCCCCCTCGCTGGTGATCTCCAGAGGCTCGTTCTCCACAATCGTCAGCTCGTCAGGGTTCTGAGCCTGTCGAAGAGCAGGGAGTTTGGTATATCACCGGAAAAGTTCTGAGCTTGTGGGAGAGTATGACACAGGTATAGAGGCATAAGGTTCCGGCCCGGGAGGGGCAAATAAATAACGATAAAAGTAAAACAGACCGATGGGTATTTGAGGAGCTAACGGACGGTCGGTCACACAGAAATGACAGGGGAAAGAATTAGAGGGGGCGTGGTAGGCTCGCATCGCCAGGTTCTAGACCTTCAAATCACGAGCATAAGCAATGAGCATAGGATAGGTATGACAGGGTCGGCATCTAAATGATTCAATACACAATGACAGCGCGATGATAAAACCGAAGTGTGTTTGAAGTTTGAACGTGTATGCTCAAGACTTACTCAGGAAGTATCAAATGCCCAAGTCATTGCGAGCTTGTGTGAAGTCAACTGTCATGTGTCCAAGTCAAAGGCCAGAAAAGACGGTAGGCATCGTGTCAATCCGTGTCCTGTTGCATGCCGGTCCGATCTCACTTCATTCGCTGGTGTCGTATAGCCCCGCCCCAGCAGCCCCCTATCTCACGCTCCCCGACGCGTAGGGATCACATGACCGCCGTGTCTACCACCCTGCGTCTGTGTAACATGACCCGTCGTCTCGCCTGGGGCGGTAAACCTTGCTGTCCCCGAGAGCAGCTCAGTAGCACCACAGACACGACGCGGGGCGGGCGTGGCCTTCTGTGCGAGCGTGCTTGTGTTAGTGAATGGCGTTTGAAGTGATAGTTGATACGCATGTCTTGTGCTGACAGAGAGGTGCTTGTGAGACGGCAGAATACACTTTATTGGTTGTCAGTAAGAGTCAGTTTTGTGCACTCCTCTTTTTGTTTCATGTTCTCTTTGTCTGACTCCTTGCAACCATGCGACAAACTCCCATTTTGGTGTCGGCAGCGCTCTGCTCTGTCAGTTAGTGGGGCCGGCCTGTTATTGACAAGGCGCGGCCGCCGCCCAGCTGATATGGCCGTCTTGGCTCCGCGCCAGCCACGGCGGACGGGCGGCCGGATTCAGCGGATAGAAAGGAGCTTATCGGGAGGGGAGGAGCCAATGACGTCATCCAGCGGCGCTCCATCTACAGGCGTCTACGTCAGATTGTGGAGTGGCGGCGCAAATCCTCGTGGCTCGTTGGTCTAGGGGTATGATTCTCGCTTAGGGTGCGAGAGGTCCCGGGTTCAAATCCCGGACGAGCCCTGCGTTTTTGACCCGAGATGACCCTTTGTTGACCAATTCAACAGATTACAATCTACAGCTCCATGGGAGCTTGCTGTGAGAAGAGTCCAATGTCAGATGTTCATTGAAAAGTGCATCTTATTTACCTCGTAATGGAAGAGCGCTATGCAGCGTGAGCCGACGGCGGGCGGCACGCCGGTGTCGGCCGTCTCTGTGTGGCCGTTCAGCTGGCCCTGCAAGTCGGACGACTCGGCCGGTGGCGGCGGCGCGTCCTCGTCACCCGCCTCCGGCTGGCCCCAGTCGGGATCGGTCGGCCAACTGGTCTCCACCCCCGGCAGCGTGGGAGCCGGCGGCACGGGCGTGGTGGGCAGCTGACCCCAGTCGGGTGCGGCGCCCCAGCCCTCCGTCAGCTGGGCCATCTGAGACTGCGCCGCCAACACTGCAGACGGAGGAGGACGGGGCTGTCATTTGTCAAACGGCGCCCAACACTGCGTGCACGGCCAGCCTACACGACTTATTCATATTGAAAGGGAAACGGAAATATGGTAGGTACTGGCTCTTGCAGAATATGTGATGATATAAGATACTGGACGACATGAAAACATTTTAGTTGATGCCTCCACAAGACACCAATGTGACGTCAGCAGATCAGACGAATGGGTCGGCCTTTATTGTATTTTTTAACTAGCCGCCTCGATCCTCATCGGCTCGTTGGTCTAGGGGTATGATTCTCGCTTCGGGTGCGAGAGGTCCCGGGTTCAAATCCCGGACGAGCCCACTAGTTTTCATCCGGTAACACAAACGTTTTTCACAGGTGCCGCTCGAGCCACTCAAGCCACGACACACTGAGATGTCCATCCACTCAGCAGCCGGCGATTTTGCTCACCCTCTTTGTCGGTCTGGTAATCGTCCTCGTCATCCTCCTGTCCGTCTGTGCCGGCGGTGCCCTGCGAGTCGAACCGGCCGAACGCACTGCCGGCCGGCACCGGAGACGGCATCGGCGACGCGTCGTTCAGGTCACTGTCGTCATCGCGGTACTGCCGGACACGGGCGGGTCACGTCAGGGTGAGTCTTATGCCCCAGGGCACACAAGAGCTTATCGATAACCTGGCAGTGACATTGCTAAGCTCCAGGCAGGAGTGGGAACAACCAGAATGTTGACAACCGGCAGAACCGATATCGCACACCGCAGCACCTGTTACCTCTATCCTGGCATATGCCACCTGTCTCACCAGCCTGGTATCGATCACAGGTCACCTGTTCACACTGAATGGAAAGCACCTGTTGGTGGTTCACCTGTTCACCCGGCCACAACTGACCTGCTAGAACCTGCAGCAACACCTGCCACCCGCTCACTGTTCAATTTCAGTGTTCACCTCTCATGCTCACATGCACTACATATATACCCAGACTGTTCATAAACTGCCTGTTATTCAATGAGCCCGTCCTATGTTCCCGGGGTATGTGTACCAGTACTTTATGTGCTGTTGACCAGTCTGTTTATCCCGCTCTGAGTCTGTTCACCTGTTCTCTGACGCTGAGCTGGCTGCCGGAACGGCACATGGAACCCCTACTGGCCCCAGTGGGGGTTATTATATTTATAGGGGTTATCATATTCACCTGTTCCCTGTTCTGTTCTCCCCCACAGTTACCCACCTGTTCTCTGACACTCCTCAGTCACCCACGCCCCCCCCTCCCGCCCTCTCAATTTACCTGTTCTCTGACGCTGAGCTGGCTGCCGGAGCGACACATGGAGCCCTCCACCGTCAGCTGGTCCACGTCAAACTGGTTCATAAACTCGTCCACATTCACTGGAGGCGGGAGAGAGGGCCGAAGGGGGTCATACGGCGGTCATACGGTATGAATGCCACACGCGGCTGGGTGGACACGGTGGTTATATGTAGAAGGGAAGAAACAAGTGGCTGGCACGACAACATGAAACAGGCGTGGTGATATTATAGGACCTAATAACACGTCCTGTTAGAACAACACTAACCTACCATTTAACAACCTAGCATTCGATCGGAGAATATTCCGCTGTTGAGGCCTTGGTATACCCGTGGCACCCTTTTCATTCCCCATCTCTAACACAACCCCGAGTTCAATATCAAACGCGCTGGACCCTCCGACGGCCCCACGTGACGCCAATCGAAGTCGGCCGCGGCGGCTGTCGGTAAACACCCCCCGTCTCACCGAGCCGTCCCACCGAGCCGGTCGGCCGGGGAGGCGGCCGGGTCGGATAAAACGCCCTCCGACAGATGGGCAACGTCGGTCCGTGACCGATCGCCGGGCCGATGATGAATAAATGCATCGCGCGCCCGGTATGAGCGATCTACCTATGTGCTATCGAACGGGGAGGTTGTGGTGGTGTCCGAGAGTTGCGCGGAAGTGAGGAATGCCGTAACTAACAGGAACGGAAACTCACATACAGCTTACAGGGGTGGTAAGGTAACGCACATCTGACAGGGGTGGTAAGATAAGATAACTCACCTCCGCCATCCCTCAGACATTGTATTCGCGCCTGACACTTGACCATCGCAGTCTGAAACGGACAACATGAACGGGTTAGTTGCTGATGGACACTGTATTCACGCCTGACACTTGACCATGGCAGTCTGGAACGGACAACATGAACGGGTTAGTTGGTGATGCATTTCGGATGAAGAGAAAGATACAGATAACAGATAAAGGTGAAGAGTAATCGTATAATGTGCTCAAGCTATTTTTGGAATAATTATAGCTGTCCATTCTGCTTATAAATATACTAAAAGAATCTTCTGAGGAAAAGGATTAATTACGCTGTGGAGATGATTGAGCTCCTCATGTCTCGAAATAGCACGTTAAAATAACCAAATAAAACTTAAAGCTATATAACGCCATCCAGACAGACGAAGGACGCCGAAACCAATAGTCCAATTCTCTTCGACCGTTCCAGTTTGATCCGGCCGCAGTGAGCCCTCCTTCCACCAATCCTACCATGGACTTATCCCGTCCAGGCAATGGGCGTCGTGTCAGCGGACCGAATCCCCAATAAGACCGCATAGAACTGCGGTGGACAAACGCGATCCGGGCCATCGGAGGTCTGTGGCGCGACAGCGGACTGGTCTGGTCCAGTAGGATCCATTAGTTCGGCCGACAGAGTTCCGTAGCTCGGCTGATCCTCTGCAGAGCACTTTCGTCCCGTCCTCTGAACCCTGTCAGTCCTCCACAGAGAATCGTCGGCTCAGTCCAGCAGAATTCATCTGGTCCGTTACATAAAATTTGTCGGTCCATCCTTTCAGGGCTGCGTCATTCCGTCCTCTTCCAGAACTCATTCGCCCCGTCCTCTCAGCTCCTCCAGTCGTCCTCTCGGCTACGTAGTTCAGTCCTCTCAGTTACGTCGGTCTATCCTTTATCACATAACTTCGTCAGCCCGTCTCAGGAGAGCTCCGTCGGCTCGGCCCCTCCCAGCTCTGCGGACTGTCAGCGGTGACCATCCGAGCGGCAGCAGCTCCAGCCGTATGTGAGGGCGGACGATTTATTTCCCCAGGCTGTCCTTAACTGCCGAGCTACCGCCGTTCTACGCCCACAGCCCCCGGTGGACACGTCTGCGGCTACTGCGCGGATTTGGCAGGACTACTGAAGGGATTGCGGTGACACAGACTTGTCAGAGCGGATGGGGAGACTCTGGTTTGAAGCTTGACCTGCCAGCATTAGGATAAAATGTATGTGCCGTGAACGTCAATCGATGAATTGTGGAAACGACAGCCGCCGGGCGCGCTTTATTTATGGACGCTGGAAATCATGGGCCGCCCTGTCGGCTGGATACCTACTCAATGAAGTGACAAGACCAGCCAGTCTAAATGCACCAGATCCGTGACCGTCTGGCTACTCAATGAAGTCGTGACGGGACCAGTCAGACCTAAATCACCGCATCATCCAGACCGGTCAGACACAGACACTACCGAGCGATAACCGCCGGCAATACCCACGCACCCTTCCCCACAACCCGTCCCCAGCACATGCATATGGATGCGACTCTCGGCCGGTTGGCTGTTCACACCCGACTCGTTAGCCTGATCGGCTCTGCAGCGGTCCAAGAGTGCCGTTCCCACGATTCTGAAGCGTCCGGCTACTGACCGATGGCCGGCAGATGAAGTCGTCAGCCGTGGGATCAGACCGCTGACCACCGCCCCCGGCACGGACTGGCCCCCAGGGCGCAAGATGAGTCGGTGAGACGCACCGCCGCCGGGCGCCGGAGCGGTCCACGCCGCCAGCGGGCAGGCGGAGAACACGAAACGGACGCAGAAACAACGACGGGTTATGGATACGTGCGTGTTAGGGGAGTGGTTAGTATACCGAGCACGTGATTAATGGATTCGTGACGTTGTTTTCGCCTTTGAGGAAGACGTCTTCCCTTTCTTCGTTTTCACCTCGAAGGGCCGCGGAGGCCAATTTTGAGAAATAGTCTGTCCGTTCGTCTGACTGTCAGCGACAGATTTTTCCGTCGGCTCCTCAGCCGAGTTTGTGCGACGGAAAAGCGGATTTAAACTGTTCGTCGCCGTCGGCGGCGACGGCGGCGGACGAGGATACTCGGAGACGGATGCTTCTCGAGGAAATTCGATTTACGACCGTCGAAAAAGTCAGAGGTGGCGGGGTGGCGGTCATCCATAGGGAGGAGATACACTGCCAGGTGCTGTCGACGCCGGTGACCAGCCTGCTGGAGACGCTGTGGGTCTCAGTGTCGTGGCGCGGCGGCCGGCCGGCCATCATTGGAGTCGCATACCGGCCTCCGGCTGGCTCCGTCTCCCAGGCCGTAGACGAGCTCCAGGAGCAGCTGAGAGACGTCCTGGCCAGGGGCAAGCCGACCTACCTGCTGGGAGACCTCAACATCGACGTTCTGAACGCCCAGTCCTCCGACACCCGGCGCTACAAGACTGCTCTCTCGGAGCTGAACGTGACCCAGCTGATCGACCGGCCGACCCATCTGCGGCCAAACCCATCGGCCCTGGATCACATCATCACTAACATCTCATCATCTCGCGCTGACGTCCTCACCACACCTATCAGTGACCACCAGCCGATAGCAGTCAGCGCACCTATCGGCCGACTCCGGAAGCAGCCGACGGAGCGCACCACTCGGAACTGGGGCCGAACAGACTGGGACGCTGTCTGCTTAGACCTGCTGCTGGCTGACTGGTCCAACTTCGACAGCAACGAGGACGTCAACAGCATGGTCGACATCTTCATGCAGATATGGTGGACAGTCATTGACCGTCACTGTCCGGCGCGCACCCGACGCGGCCGACGCAGAGGCTGTCCGTGGATAACCGACAACCACGAGCTGCGACAGGCCATGCTGGAGCGTGACGAGGCGTACCAGGCGTGGCTGGACCTACACACTCCCGAGTCCCGCGAGGACTACTGCCGCCTGCGGAACTCCGTCAAGGCTCAGCTGGCTCAGGCGCGCAGGGAGTTCCTGGGGCGCCAGCTGCTGGCCTCTGACCGCAAGGAGTTCTGGTCCAGCCTCAGGAGGTTCTACCTGGCGCCCTCCGCTTCAGCACACTCGACTTCAGACAAGAGTCCAGCCGAGCAGCGGGCCCGCGCTGACCGATTCAACGAGTTCTTCGCGTCGGTGGGCTCTCGCATCGCGGCCGACTTGAATGATGACGTCACTGCGGGCCTAGCCCCGCGGCCGCCTATAGTAGTCTCAGCGGCGTTCCGGCTCCAGCCTGCGACCCTACCGGAGCTGGCGCGAGCTGTGAGGCGGATGAACTCGTCTGGGGCGGTGGGGCTGGACGGGGTGCCACTCGGTGCGGTGAAGCGCTGTTTTGATGTGATTGGCCCCCACCTGCTGCGACTTGTGAATGTGTCCCTAACCAAAGGTGTTTTCCCTGAGGCGTGGAAAACTGCCGAGGTGGTGCCGATCCTTAAGCCACGCGGTGATGTACACGAACCATCTAGCCACAGACCGATCTCACTTTTATCTCACTTGTCAAAAGTTGTTGAAAAGGTTGTGTGTGACCAACTGTCGCGGTACCTATCGGACCACAACATTTTATTTCACAACCAGTACGCCTACCGATCATGTCACAGCACGGAGGACGCCGTGCTCGACGCTGTCGAATGGATCAGCCAGAACTCAGAGCGGGGAGAGGTCTCCTCAGTCACGGCAGCTGACCTCAGCAAGGCCTTCGACAGCGTCGACCACGGCGTCCTCCTGCGCAAGCTGGAGTGGTACGGGATCGACCCGACCTGGTTTGGTAGTTATCTTGGCGGCCGGGGGCAGCTGGTCAGGGGTGGCAGAACAGTCCTGCCGGTCCCCTGCGGGGTTCCGCAGGGATCCATAGCCGGGCCGATCCTCTTCAGCCTGCTAACGAACGACCTGCACTGCCATCTACCGGACTGTCGGATGATCGCATATGCTGACGATGCCCAGCTGCTCGATCACTCGCGTCCTGACCCTCAAAATTTAGCATCACTAAAACAACGTGTCGAAAACTCCTTGGATGTCATGAAACACTGGTTTAGCTCAAATTCTCTTAAAATGAACCCTCAAAAGACCGACTTCATTCTCATCGGAACCCGCCAGACTCTCAGCAAGGTCGAAAACTTTAATATCTGCATAGCTGAGTCAGTCTTAAAACCGTCACCAACCATCAAATTGTTGGGGGTGACTGTCGACTCGTGTTTGGCCTGGGACGCCAACATCAGTCACATCGTCAGGAGGTGCAATGCCCTCCTCATATCCCTCTCCAAGTTCCGCCACCATTTTGACCAGGAAACGCTAAAGTTACTCATTGAGACCCACGTGTTCCCTCACATTCTGTACTGCATTTCGGTGTGGGGCGGAACCACAAAAAATCAACTCACTCGGATCCAAAAACTCATCAACTTCAGTGCTCGGATCGTGACAGGCGTGCGGCGTCGGGAGAGGATCGGGCCGGCTCTGGCATCCCTGGGCTGGCCCAGAGTGGAGCGGCTGGTGTGGGAGAGGGACCTACTGAAGGTGTGGAAGGCGCTCCACATACCAGCTTACCCTCTCTCCATCCGCCGCATGTTTGTGTCCCGCTCTGAGGTGTCTGGCCGGGTCACACGCTCTGTAGAAGCTGGCGCCCTGGAGCTGCAAAAGTGTAGGCTCTCTTCCACACAGAGAACGTTTAGTTACCGCGCTGCTACCGCGTGGAACCGGCTGCCGCCGGCCGTCAGGGAGCAGCCCACGCTGACCGCGTTTCGCCGCGCAGTGGCGGCCAGCGAAGCCTGAGATCTTGGGGTGCTGTGTTTTATTCCGGTTTTAGTGCAATTAGTTGTCTTATTTTATCTGCCAGTGCCTATTGCCTTCTTGCATTTTACTGTATTATGCATGACGCTGAATCCTGAAAAACCATGTTATGTGGATGGATTTTAGATCAATACATACATACATACATACATACAATCGGGGTAGTTGTGATTGTGGACACCTTCAACGTTTTTTATATCGAAAATGATTGAGGACCGTTCGTGAAATCAATCATTTCTTTACATCGAAAAGAACGAATGGGCAATAAGGTCGATCATCTAATCAATCTGAAATGGTGTTGCTGGAAGCACTGTGGCGTCAAATTTGGTGTTTTTGCTACGGCACACCGGTCGTCAAGTAAGCTTGCCGCCAAACTTCCCTTTCCTCTCATCCACCAGCAGCGCTACCCTGGGCCAATCTCATTGTACCATCATCCTCAACACCGGCAGCCCAGTTCTTCGCCCGGCTCCCCGCCCTGAAACCCTCCCAGCACCTGTCGCAGGTAGCGGAGGGCACCCCTCACCCGGACCTACCTCTGACCACCGTATGCTGTTCTTCATCTCGTCGATTCGTAGGTCGATGTCCATCCCCGACGGGTCGGCCGGGTCGGACTGTGGACGGGGAGACAGTAATGTCACTTTGGTATCTGGGGCTGAACGAATACACAGATCATCAGCCACCGGGCACACTCAGGCTCAGGCTATATGAAACATATGGCCCGTATTCACGTCGACATCTTACGATCAGTTTTCATCGTACGATCGATTTGGTATTCATGTTGACCATCTTAACTTTTTATCGTACGATCAGTCTGGATATTTAGGATGCTTCTAATTCACGTTGACAGTCTTAAGCGGCCCCCGGTCGACAGACATGGTAGCCCAAATCTAGTCGGATATGAAGATTCTTCCAAATCCATAGACTTTAATGTTAAATTGACTATATTTGAGAGGGTTTTATGAAGATACCTGACCAGATACAGGAAAAAGCGAGATGCTATCTTGTAGATTAAATCGTCTACTATCTGCGACTTCTGAAGTGTTTTTCAATCTGAGGTACGGAAATCGTGTTCCCAAGAGACTGAAAGTAGCCATGCTTTACATTAGACCCAATGGCAAAAATTCGAAATCTGACGAAATTGGCCATTTTTACGTCTGATTTATGAAATTTCTAGACAGGATATATACAAACCCGAGATGCTATCAGGTGGGAAATTTCATTTTCTATTACTGCTTTTTGAAGTGTTTTTCGATCTGAGACCGGCAAATCGTGTTCCCAAGAGACTGAAAGTAACCCTGTTCTACAGCAAGACAATGGCAGAATTCTACTATTTGATGGAAGATATCTTAGGTGATAATAACCTCACTACTAATTGCAATGCTTCATTGGAAAGCTCAACACTGGCACTGTCATCGGTCTTTGCATTGCTATTTCACAGAACAACAAAAAATAACGTTTTGAAGCCTTTGAATATTGACTTACTTTTCATTGACGGGCTCGATCCCCATCACCACCAACAATTTTCCGGGAAGTCAGGATTTTAGACATATTTAAGCAGAATTGCAGAGCTGTGTTAATACTACGGCACTTAAATACACATTTTAAGAAAACTGCTTTTTTCTTAGCATGATTTAGGTCTCAGAAACAGCAACATGTCGATAAAATGAGGAAAAATAAGTGCAACATGATCGCGCAAGAGAGAATCCTTAGCTCCCTAGCAACCACCTAGCAACGTAAGGCAAAATAGTAAACAACTCCTGTTGATATCAGGTACTCAGCCTTGGAAGCACAGTAGACGGTCACTATACTGGGCTTCATACTGAATTTTGCATACCAGAATGGATGTTTCCAACTAAAATTATTTTTTCGCGAAATTTATCTTTGTTGCCCTACTATTTTTCGTAAAACCGAGATATACAAACTTAATGATATCAAAAATAATATTGTGATAATGAAAACCGCCATATAAAACAAGATAATTGCTGAGATCATGCCTACTAAACTTGGTCCTACCCCCTAATTCAATATACCCTGGTCTTAAGATAATTTGGTATTCATGTCAAAAGTCCTAGGATTCATCCTACGACCCAACTACGACCCAACTTAAGATGTCGTAGCAGTTCCGAAGATTTGATTTTTAGCAGCATATTCCGGGACGACATAGAAAATGAATCCTCCGTCAAATGATACAGCAAACGAAATATGTGCCAAACTGTGCAAAATGAAATTGCCGATCAGGGAATGGGAAGTGGAAAGTGCGGCGGACTATCGACTAAGTGATGAAGGTCAAGATTCAACTTCTAAACACAACGTGACAAGATAGCATAAGTGTGATAAATGTCATGCTCTCGGGCTCACCCGAGAGCATGACCCCAAAACGTTAACGCAGACCTCGCAAAAAAACAATCGCCCGCCCGCCGAAAACCGCAGAAAAAAGGCAAAAAACGCCGCAAAAAAAACGCCCGTCCGCCGCAAAACGCAAACACCGCCGCCGCCGCAAAAAAAAACGCGTCGCCCGCCGCCAACCGCGCAACGCCGCAAATAAACGGGCGCCCGCCGCAAACAGCAACACCGCAAATAACGGTCGCCCGCCGGCAACCGCAAATCGCCGCAAAAAAAACGGCCGGCCGCCGCCCGCCGCAAGAAACGGCCGCCCGCAGCCAAACGCAAACACCGCAAAAAAACGCAAATACCGCCGCAAAAAAAAAAACGCCCGCATCGCACGCCCGCCCGCCGCCAACCGCAAAACGCCGCAAAAAACGGCCGCCCGCCGCCAAACGCAAACACTGCCGAAAAAAACGCACGCCGTCCGTTAAACGTAAACACTGACGCATTAAGACAAATATGGCGCCTTGCGGCAAGTGTGGTGCATTCATATCTGCCGTTTAAGCAGCCATCCCTCAATCAAAGCGCATCCTAATCGTCCCATGTTCGATAAAGTTACGCACATTCTGTGATTTGCGGCAAAAATGGCGCTTTGAGACAAACGTGGCGCACTGCGACAAACGTGGCGCATTCGTTCCTGTCGCTTAACAATTTTATCCACCCACCAGAGTCTAGCCCAATTGGACTTAAACTGACAAAGTTATGTTCATTTGAATATCATTCACTATCATTTTGGGCGTCATTTTTTCAAAACAAACAGTGCCAAACTGGCGGTCTATTTTATGTATCACCGTCTGTCTGATTTCAGTTTCACAACAAACAAAATGCAAAACAACAAACAAAATGTTATGCGAATAGATGGAGTTTACACATTCACGTATACAACGTAAAATTATCATGACAGGCATACAATTTGCCAATTTCAACAGCATTGCAACTATTTCAAAAATACATGAATGAATAACTGAGTTTCATGAAAAGGCTCACTCCCGCCGTCTCGGACACCGCCCTGTTGCCATTTACTATTTATACGGCCCTTAACGTGGCTCTGACCTTTTCGCCGCGCTCCTTGAGGCTGATGAGCTGCTGGAGTCGCTTCTGGCTCTCCCGCAGCGAGCGGGTCTCCTTGGCCAGGCGCGAGGTCCACTTGATGGCCTCCTCCTCCAGCCAGCCGGTGCAGTTGTGGTCCATCCGAACTCGGTCCACCTGAGGACGGGGACGCAAGACCGACGGTCAGAACAGACCAGAGTACGGGCCAGGTCAGTTCAGCTTATTCCTGGGTTGTTACTTGGTACGGTCATGTTAAAAGCTGGTAACTAAGGTCGAATGGGTCGGGTCAGTAGTCTGGTCATTGGTCAGGTATATACCGTAACTGTCCCCTTGGGCCTTTGTATCAGGTCGTCTCCACTGTGTCACCTATCACCCTATCATCTAAGTCACCTCCAATCATGTCATTATTTGTCGCCTCTGCTCAGGTCGAATCCGCTTGGGACAGTCGATCCTAAGTTTTGGCCATGGCCGGCCCGGCCTTTGCCAGTGATACCAGCAAAAGTTGTTGGTACCGACAGTCAGTAGTAGTTGTTTATAGCATCAAGCGATCCATGATTAACCTTCGAGCACTTCGCACACCAAGAGATTACAAGTCAAAGCAAACTGACCAAATATGCATGGTACAACAAAATCATAGTTTCGTCAGTGATATTAATAGTATACCCTCTACCGAAATCGAGACCATGCTATCAATTTTCTATATCTAGCCGTCGCTAGACACTAACACCAAATAACTATAATACATACATACAACTACAACACCCAGCTTACAACACTCCAACACAGTTACCCCTAGGACTTCCAACGACACAAACACACACATCGAGACTAACATAACGAGCTGGAGACACCAAACGACTATTTGGGGACACTGTACGCGCTCCTCTGGAAAACTATGGGTGTGGGAAGCGCGAAATGACAGAGAAGAAAGTGAAAGCTGCAAGAGAGCCAGCAAGAAAAGGTTGCAGCAAATAGGTAGCGAATAAGTTTACGGTTGTTTGGCTTCAAATTGAGAAATGACTATATGTATTGTGAATATCCGTGAGCGTCCTGTCATTATTACGTTCTTTTTTTAATCAAGGGTGATGCATTTTTGGTCCAGCTTAACTTCAACGTAGTTCGAGAGCAATTTGAGGTTATCCAGACTGTCTTCATTCACGACAAAAGATTTTGCGGTGGATGAATTGAAAAAAGTCTCAAGCAATTCGCTTCACGGTACAGTTTACACAGGGAGTGTGCATATTTCGGCGCATGCTGATGATAGGTGCTCTGTACGAGTATATGCGTGTAGTAAAGGACGTCAGACAGTGCAGCAACACTTCGTTGTAATTTGTCTCTGATGTTTATCGAGCATTGAAACACTCTTGGAACATGTGCATCGCAGTGCTTGATGGTTCTGGCATTCACTTAGCGACTTTTTCCAACTAACTTAGAATCGAATGCATTTTGGGTGAGTTATTTCACATTTTATCATGCAGTCATGCAGTCATGCTGGTCCTCTGTGGCTTTGTCTGCCGTGTTGAGATATACATACAGCTCCTGTCCCGGTGAGGGGCGGGCGGCAGCAGCGGAGCCAGTGGCGACAGTCGAGTGGAGGGCAGCGGCAGGCCAGATCGCGAGAGAGAAAAAGACAGGGAGGACGGCCAGAGAGCCGACCCAAAACGGACGCACCGCCAGTTCAGGCAGGCGAAAACGTGAGGTCGGCGGAGGGAGGGGTGACGGCCAGTCCACAGACAGCAGCGGAGGCAGCGGGGAGTCGCTGTGACTGTGAGCGGTGTCACAGGGATCGCAGAGGGCCTGGAAGCCTCCCACGGCCCACAGTGACACCACTCACAGTATACAGCGCACCGCCGAGCTGCCGCTGCCGTGAGAGTGACACCCCACCTCACCGCCGACCTTCCGCAGCAGTGTGAGAGCGAGTGAGAAAGAAAGGGAGAGAGATAGGTAGGTTGGGCAAACGATCAGAGCCGGCCGGCCGCGCCGCGCCGCACCTCACTCACCGGCGTTCCGTCCCGGGGACTCACCGAGTCACCCTCGCAGGGCTCGAACTCGATGGGCACGTCCTGCGCCAGCACCGGGTACAGACGGTGGTAGCACTCGATGTTGTACTGAGGAGTGATCTGAAACATACGCGGGGATGACATGTCAGTCGGCATCATCGTGAGGCAGTCGGCGTTTGGAACTTGGGGCAGTCGTCATAAACATGGTCAGGTGGAAAAGTTGTCCTGCTTTTCGAGCTTCTCGTACTTTACTAACATTTCTATGACATATGACATTTATTCTAGCCTAATCGTTATAGTGTATCAGCATCGGTGCTTTTCATATCATGCAGACATTCAATGGCTCTTTGGCATGGCGATTCCATTTTGGGAGAGGTTACGTCCCCGATAGCATTCCTGGTAAAGGTCACCGACCCCAATAAGTCATCTTGACATTCAATCTATCCTAATTCCCTCCGCGCAACGCGGGATGGTGGTCGAAATTCCAATCCCAGTAGAACGTAAACCACGATCGGACTCGTAATAACCCAATGCCGTCCGCAAACCTCTGACATATGCAGCAGCTCCAATTCGTGAAGGAAACTAGACCGCCCGTATCCCCCAGAGCGACAGTCAAACAAGGTCATCACCCCACGACGGCCGTTCAAGTTGGTCAGGAGTCGGTTTGCTGCGCTGTTTGCTGAGCGAGTCACTGATGCGGGGCGACCCGGCCCGTTTTAGAGTCCAGAGCCACCCTGCAGATCCGCCCCTCAGTCGGCCGAAAAGGTTAACGGGCGTTCATACAGGCCCTCCACTTGGCCGCAACACTGGGTCACAATGGCTGAGTCGGTATTCAGCTCCGGCGAGTGGCGCCGTGAGCATGGTCCTCAGGGAGCCCATTTGAGGCGTGCAGCCGACTGAAGGCGAGTGGCTCAACATTTTGTCGGAGCACGGGGACGCTGTTAGTAGTCGAGTCGGCACACGGCGACCGAGTGTCCCACCAAACGACGGTGGTAACAGCGCCGACACTAAGATCGACCGACTGGTAAATAAACCAGCAGTCGTCCCGGCCGACAGGACAATGCCGGCTGAATACTGAGGCACAGACGTCTCAAGAGCTGCCTTCTCCGAACGCTGCCACAGATATCAGTCAGGGCCCGCCTCCGGCAGGATATTAGGCAGGGCGGGCAATGGAACCGAGCCCGCTGGCACGCCCACACAGTCTCTCTGCGATAATGGCCAGAGCAGGAGTCATCTCAGCATGCTCTAAAACGGTCCCGAGAGGTATAATGTGTCAGTGCATGGATCCGGGATGCTGCAAAAGCTATCGCGGCTCGCAGCTAAGCCGGACCTTCAGTGCCCCATGTGTGTTAAAGGAAATAATAAATCGCTGAGATAAATGAGATAAATAATAAACGGGACGTGAATCACCGATGGAAAAGAAGCTTCAAGTCAATCGATGTTCCAAACTCGTTTTTTATAACGGCTGTCAAATGCCATTTGTTTTTCCTGTATCATATTTCGTAATCAATGGGAACGTCCCACACATCCGAGCGCAGCGATGCGAAGATAGGACCTGTCGCTGCCCACTGTCCAGCCCTTCCAGCCACAAAAATATCACTCCCTAATTCATAATGTAGGTCACATCATTTCTCTCCTGCCGTCTCATGGTATTTCAGCTCTGCTCCACGTTGGCCTCAGTGACAACCTCTAATGCCATGGGCCTGTCCGATGTAGTACGCCGTTCCTTTCCCCACTTCACATGCCTGTATGACTAACTAGCCGCGCCTGTATTAGCAGGGTCTGGCATTGCTAGTCATATTTGCCACGCGACCAGCAGCAAAAACACGCTGAGGGTTAATACGAAGGTTAATAGAGATCAGCCCCATGTCTGCCTTCCTCCTCCTCTTCCCGCACTTCCATCTCCCCCTCGTCCCTAGCATACGTGACCCCTGCACTTGATCAGAGACCCTTCTAGTCGGAATAGAATACGAATGTGGTTCTATTCAAAGTAATACCTGTGCCTCAGTCACTGATGTCCGATGTCCGTGGTGGTATTTAATTTACGTACCGCCCGCGCCCAGTCGCGGACTTCGGTGAAGTATACGTCACTCACCGCGTGCGCCTGGTCGCGGACTTTGATGAAGGAGGCCTGATCGGTTCTAATACGTACTGCCTGTGCCTGGTCGCGCACTTTGGTGAGGGTCTCTCAAACACTTACCGCCTGCGCCTGGTCGCGGACTTTGGTGAAGGAGGCCTGCTCGGCGCTGCAGGTCAGCAGCTCGGTCCGGCCGATCAGGGTCAGGTACTCGCCGATCTTCTCGTATGTGTCGCCCTCCATCGTCTGCCCGATATCAGAGAACAGGAGGCCGTTAGACGGTGGGGCAGAGGAGAGGTATAGTATAGGAGGAGTACTGTAACGTAGGCGAAGCAGACGGGGGGCACACGCTACGGGCGTTTGTCGTCAGTCACGAGACTGATGAACACAATACGGACTACGGACACAGTGAGTACGAGTCTAATCTGTACTACAAAGCTTCTTAACATCCCAAGTTGTAATCAAAATGCAACTTCGTGTAAAATTGTGAGCGCAACGAGCATGTATCTAAACGGGATATCACTCGATGCAATTCCCTCCCGAGAGTAAGTCCCCGTTTGGAAGCGGGAACACGGCTTAACGCTGAGCGTCAGACTAGGCAGGACATATTCTGCCTTGCAAAATACCGGAGACGGGAAAGCGGGAAAGAAGCCTACCACTAGCGGATACACGCAAAGCCTCTGAAGACCAGGGGCTCAGCCGTCGCGGCACAAACTGCACACGAGGCTACCACAGCTGTATTACAATGTCACAGTAAAGTACGGATGAGTGGAGACCAAGCGAGGCGGAAACACACCACAAGTGGTCATCACACGTCCACACATCCCTTCCTGGAATTGGTCTCGACGATATAAAGCTAGTGTCAGCGGAAGAAATGGCAAGATCGTGCCTATACTGTGCTAAAGAACAATCGTAAGAACTCATACCAAGCATGCTGAAGAAAGGCTACGTGTCAGAGAACGACTGTACCTATACGCGTTCAAGCAATACAAACGTTTCTAGTTAACAACTGATCCGCAGCGATGTGTCGTGCGCTGTCGGACTGACCCTGAGCAGGTGCTGCAGGTCGGTGTGGTGGTACCGCTTCTGATGCGCGCTGGCAGACGCTATATCTACCCAGTGTCTGTAATTGTATGTATACAGTAATATGCCGTGCGCTGCCGGACTGACCCTGAGGAGATGCTGAAGGTCGGTGTGGTGGTACCGCTTCTGATGCGCGCTGGCAGACGCGATCTGCAGCAGGTACTCGTTCCGCGCAGAGGTCGATTTCTCCTCCACCTGGTCTTTCTTGGCCGACAGCTGGCGACAAAAACACAGATGACGTCAGCAAAAAAAAAAACAGACACACACCAATGCCGTCAGCAAGAATAACAAGATGCACAAATGACGTCACAAGTCAAATACGAGATGTGATAGGGGTTGGAACGATGGCTAGCATAAAACATGAAGGAATGTCCGAAGTTTCGCCCAAAATCCATGCCATCAAACTCCGAACTGCTCCCACTCTCGTAGTTGTGAGGGAGCAGCCTATCCACACCACTACCCAAACAAGAGGCTTCCATTTCAGTGCCGAACGTGCTCTGGAGAGCTCAATCCTGTTGACAGAAGTGGATTGACGTTTTTACAGCCCCCACAGCTCACAGGAGAAGCGGCGGACATGTGATCTGCTCACGACAAATCACATCTACCCCGCGTCAACAGTATCCACAGTGACAGCATTTGAACACGATTGCTGCACCCGAAGCACTGCAAATGCAAACTGCAACTACTGGGCAATGATCCGATAGCCAATATCATTGCGCTCCCTAAATCGGCCAGAGATCGCCACTGCACTGTTTTGGCGAGCTCGGGCGATTACAATGCAGGCTGGCCTTCCCATAATGGGTCGATGGCGGCTGGTGGCCTGCCTTGGACTGGGAGATATTGTGCCGCGAGGGCGCCGGGTGGCTGTCTGTACTATTGGGCCGCCGCGCCGAGGGCGCCGGGTGGCTGCCGGTCCTATTGGGCTACCGGGACAGTCGGTCTAATACTGGGCGAAGGAAGAACGGCCACTGACTACAGTGGACGGGACCGCTGCTGACTGCTAGGACGGCCGTTGTTTACAAAAGTGATAGCACACTGACTGTTGGGGAGGTGCAGCCACATAATGCCGAGGGGAGAGTAGGTACTGCCTGGGCTGTAAGAAGAGTTACCAAAGAGCGCCGTGAGAGCAGCAGCTAGTGGCTACCGAATGGAAATTTATCTAAATGCGTCGCTAGCGAACATGACTGTTCTGCTTCATTGTCACCGTGAATGATGACTGTCAACGAGGCAGTGTCACGGTTCAATTCATGGGCACTTACATGAAACGCAATAGCGGACAAATTGAACCCGCCTCTCTGCTTCCTGTTGGACCTTTGATATCTAAATGCGACTGGTTTGCGGTACATGCTATTAGATATTCATCGATTCTCCGTACACTGCGCAGCTTGGTGCGGCATGTGCGACACTCAGGAGCAAGCTGAAACATGTATGCATACGTAAGTACCCGGCTCGGGTACCCGGAACATACCCAGCTCGGCTCGAGAACACCCTCAAGACGCCAACGTTCCCATGAGCCTTCCCGGGTGTTGTGCACGGTCAGCCGGCCGATTAATCAACAGAAGATAAGTAGAGGACCAATAATCTGACTAGACCAATGCCGCCGTAGTATATGCAGCGTGAACTCTGGACTACGCAGCATGGATTCTGTGCCAAAGTGGGAAACATTCCATCCAGCAGCCACAGCTAGAATCGGCCACAGAACCACCAACAAATGCCAGACGTCTGTGACGAGCAATCTCGCTCGGCATTACCGACCCAGACGGCATCTCGAGCAGCTCTCAGGCCGGGTCATTCACTGCCACAGAGAGCGGTGGAGCTCACCAGTTGCAGACAGCTCAGTCTGGGTCGGTTCGAGCACCGTGTCTGCGGGGCTCGGTCGGCCGTGAAACGGGTGCCGACAGTTGGGCGGATTGCCCAGTTGATAGCTCAGTGGTTTGGACGGGGTTTAGGGCTAGGGAAGTCTCAAGAGGACCACACCCGCCTACTGAGGGTACTCTCCAGCCGCAATCGAACTGGAGACCAGTTGCAGTGGTCGGCGCGGCGGTCTAGAGACTAGAGGCACTGCCAATCAGTACGGGCAGACACCAGCCGGACAAACGCAACAAATGACGCAGTCATGGGCAAAGATGGCACGCTCCGTCTTCTAGACACAGCCTCTGAACGACAGCTAGCCTAGCATCGACACTACAATCAAATAACAATTTCGTCACCCAGCCAGCCATTCAGCGATTCCCTCGAAACTGTTCATTTCAGACATTTTTCGTTATCTCAAGCCCTTTTCTACCACTCTTGGAGAGCACAATCGTTCCAACAGCCGACGAAGCTTAGCAGTCTTATCGTTGTTATCGTCGCCGACAGAAACTTCTGGTCTCTAAAAGACGCGGCGACCCATCCTTAGAGCAGTTAGCCGCCGTGGATAGTAAACAGAGTCAATATCGGCCTCTCCACCCCCGAAAGGAGAGAGGGAGGGAGAGGTCAGGGTCGCTGCCAGCTCGGCGTTCGTCCTCTCTGAGGAAGGACAGAGGACAGAGCGCCAGCGCCGCGTGCAGATCGATGACGACAGCGGCGGCGGCGGCGGCGGCAGTGGCGGCGCAGGGTTTCCGAGCAGTACTATACGCGGCCGCCCAGCCCCCTTCCTCCTCCCACACACACATGGCAGCGGCGACCGGCCGGCGCGCGTGACAGGTCAGTCGATGAGTGATCAATACGCCTCCTACACTCGCCGGCGCCCGGCCCGGTTACACACTCTGACACGCCACGGCAGGGCGTGCGTGTGGGCGACCTTATCCAGTCGGAGCCACGTGTTAGGTCACAGTGCTATCCGATAAATGACAGTGATGTGGTTATAGGACTGTCATAGTCAGTCCCTATACGGACAGAATCAGAGCTCGTGTGCGGCCCATTCACGCTGGGCGCTGCTGGGATCGATACAGCGTGGGTCGATGTGGCTGACGTCCGGCGAATGGGTGGGTTCCTGTCCCAGTCAGCTGAGTGCCGTGCCTGACACGGGCACAGCGGTCACGGGTCAGCGACCTTAGCCCGACCCGGGGAGGGCATGCTTTCAGTAGTGGCGAGCATTGATTATGTCCGGTCTCCTAACAGGAGAGAGGTCCGCAGCTTGCACTTTGGACCTCGCTTGAAGATAAATGGAAAGTTTTCTGAGAAATCGACACATCCCAACGCACAAAAAAAAAAAGACAATAAACACACGAAGGCCAACTAACCACAACCTGGTGACAAGCTTTATCTATTGTAGTCGGTACCGACTCTGGTTCCATAACACAGCCACACGCCGTGGTACGCCGCCACGCCACGCTGACAGCCCGCTTGTCACGGCAAATGACACTGAGTGAGGCCGGCACGGGCCCATGCTGAGCAGTGAGCGTGTGGTAATGGGGTGAGTGCGGGTCGAGTCACACCGCGCCGCGCCGGCCGAACCCCGGGTAAACGGCTCTGCTGGACGCAGCAGGGTCCCGCGAGGGGGGTTAAAGGGACTATCCCACCTTCTAAAATGTTGTTAAAACCAGTTAAATTGTGCCCGACTTTATAGAATGGATGACCAGGAACACGGTTCTGGCATTTATTTTTCATTAAACATCTTAGGCTTCCCATATTCCAAACACAAACTTTCAAATATGTGACGTCACAGCCCAAAATTACCTCCTTCCCCAGGCCACATTACTGTCATAAAGCTGATTCTTTTTACTCTGTAGGCACCACAACAAAGTTCAGACCAAGTTATTTAAGCGATTTTTCAACGAACAAACCCATTTAAATCAGAATGACTAAACGAGGTGACGTCACACTAACGGTCGCTCCATGTTGAAGATAGGGCCTTGTACAAGGCCCATTTTCAAATGAAGGGAACGAATTTCTTCAACACCAAGAGGCCGCGGGGGTTGCAACCTAGATAGATAGTGGTTTCTGAACCTCGCCGCAAAATTGGCTATCTCAACTCAAACCCCATGTTAAAGGTGGGATAGTCCCTTTAATTGCCGACGGGGGTTAAAACGACGGGGGTTAATTGCCGTAAGGTTCGGTCGAGAGTAATGTTTGCTTTGTAAGCGCTAAGGAGCGATGAGCAAATGGTGCTGGGTGCAGCTTTACGATTCGACAGATCATCTTAGCAAAACAGCATTATGTCTTCAACTTCGCAGCTAACTTTATAAGAGCCTCTGACATTTCAAACGCGAGAAGCCCAATAAAAGGTACATTAGGAACCACGCAATTCTTATTAACGTTTTGCGTGACCTATTCGGACAGCACGATAAGCGCACGCTGCCCACCAGTAAATGGTCGTGCCATACCACGACCACTGCACTTACCTTAGCGCTGTTCTTCTGAAGGGACGACAGCGACGTGAAGAAGCCCTTCTTCTTTTTGAGCCTGCGGAAGAGACAGACAAACAACCGTCAGTCACACCATGCCGCTCAGCAGACTAGACGGCCTAAAACTAACCACAAACGCGCCTATTGCCACCGCAAAACCAATCTTCAGCGAGATGCAGGAGACGCGTACTCCCGTCTCCCACAAAATTATCACGTCTCAGTCAGAATCGTCCCTCCCACCCCGTTCTGCGCAGCTCAGCGGCCACGAGCCAGCACGGGTCGCCCTGCCCCCGGCCCCGGGGTATTTCTGGCCGACCGCCGCTGATGTCTTCCGGCGCGGCACCGCCCGGGAGATGGCTGGCCGGCCGCCGCACCCGCTGTAGGGTCACAGCGTCCTATGGTCGCCGCTCGGCGGGGTCACGCCGTTCGTGGTCGTTAGTCCGGCGCCATCCGCGGCATCTCGGGATATAGTGAGCATTTAGCCGGAGGAGACGGTCGTGAATCATGTCAGTCGGTTAAATACGTCTCCGGTATGCCAAAATATACGATACATCACTTCGGTATTTGATACTTTATTGAGTAATGCTTCGAAAACATTTCATAGTCACAAACGTTTACCGATAGAAAATGGTAGGGGTTTGATTCGAGAACCATATGTAAATCCCTTCAATCATGTCCTTTTGAGCATGGTCAGTCATCAAATCATGCAGCCTGGATTTTGAATGTCAAATTTCAAACGTCATTCACCAATGCATGACCTTATGCGCTATTACGCCCGATTCCATCATCATTGGCCGCAGCTCAAATAGTTGATCGCTGTCGACTGTCGAGCGTCGATCGCCCCTCCCAGAAGGACCAGCACTCGCCGCTCGTCGGTCGGGAACCTCTGACGTCATCAACGCCATTAATTCCTTTTCTCTCTCCTCTTTCGACCGCCCTCATGCCAGACTCGAGACCCAGAGACTTGGTGGAGGAACGCGTGTCATCCGAGTCTGCGACACAGCGCCGTCCCTTCCAGAGGCCGGATATCTAGACGAGCCCCAAACAGCCCACAAGTTGCCTCTCTGGAGCTGCTTAGCATCGCAGCTGTGTGCTCTCAGTCACAGCTCAGTGAACGCAAACTTCAGTGCTCAGTCAACCGCTAACGGCTGGAGCCGGAGCTTTTGTGGCGGAGATTGTAAAACTCTGGCCCATGTCATGTTTGAGATTTTCCAGAGAATGGTTTGAATCTGTAATGCAGATAAACATCTCGGAGGAAACAAAGTAGCGTTGGCTGAGTTAAGGGCAGTGTGGTTGGACATCATTCTAAACACATGAATGTCCATGACCACGGAACCGAAAAGTCTTCAGTTGGAAAATATTGAAATCTTCGACTACTTAAGTGAGCTCATGAAATAATCATTGAATGAGCAATTTTCACTATGCATCAAGGAGTACCTATCCAGAACATTACAGCTAATCGGACGGACGTGCCCGCACGACCCCGGATGGTCCCTCTACTCGTTCAACTCAAACTACTCCGTCCAGAGAACCGTCGTAAAGGTCGTTTGTAGCGCACCACAATTCCCCAGGACTCCATAGAAAGCCTGAGTACAACGGCACAACGCACCTCAAATGGTGCCTGAAGCAATGTGTTACTGCAGTTGCGGGTATTCCCTTTGTCACATTACCAACCGCAACTGAAGGCATAAGCCTCACAATGCCCAGGTCCCAGCGGCCACACCGGCAGCCCACCGCTCACCTAATGGCCTCTCTGCGGCACAGCTCGGCGCAAAATGTCTGGTAAAGGGATGTGACGGCCCTGAGTGAGCTAAGACACCAATGCCGGCAGGCTAAAATGACATACACACAGCACCGAGACAGGCTGAAAGGCGACCAACGGTGAGCGTGACATGCTGAAAGGCGTGACTGCGGCGAGAAGCGAAGGTGCGCTCAATAGTGAGGCCAGACTGAGAGGCAGAAGATTCAGGCACGGACATTCGTAGCGGAGCGACGACAGATGCGACCGAGAAATGATGCCTGTCTGAAAGTCAGCTCCGCTGCAAGAGGAGAGCGAATGCCGAGAGATGTGAGATGGGAGCGGTGAGAAGAGAGAACAGGCTAGCAGCACATCGCCACGGTTGAATGCAGCAAATAGCAATAACACAGCACAACCCGGGTGATACAGAACAAAGCCGGCTGGGCAGGCGTAAGTGCAATATGTTGTTCGTTCGTCGTCTGTGGCAGTGAATTCGAAAAGCAGCCATTTCCATCTACACTGCTCCCAGTGCCGTTGCTGTCCAAACTAACGCTGTCTACGCCACGACGGTCCACACCACGGGTGTCGACCGCCGCTCACCAACCATCACAGGGCAGGACCTCAGACGGCAACTATAGCGACAAACTTTGGACAGCCCGTTCAAGTGTTCGCGCCGCGGACCCGCTAAAACACTCTAGTTAGTTGGTGGCGAAACTTTGTAACAATGAGGTCTGGAACGCTTAGGTGGCCTTTCAAAACCACGGCAGTTTCTGGTAGGAAGGTTCGATTTCGTGGACCGCCTCATCAGCAGCTACGGTCGCGACAACGTTCGAGTGTAGTCTGTCTGACGCCGGCCCAGCCTTGTGAATGAGACAAAGCAGGCTACTTGGTCGTCCCAGAAGCCGGCTTAGCCACAGCGTGCGAGTGTGAGAGCATATATGCATTTTGTAGGGTATAGTTATATGCAGACAGACCGATTGAAGGAAGCCGAGCTGGCAAGACCACTGCAGCTGCAGCACACTAACACAGACGAAGACGGACGGACAAATAGACGAGCGGACAGACGCAGACAGACGAACGGACGGATGGAGGGACTGGAACCTACCAGCCGAACCGAGTACGAGCACGTCTGTCCGGGCCGGCGCGGCGGCGGCAGGGAGAGCATGACCAACAGTCAGTACATGCTGCATCAACCCGTGCCTACACTATTGTCCCCACACCTAGCGCGCTCGCCGCGCGGCCATAGAACTAATTAATCAGTAAACGAACAGCCAAACAGATGATTCGAAAATGTGCATTAGTGGCGAAGCCGTCCGCAAAAGGAAAATGCTAACATTCATGCAATTCTTTAGAACCATGCTGTAAAAAGACAAATCGATGCCTCAAATTCACGAGTTGGTTGGATGCAAATGAACCTATATATTTATCAACAGCAATGAAATATGTTATCTAGGTAAATGAGGAACATCACTACTTGAGCCGTGAATTGATGTACTTCACGAGCGTTAGAAATTAAAGTTCTTAATGGTAAAAATGTCAACAGAATGTCGCTCATCTCGTGTTCGATTACATCCAGCCCCCTCATGGTTCTCCCGCCCGGTCTGTTACACCGACTCCGTCCGGCGCTGTGTTTGTATTGCGGCACAGCCTACCCGGCCAGGTGTCTGGCGGCTCAGTCTACCCAGACCGGCGGCCGCACGGTGCCGAGACAGTGCAGTGTGACACTGAGTACCAACTGCACTGCCATTACCGACCACTTAGGCACAGTGATTGCGAGGCTTTGTAGAAAAGGCTTCAGTGAAATTATAACATGCGAGTGCCCCCATGGGATTTCCGTGCGCTTCTAGCCTAAGCCACGCCACAGTCACAGCTATTCAGAGGTATAATATTGGACCCCGGACATACTCTTGACACACTATCGTTCTTCAATCTGATAATAATCTGGTAGATCACATCTAGTATTGCCCAATGATCAGGTGAATTGGCAGGAGAACATGACCCTAAAAACTAAAATCAGCCTCCTCCGGTTGTACTCACTTTTCCTCCGCCTGCTGGGCACGGTCTCGGATATCGTGCGCCACGTGTTCGTCCTCCTGGTAGCGTTTCTTACAGTTGTCCAGCTCCTGAACACATCCCTGGAGCTCCTTCTGGATGGCCTGCAGCTGCTCCAGACACTGCAATACGATTACACAATACACATTACACAGAGATAGAGTTCACACACAGGCTCATACAGTAAGAGTACATACAGATCAAAAGACGCGAGCATACACAGACACGGGTCAGTCACGTGCACAGGCACATAACTAAGAGTCAGTCATCTGGTCAGGTAGTAGCGGAGAGAGGGTGAGAGAGAGAGAGAAGAGAGAGAGAGAGAGAGAGAGAGAGAGAGAGAGAGAGAGAGAGAGAGAGAGAGAGAAAGAGAGAGAGAGAGAGAGAGAGAGAGAGAGAGAGAGAGAGAGAGAGAGAGAGAGAGAGAGAGAGAGAGAGAGAGAGAGAGAGAGAGAGAGAGATCAGAGCGAGCAGCTGCAATGCCAATTGATCCAGGAGCCGATTTACGAGTACAATAGACGGCTGGGATCGCTGTACATACATACAAACAGCCTAGCCGCTTAGTTGGCCTCTTCCCCGATCCATTGCACAGTAATACGGGTTCAGTTTAGGTGGCAAAATATGACAACAAGCGGCAAATAACAACAACAAAAACAAAGCCCATGCAGCAGCGTGCCGGAACACTGTAGTGCATCAAGGCGCGTTTCAACGTGCTAAATAACGTCAGTCAGCTCACGAGCCAGACAGCCGTGGGTACAGTGGACGGACAAAGCGACCGATAGCAACAGGGACAGCAGACAAACAGCCCCTTCACGAGCTAGCAAATCGGAAATTGCAGTTGTTTGAGGCATTAACTACGAAATAACGATCACGATGAACTTTGGGTCATCTGTCTGTTGCTGCAGCAACACGTCAACCTGTCCTTTTACAGACGCCCTTTAACGAGTCGGGTCAAACCATCTTCCTTCCGTGTGGCGACATACCACAGCCCCGGGACCTTGAACTGACCTTTTTGGAGGTCTGCACCTTGCTGGTGCGCACTGTTTTGGCCTCGTCTGTGATCCGCTGCTGGAACACCTCTACGGCGGCCATCCGCGCCTTGGCTAGTTTCTCCGTCTCGTCTAGCAGCGTCCGCCATACGGTGAACACGTTCCTGAGGGGAAAAAGGGAGACACGGTCAGTCAGTGACAGTGAGCAGAGGGGCATATCAAACTGTGAGCTGTCAACGACACACCAGACTCGTCCAACAGCGTCCTTCGTGCTGAAAACATGTTCCGAGGCACATCAGTCAGTCGCAGCTCGTAGAAAAAAGTAAGTCCCAGTAAGTAAAGCACATGACATACAGGGTGATCCAAAAAATTTGGAACCCCTAACTTAAAATGTCTGTAAGTCAGAAAATTTTCACTTTATTGATAAATTGCAAACACCATTAGAAAGAACGTTCAATTCTCTATAAAACCAAGTTAATTGTACTTACTTATTACAATAAATATTGCCCTAGACATATGCCTATAAAATTTGTGTCACGAAACTCAGTGAAACGGTTTTGAACATTATGCGCAAACCAGTGATTGAAGGTTTGCTGTTCTGACCATGTCTCTTGTTGGGGGTTCGGTTAGCTCATTCACGTGCTATTGTAAGGAAAGGAAAGGCTGACGGCCTGCTGGGACCAGTTGTCCCAGAGACTGCTGACCCGCGCAGTCGGACTCGGAGCTGTCCCCAAGCAACTGCAGGCCTGCGTGACGGCCCCCGGAGCTCGCGTTGAGCACATGCTGTGATGAACAGCGGAAGCTAGGACGCGTGTACCTGTTCTACTGTGTGCTTCTGTGTAAACTTTTATGAAATAAAATTGAATTTGGATGTGGTGTTATTCACGAAAAGACAACAGATAGAGTGCTAACGGATTTCAGCGCATTGTTAACATTTGGCGATTTCGTTTCACTCAGTTTTCTGACGCTCATTCCAAAAGCTAATAGTGTGCCAATGCTTTACAACATACATGCACCAATTTAACGTCATGCTATGGAAGATTTAACGCTTTTTCTAATGGTGTTCGCAATCTGTCAACAAAGTGAATACTTTCGGACTTATAGACATTTTAAGTTAGGGGTTCCAAATTTTTTGGATCACCCTGTATACATATATTGTATAATAACATTACGGGGAGACAGCATGGTGAGCAGAAGACATTAGTCACATCGCAGTCGCACATCAGCTGACTGCGAGGTGCGGGATATGCACCACACGGCGAGCATTTCTCGGAAAAGGGAGTAAATGTCTGCTGATAGACATAAGCATATCACATGTTCTTGGGACAGAGGTGACAATTAACCATGGTCAGCACTTAGCATAACACAGCGCGCACTATTAACACATTCCTGGCATGGCATTCATGCAAAAACGCATGCCACGTCGGATCATGAGCATTTTCATGATCTAGATAAGCGAAAACTTCCTGAATTGCCATCATTAATCATGAGTTGTTCACTCTGTCAAGTGCGACTTTATTTGGTAACAGCAAGCAGGCAAAAATGTCACAGCTCTTACGAGGTCACGATGCAGGGCATCGAGGGCAATACAGCTCCACGCTATAAATAAGCCTCGTTACCATGAATGAACTTTAATGGTCAAAGGGCTTACGTACGGGCTACGGGTTCCAAATATAATCCAATGTTTCGTTCTGAATGTCAGCACTATATTTAGTGCCACCATGCAGTTCAGAACGCAATATCGTGTGTTATTCAAACCGCACACCACTTATCACAGTCATAGTGCCGCAGAAATAGCACTGCGCTGTCGTGTTCAGTAAATAATTTCCACCGACAGTTATTAGGTTTATTCCACGACCGCTCCCATGCGGCGGGATTCGCGCGTCACCATAGCTCTGACGTCACTGGGTACCTCTCCAGCTCCGGTGACGTCACCGCTATACAGCCGCTGTCTACCAGTCCATGTCCCACCACCACCCCCTGCCGGACCGACCGACCGGTGGTCGATATACCGCCAATAAATAGCCGATAGCAGGCGGCCGCTGGCCGTATCGATTCCGGGGAGCCAGAGTCGCGTAATCGGCGGCCGAGTGGCCGCGAACGGGGCCAGGTCAGGTCAGAGCGCACGCAGCGCACAGCCGTGGCATCAGGTGTGTTCCACGAGGATTACTGGCCGAGGGGACCGCCCCGTGGGAGAGTGTAATTGGGTGATTCTGGCGCAGAGAGGATGGTGGCGCAGGGTTGGTGGAGAATAATGGGGTTTGTGTGGGTCTCATGGCACAGATTGCGTTAGTAGAACCAGCATAACGCCTTTTGGGGCGACTAACGGAGCGAGCGAGAGGGTGAGCCTTGCACGTCCGGAATTTCAAGGGGGTACCTCCAACTGACTTGTGCACGGCACCCAACTAAGCGGTCTCTAGCGATGTGCCAAATTTGAGCACAATCGGCCCAGCCGTTCTCGAGATCTGGAAGCGGCACCCTGCACGTGCGCACGTGCAAAATGGGTCCCAACTGACTTGTGCACGGCACCTTAACCGGTCCCTAACCGTGTACCAAATTTGAGCGCAATCGGTCGAGCCGTTCTCGAGATCTGGAAACGACCCCTGCACGTGCGCACGTGCAGCAGCACCCTAACTCTGGCACATGGATATGCAGTGCCTAGTGAATGCCTACCTACATGCCAACTTTCAACGCAATCGGCCAAGTAGTTACCGAGATATTGCAACAATTACCAAACTGACACCTCTTCGTTTTGCACGTGGCACGTGCATAAGGGGTCACCCACATGCATCGGGAATAGTCCAATACTTGGTAGAAGGAATGAAGCTACCCTACAAAAATTACCGCGTGTAAATCGGTCAAGTGGTTGCTGAGATATGAGCCTCGCAAAAGCGTCCGCACGGCCGGCCGGCCGGCCGGCCGCTCATACTCAGAAATTTCCGTTAATCTAAGGAAAGACTCCGCTCGCTTCGCTCGTTCCGTAAACAGAGAATGCGGACTGAAACTGAGAGTAAAGCTGGGATAGGGTGAGGGGCTGGGACACCGTCCCCTCTTTTCCATCCTCATGACAGACAAATCCTACTCCTTCACGCCTCAAACCCCTGCTCCGGGCTGGACGGGACACTTTATCCCATGCGGTAATCCCCGTAAGAGCACGCCCGTAGCCGGGTGCGGTGAGTGCTTGGAGGACTGGTCGGCTTGTCCTCTGGACGGGTTCAGCCTCGGCGACTCACCAGGGTGCTCACCCAGACCAATATCTCCTCCTAATTCCTATCATCCCTCCGGGCCTGAAATGGTCTCGTCAGACCGTCACGGTGCAGTGTGATAATCTCACGCCAGTAAATACAATGTGGGACAATCTGATGAGTATGGATATTGACATGTTCGAGGAACCGGCAAACATCGTTTGACAGGCTGCGCACATACGCCAACAACTTGGCAGCTAATTGGTGAGAAGTTCAGCCACATCTTCTGAGTACCCACATCGTAGTGAAAATAACGAGCTTGCATGTTCGTGGTAAAACAAGGCCTCTGCTTTTCTGAGAATGGCAGGCCGGCTAAATATCGCCCATGGCCCGGTTGGTCGGGTGGCTCTTACGCGGCCGTTTTTTCCCATCAGTGCCCGGGTAATCAGACGATCGGAGCAGCCGGCCGGACGAGCCACGCCGGCCGCTGGTGGCCATCGATCCTTGCCGAGGGGCTGGGAAGACGGCGGCCGGCCGGCGGGACCGGGTGTGGGTTGAGAGGAAGTCGAGACTCCTCAGAGTCAGAGGGCAGTGGCGGATCAGCTGATAGAGATTTGAGGTCCCACCACCCGCACCCGATTTGCCAGGACACGGAGCTGAGCGGCAGCCTCTCCACAGCGCAGAGATAGCTCGTCAAAATGACAGGGTACATGTACAGGGTACAGGTAGTTTGACCCTGACCGGAAGTCCGGTGGCGAAAATAAAAAACATGTATTTCGAGTTGAAAAATTAACAATCAGCGTTCTTTCCTTTCAGAAATGTGGCTGTCCTGCTGACCAAGAATTCAGGAGAGACGACCAGCATCGCTCAGTGCGGTGCTGACCATCGTCATTAGGGTCCCACCGACCAATTTCACCTGCCGTACTGACCATTGTTCGGGACCGTCGCCTTGTATCTCTGGCAGCTGTGGAATCTTCTTGTGGAGGTAGGCCGAGGAGATCTTGAGCAACGCCTGCGGCAGAGGACCGGTCCAGTCAGACACAGATATCACGGGAGGTCAGACGGCACCAGCTCAGCACAGACATAGTGTTTGTCTATTAAACAGTCTGCGGTGAAAGAGAACGTCACCAGCCACACTCCAGAGAACCACACCAGTCACGCTCAGGAGATCGTCACCAGCACAGACACAGTCTGCTTGGTAGGCACTGGCCAGAGCCAGACATCCCACGAGATTACAGACGTCACCGGCCAGACTCAGACAGTCTTCAGGGAAACGTCCGACAAGGCCGGACGAGGGACGACGACGCCCTCATATGTTACGCTGACTAGCCAAATAGTTGTGTTGAAAAATTCACGATCCCTCACAGGAAATGCGGGTGGCACTCGGAGGTGAGTCCCTTTGATAGCCATCTTCCATAAAATGGTGGTGAATATTCCCAAATAAATAGGAGTTTGAGATCTGACATGGGAACACCTACCTTACGAAAATAGCTGGAACACCAAACAGAAGCACAAAAAAAAATCAACCACCATATCCTCAAGAACTGCTTCAAAAGATCAATGAATAAATACAATTTTCACTTTTATAATAGTCACAGTGAAACATGTCATTACCCAGCCATGGCTGTCAATACCACAGAATCATAACGCTGTGGTATCACAACACAAGACTTCAGGCCTTCAAACGTAATTCCGGATGGAAATCCTGCGACATAAGCCGAATGAAGATACACATCTCCTGTCATTTGGAACACCACATCAAAGACATATTTTCTCGCAGAGGGAATCCCGCTCAATGCAAAAGGAAAATGTAACCGCGGCAGCACATTAGGTAGGGTTCTGTCACGCGGTAAAAAGCTTACCTCTGCGTAAGACTTCTCAACAGCGGCCCTCTGCTTTGTAAAGTTCCTGCGAAAAAGAGAGAACATTGTAGAGAAGCAGTGACATTCTGAATAAGTGAGTGAGAGAGAGAAAAAAGAGAGAGGAGAGAGGAGAGCGAGAGAGAGAGAGAGAGAGAGAGAGAGAGAGAGAGAGAGAGAGAGAGAGAGAGAGAGAGAGAGAGAGAGAGAGAGAGAGAGAGAGAGAGAGAGAGAGAGAGAGAGAGAGAGAGAGGGAGCTAGCTTCAGCCCCCTCGACCGCCACGTTTTACCGACCGAGTACAGCCTGCCCGTAGCATTGCCTTATCGCCCGCTCTACATATTAGCGCGCCCGAGACTGTTCGGTTGAGGCGGCTATCCGTTGATCTCCGTTAATTCCAATGGTTAATCCACCCTCGCACGGTAATACTGTTTGTCCTGGGCCCGCCGGCCCCAATTCATTAGCGCAGGCAGCACTCCGAACCACCATCAGGGCACGGGCTTTATTGAAATGGTCGGTCGGCGGTCCGTCCGCACTCAGAGTGAAAACACGGAGAGAAATCGGGGAACCGAGGGGTAAAGAAAAACGTTTCAAGAAAATAATAGGTAAATTACAATCATCAAATTGATTGTCAAGTCGGATTAAGATAACTGAAATATTTCGGTAAACGATAAACGTAATAAATGATCAAATCCAATTTCACGAACTAACAAGGTTATAATGGGTAGTGTTTACCTTGTTACCTTGAAATGAATCAGAGATGGGGTTCGCGTACACCTTATCGACCCTTTGGACTCGCAATAGTTTTTTATGACTGAGCGGCTTGAAGCTCGGAGCCTCACCAGCTGACTCAATGTAAGACAAACGACCTTTTATTCTTTAACGTGCATCGAGATAATCAGGCTAGCTTCACAAAATATATGGCAATTCATTGGAGAAATAGTTCAATAAGCCGACACTTGACGCTGTACTATACAGACTATTTACTACGCGAAGCATTGATCTGCACAGCAGATAAATCAGTCAATCAAAAATCATAACACGATTCCGAGCTATAGTCGCATCAAAGCAGTTATCACTAGCCCGTTGCCACCCCGCTAAAATGCTGCAACGCTCGATGCAATCCATTTGACTGAACGCAGGGCCGATCTTCAGACCTCCAAGTATACCTAAAAAGTACAGGCTATTGCAGCAGATGCTAGCCCATTCAAACCGCCCATCCGTCTAAAGCCTGCACGGCGCGCGACAGTCGACGGTGCTGACCTGATATCCTCGAGCAGGTCACACTCCTGCTGATTCTTGGCCTGGGCCCGGCTCAGCTGCTCAGAGTGCAGAGCCTTCAGGAACTTGGCGTGAGTAGTCTGTGGGGAACACGAGGGAGATACGTCAGTGGTCTGAGCTGTGGAGAGAATAGAGAGGCACTTCAGTGGTCTGTGGGAGAGCGATAGAGGCACGTCAGTGGTCTGTGGAAGAACGAGGGGGACATGTCATTGGTCAGTGGTCTATGAGAGAACGAGGGAGATACGTCAGTGGCCTGTGGGAGAGCGAGGGAGACGTCAGTGGTCTGTGGCAGAACAGCGGAGACACGTCAGTGGTCTGCCACTGTGGAAGAACGAGGGAGAGATTTGTCAGTGGTCTGTGGAAGGGGAGACGTCATTGGTCAGTGGTCTGGGAGAACACGAGGGATATGTCAGTGGTCTGTAGGAGTACAGGGAGACACGTCAGTGGTCTGAGGGAGCACAGGGAGAGATTCGTCATTGGTCTTTGGAAGACAAGTAATTGGGCTGTGGGAGAACGAGGGATACCTCAGTGGTCTGCGAGAGTAACAGGGAGATACGTCAGTGGTCCGTCGGATATTTATGTACGTCAGTAATGTAGGTATAGAAGCAACAGCAGAATACTGATAACAGAAGAAAACAGGAAACAACAGGTGTCATGCAGAAGCAGCCATATTGCGAACCTCTAACAAACGGAGAAAATATGAGTGCCGAGAGCGACAAAAGAGCAGCCTAGGAAGGACGTCTGAAAACCAATGGTCTCATCCTATAGCATGCTATAGGATGCATGCAGCACCTCTCAGAGTTCTTCCACCGGAGCCCGTCATTCCAGTCAGCTACGGTGTGATCTCTCCACTACTGTTACACAGGTCACCGGGCACGGGTGCTGAGCCCAGCACCGCGAGCCTGCAGGCGGGCTGATGTCTGCCGAAAATACCTCCCGAGATTCGGCCCGGATTGGTGTGCCGCGCCGGAAATAGCAGCCATGTCAGACGGACAGACGTGCTGACGGTGCGGACTGCAGAGTCGACCGTAGAAGGGGATATCACAGACGGTGGGTCGTAGGGGGAGACTGGGAAGCCGGCCGTGGACGAGGCGTGTTAGACGGGAGGTCGTACGGGGAGGAGACTGGGTAGTGAGTATCCTACCTGCTGCCCATGGAAAGGGTATCGATGGCGTCCCTCCTCCCCCCCCCCCTATGAGAGGATTTTAGGGAAGATTGGAGCTCTCCCTGCCGGCTGCGGATGCCATGGCGAAGACGGTTTCCTCATCGGACAGATTGTAGCGGAGATTGAGCCCTTTTCGGCGAATGTGTTACTCAGATCAGAATGCCGCGATGCCGCTGCCACTCTGCAGTGACAAGTCCATTCAGAGTTGATCGACTGATCTAGCTACTAACCGGCCCCAGCACCAGCACTGGTCGGTGCTCTGACTAACGTCAAATTCTACGTGTCATGTTCGGATATTTTGGACATGACCACACTAAGCTCGAACGAGCTTTTCCCCAAACATTGGCACTTAGTCCCTGCGGCAGTGGAGGGAACTGCTCCTCTCTGCAGTCGGCCGTGGGCCGTTTTATGATCAGGACCGTCCCACGGCGGCGCCAATCCAGTGGCAACAACCGCTGTCCATCCTCCCACAGCGGTCACAGTCCGGTCAGCGACCAATGTCCATCCACCCACAGCGGTCAAAGTTCGATTAGCGACCGTCGCAACTGTCCCGATTCGGCTCTCAGAGAGCGCCTCTTGCCGACTCTCCCCTCTCGCAACAACTTTCGGTCCGACCGGACACTGTCCTGTTGACCGTCCCAAAGGGTCTGAGGCCCACGCTACCGCCACCACTGCTGGAAAAGGATGTGACGCATCCAAAGGCAGAGCTGGGTCATCGAGCGAGGGCTGTCAGAAGAAGTCACACAGAGCGAGACCGACGGTGGCTGCTGGCCCCGGTCACCCCCGAAAGCGAGCAGTCGGTAGTGCACTGAGTGGTCAGTCTGAAATGGGGTCGGAGCATGCCATGGCGGTCAGAGGTTAGGGGTCATAGGTCAGAAATCAGAGGAGATCGAAGTTCAAACACCAAATCGGCAGAAGCGTGGAACATAATTCGGGATTCGGAGATGAGAGAGAATGAGAGAGTGGGGGAGAGAGAGAGAGAGAGAGAGAGAGAGAGAGAGAGAGAGAGAGAGAGAGAGAGAGAGAGAGAGAGAGAGAGAGAGAGAGAGAGAGAGAGAGAGAGAGAGAGAGAGAGAGAGAGAGAGAGAGAGAGAGAGAGCAATATGGAGGAGAGAAGAACAGAGATGTAAAATCAGGACAAAAAACATCATCCAGTAACAGCAAAACTTTCCACCATTCTGGCCGCCCCTGCTCTTGATGGACCATCCCTGACCGCCCACCATCGCCGACCGGCCGGTCTGTCGAGGTCAGGCTGGCGCAGCCTCCGATCGATCTGAGGGGCCATCTGAGCTGGCCACTGGCAGCGGTCGGGGAGGCACGCACACAATGCCACCCCCGCCGCCACTGGTAGGTCTGTCCTCCCCACCGGCCGATCACCATAGGCTGCTCGATAGAGTCGCGATGGTGAGTCTCCCAGGCCCGCAGCCATGCTAAACCTTTCTCCCTGGGGAGCTGGGGTTACATAAGGAGATTGACGTCCCTCCGAGATTTAGCAGTGTCGGTCGTTGGGATATGGAAATCCTTGCCTCTGACGCGCGTTATTATACGTCATACTACAGTACTTGCTAGTTCCTGTAGGCACTTCGACTTTGCGACCAAAGCAGCAACTATGAGGTTTTCCAGCCGCGGCGCCTTTAAAACACTTCAGGGCAGAGACGGCAGCCAGGAGCAAGCACGTATTAAGCAGGCATGCCTCTCAATTTGTACACGCAATCGATAAAAAAGGTAATGCAATTATGTGCATGATTAGCCGGATACAGCACAGCATCGCATTAGTACAGAAGATAAATCGTTTAACCATTCGAGCAGTACAGACAAAAACATGCAAGATAAAAACAGCACAGACAAAAACATACAAGCACATCCATCAAACAATGAGCCTATCTCATAAGGCAGGCAGTCAAGGTAAATAAGTACGAGACCGAGGCTGGTAACTAGTGGTGTGACTTATCAACCACGTCATACGTGAATACAATAACGCGCTGAAGCAACAGGGGCCAACAGAGCAGGATTTCATCAAGGCACGGTAAATATACATAAAGCATGAATGTTTCAGTATAACAGAGAGCAGAAAAGCGAGAAACAAATGAAAGAGTAAAAAAAAAATGCAGGAATCCTCAGGAATCAAACTGACGATGATTTGGGATTGACAGACGTAAGGGTGCGACATACCCAGTGTCGAAGTGCGATATAACCTGGCATAGCTTACTTGTACACCATGGAGCAGAGCGGGTTTGGTTATATGAATCAGAGTGGGGCGGTATAAACCCATAGAAATGCGATAAAATCCAGAGCAGCTCATAGAAAGGATGACCCGATCCGAAATTATCCTACTCGGTAAGGCGAACTGCCAAGTTCTGACAAAATTAAACGAATGCTATCAGTCACTCAGTCAAGTGGAAAAAATAGCGCCGAAATCACGAAGTTCCCGACTGAATCTTTAATAACGCCCGAGTAAAACTGTTGCCGTCTAGCTTAAAATGTTAGAATTCGAATTAAATCGCAGCCACGAGCGGAAACGGCGCACGTGGAGCACCATGTCTAAAACGGCACCGGATCGATGACAGACGAGAGCACAGAGCCCAGATGGAACGGTTCACGGGCCGGCCAAATCACGTTATTTGAGGTCGCGGCGCGCTGACCCGGAAACACCAGACGTCTGGCCGCCCGGGCAGCGGGACCGGCACACATTTCCATCACAGCTGGACCAGGGAGCAGTGCTGCGGCTCCTGGCTAGTTGCAGACAGACGCACCTCAGTGCTCCAGCACGCATGCCATCCTCCGTGGCCCTGATCAGCCGCCGAGCAGCCACTTCCGGCGAGCTGTTTGTCACAGCGGCGGAGCACCGACATCCCCGGACCAACATAATCCCCGATGATTACGGTCGATGTCTTTAATTAGAGGCTCATTAATTACCGCGGAGGAGAGGGCGCCTCGGAGTGAGCAGTGCGATCAGATACCAGGGTAGAGCCACAGGTACTCAGTCCTCAAAGAAAGCAAAGAACGCTGCGATGACGACGCCGCTTTCAGCTTCTCTCCGGTCACGGACCCAGAAGTCAGCTCAGCCCGCTGTATTCAGTTAACACGGACACGGACAGTCCGGGTCATGAGCTCGTCTGCCTTGGGCTACACCTGGATCATCGGATAGAACCATCAGCTGCGGGTCGCTCATACACCAGCGGTCTATGAGCGTCACTCCTCCAAGTCCGACTTTCAGCAAGCAGAATCGATTACCAAATACACCGCGGTAACCACAATGCACGGCTAAGCAGCGGTTAGTCTCAAAGAGTACACGGACGGGTTTGCGGCGTCACTCCTCCGAATGTCTGCAATCTGCAGCACCACGCAGCTCGAGCTCTGAGATCCGTGAGTGGTGGGCGATACATCAGAGCCAGCCGTGCTCGGACCGAACTGCCGGCGGCGGATCCACGGTCCCGGCCCATATCCCGCAGATAAGTGCTCCTAATATTAGCATAGCTCCGGCTCCGGCCGCCGCGGCGCCGGCGGCGGAACGGCGCTCCGGGTCAGTCCGGTATCAGACGGCCGGGGGGGGGGGAGGGCCGAGGGGTCAGGGGGGCAGTCAGGAGAGGGATACCGCAGCCAAGAAACGGATACGACTCATAAGCTCACCTGTCTGGCTACACCTGGATTGAAAGATAGAACTTGGGAGCATTTGGGAACGCAGCATTTGGGGGACGGATTCCATGAGCATAAACTCTTCAAAGCATGTGGTATTTGATAACCTCTATTTAAAGAAACATCTTTATCAATAAAGGATGAGCGTCCTGAATCAGTCTGTCTTGCGACCGAATGACTACTGCACCAAAAAGAAACGTTCACCTAGATTAAAAGGAAGTTGTTTACCAGCGATGGTCCAATGGAAGCACAATTATGGAGATTGGAAGAGACGCAGCACGGATAGAACACAAAAAGGAGAAGTAATCGCATTGCTTGGAACATTGAACAAAAGTCGGCAAGGGCGCACATAGTCGGAATTCGGAAACCTTGGGCTGGGCGACGCAGGTGGTGACATAAGTTAGTAGCAAGACGGACCACGTATGGGGAGCGCAGGTATTTATTGTCATTGATCTATAACCTGGCGTCAAAAGTTGGGTTATGAGTTGCGTCTACCAGAGCATGTCGACTTGCAGTCTGATATCAAAGTATCTTTGCACAGAAATGCATAGTTTCGATATAGACTAGATCATCTGATAGTTCAATTAGATGGCTTTACGGCACTCATTTGACCGTTTCAGTTTCTCGTTTGACCGTTTCAGTCGTACGCAATAGACCACCGGCATCAGTCCACAGTCGCCAGCCAAGCGGTCGGTCCCCGGTTCACAATGACGCCCGGTTCGTCAGCCCCGCCACCGCACACGGCCGTGGGTGAGCCGCTATAGTGCCTGTGTACCATCACAAGGGAAGCGACGCTGACGGATGCCAACCGTTGATACTCTGGCGCCGCCGGCCAGTTCGGCCAGCTCGTGACAAATGCGCCGGTCACAAAAAAAAATAGCCCGCAGCGACGAAAGTGCATTATCCATCACGCGACATTTTTAGAGTAAGGAAATTAAACAAATAAAGCGTGCACTACGAACATAGCATGTCATTTAGTAACGAACGGTAGCAAGAGATGACAAAATTTGCCAGCTGCATGACATTGCTGCAGTAGAGACCAAGTGATTCAATTAGAGGTCAGGCTTAAGAACTTTAAATCGGGTGCCAGCTAAGCTATCTGCTTAGCGCGGTCCATGAATGTCTAGTGTCTATGGCTTTCGTAAATAACTAAGTTTGCCAATTTAGATCGATAAGGTTCGTTGACCATCAAAATAATGAAACTCATATACTAAGTCCTAGACGGGAAGAGTTCAGACCAGCGACATTAAGTGAAGGTCACCATTCATGTTGTAAAAAAAAAACATTCGAAATTCTAATGAAAGTTACTAACTCTGAAGAAGGCATTCGGTATACGAAAGACTGCACTGCATTTTTAGTCGCAGCTCCATTTCCACGTAACATGATTGCGTACCATAAACAAACGCAGACGGAGTAGAACGACACCACAAACACTCTGACCTCATTGTAACGCATATATACTGCCTACATGTGAGTGTACATACACTGTCACTGAACACATGGCGTACCTATAGTATGCTCGACTGCACGACTGCGGTATAGCTCTATAGCTACAGAGCTGTAACTGAAACGGCAGTTTGTAGAGTTGAACCACAGTTTCGCCATGTTAATTCAAGAACAAATGTTATGGCGGAGTGACTCCTTTTACACTAATGATATCTTGCAGCTCTATGTTCCTATGAACGAGAAACTCGTAACCTTTGTGAATGAGGTTATTTACACACATCGTCAGTTAAAAACATACCAAGCAAGGCCGGGGCCGCCTTCACAACTTAGCGTAATTACTACACTACTAGTTGTTTTTTAATTCACTTACACGACAATAGTATTGAACCTAATTAAATTGCATTGCAATTAATAAGCTCGTCCAAAAAAGTGAGAGTAGAACCGGGTCTACCTTTATCACAATGGATGAAATGTGCGGTATGGGACTCACTGTCTGATTTGACCTTCCGTTTCGACGCACTGAAATGCATCGTGGTAAATATCGCTAACACAACTTCTAAAATAACACTGCAACAAATAACATTTTGGATTTTGTTTACTTGAGACTGGGCTGGGGGCTGGGCTTCTCGACGAGACGCCACCTCTGCCAAGCAGCCGTGACCGCGGCAGACGGGCGCGCTGCGGCACAGCCTAGCTTCAGGCGTCGACTAGTAGTGCCATCTAGCGGCACGTTTGTAAAATCGCATAGTTAGGCTGTGCCGCACAGCACGACAAACTGAGCCCGGCCTCTTGAAGCCAATAATTACCAGATTCCTCAGCACTTAAGCTCCATGGCGCACATGCGTTCCCTGTCAATCATCTTCCCACTGAAAGTACAATGTTTTAGTGTCCTGATATGAAGAAAAACATCGCCTTCCTAAGACACCAGTGGGTCCAACAAACTGCAACATGGTGGCATAAAAGCTCACCACTAACGCGAGTTGGGAGCGGAGCTAACGTCATTATCTGATGACGCCTGCGATCCTGAACATAAGTACGCAGCTCACGGCGTTCATTAGACGCTCCTCGGTAAGACGACGCTGGTGTCTCGGCGAGCTGTCTCAGGTTTGTAACCATGGAAACTGCGGGCGCTTGCTGCATTGGCATCGCCGAGCACCCTCGTGCAGAGGACGGCTCAGATTACATGGCTAGGGTGTATCAGCGTTTAATTGTTTGGATATTTCCAGCGTTATAATAAACTGAGGAATGATGATAATCGATCTCTTTGAATCAATAATATGCTACCAGTACAAATGGTCTGGGTTCCCTTACAATAAGTAAGCTTTCTCTTCCGGAAAATAACCAAATAAGCAGCCTCAGTCTACTCAAACCAGTGGAGCAGGCCTTTCCACCTCAGCAGAGCTTCGCGCTTGAAGCAGCCGCATGCCCCAATCGCCGACACAGGTGACTCGGGGTCTACACATCAGCGTCGAGTGTAGACCGTCGACTACAAAATCGACGCAACTGAGGATCCGAGAGCGGGTCAATTCCAGCAGCGAGCGACGCGGGGTCGCCGCTGGGGGCGGTGGCGGACAGCGGTGGCGGCCGGAACAGAACCGATGGAGGCGCCCTCACCAGGGGTCAAGGACCAGGCGGGGCCACACGGGGTGTCTCGAGCTCTCACCTTCCTGGGCGGGTTCTGCATGGCGGCGACTGGAGGTGGCGGCGGCGGCGGCACTCTGCACCCGCCGGCGAGCGGTGCACCGGCCACGGACCGACAGGCGTGCGGCGCCGCTCCAGCCGGGCCGCCCGTATTGATCTCTGCCGCCGGCGGTGGTATACGGTGCGCGCGCGCCGCCGCCACCGCCGCCGGGACAGGGGATCGGTCCCGACTCCCACCCACCGGCCAGTGCCAAACCGGGCAGGAACCCAGAGAGGAGGGCAGCTAGCCTGTCGGTCCGTGTGAGCGAATAGCGGGACATGCAGGCGGCCGAGGACCATGAGTATAACATGCAAACAGCGCTACGATTATCAACTTACCGGATTTCCGTAACGCTATTACCGTCGCAGGCAAACAGTCATGGGAAAAGGTAGCCAGTGGAGATTTGGAAGCGCCTTTTTATACGAGGACAAGCAGCTAGCCTCTCAGACGGATTCTTTCATCCCTGCAACAATTGTCCCAAAACAACGGCACCGATGCAGATCAAGTCGGCATAGTTATGTAGAACCGAAAGAGGCCAACATTTAGTTATTCTGCTTGTCTTCCTCAGGAAGTCAGAACCCACTCATCCGCATCCACTCTTACGTTCCCCTTTCCGGGCTGGCGGTAACCCCCTCCCGAGGCAGAACAACTATGGTGAGGGCAACTCCACCTATGCACTAGGACACCCTCTCCGGGGGGTGACCGTCTGAGCAAGGGGGCACGCTGTCCCGTCGGAACATTTCAGCCTAACCGCGGGACAGTCTCTGCCGCTGCCGTGCACCGTCGATGATCCGCACAGTCCTCTATCTATCACCCTATCCTATCATACCATAGGTTTGCAATGGCCTCATGCCGTAAGACCTAGCTCCCAACAAAACCCACAATTACTATTTCAAACAGCCTGCGGTTATAATAAAAAGCTTTGCAAGATGTTCCATTTCATCGTTCAACAAGCCTTACCTAGCCATTGCATCAATCAGAGTCCAGCACCTAAACGGAGATATTCAGTACGAGGCCTGGGCGTGTTAATTTATTTTGTTGTAACCCTAGCGCTGGGTAATTTGCCGGCCATGTGGCATGTCGGATGGGGAACCAGCCTGATGCTAAGACGTGACGGTCCCGCATTGAATTTGGCTGCCACCTGGTGAGAGGGTACCGCACTAGACCCGGGAGAACCGTGTCGCCATCTACTGCGGTACGTTTAACCTTTAGCCTGAGCCCTCCAATAACGTCTACTCTTGGGTATGACAAACCATCCAGTGTTCCATTTTTTAGACTTTTTGGTGGCAAATCACACATAATGGGGAAAGTGTTTTCATCCCAAAAATATGAATGACTGAATAGACCTCATCTCTGAAAAAGTTTCATGTATTCGAACAGCCAGTTTACATGTCACTTGACGGTTGATGTACCCACGGTCCCACATCCTTTTGTTTCACATCCTGTCAAGATCCTGACATGAAATCCTGGTTTATCAGTTGACATAAAAATTGGCATTACACCATTTTGCAAAAATACTTCAGTTATTTTCATCCTTTTTTTCTCATCCTAGGATTGTTTTCTTCATCGGCACACTCAACCCAAATCCAATTTTAGAACACTGCAACCATCAACGATATATCCGAACTGTGTCATCTGTTCATTCTCTTTGTTGTTATGTTGTTGATCAGCTGAAAATTTTGAACATTTTCATATCTATTTTAAAAAGATTTCGATTGATTCCCACCACTTCAGTTGGCTTTCAACTTTCAAGAGGGAGTTCAATTCCAATAACGCCAGACGCATCAGTACGAGGTATATTTATTAAATTGCCATAATTAACAGTCGATGCTATGTACAGCATGCCAAATGTCACTTACAATATGTACAATATTCAACCATCTTGGTATGGCCAGGTAACAGTTCAATAGATTCACAATAAATACGAAAGAAAAATTATGTACACACAATACAAAAATATGACACAAATACAAAAACCTACCGATCGGCATGATTCGCGCTAACATTAAGTTACTAGAGTCTACGGGCGGCCGCGCGCGGCCCGGGCGGGGCCGGCTCGGGGCCGCCGCGGCCGCCAGTCGCCCCACACGCTCTCGCACGCTCTCTCGGTCACCCGCTGGCGCTCTCTCGGCGCGGCCCGCCCGCGGCAGCCGCCTTCCGAGATCACATGTAGCCGTGCTTAGTAAAGCGGCACGCCGGCGGCGCGCACCCTCTCTCACGCCGCGCGCGCACCACATGACCCGGCCGGCCGGACGCGGCGGCTAGCGCGCACGGCGGCCGCTGCGCCCCCAGTAAAGCTCTCTTATAACTAGGCGGCCCCGGCCGGCGGGCGGAGCCGACCGGGTAGGGGCGGGACAGGAGAGGGCGGGGTCCGAGCGCCAATTTGAACAGCGTTTGAACGGTGGACACGGACCAGGCACCGATCCCGTCACGACTCGGAACGAAAGACCAGATAGACCACTTCAATTGATAATAAAAACGAACGTCCCGATACACGGGAGAGCAACTCCAAAACCAATCAATGAAATAGAAAACGTGACTAATTTGGGTAAAATCTGAACAGCTGATCGGATATAAAACATTTACAAGTTGATAAGACGGAAATTCAAATCACAATTGTTTGATTATGGATCTATCGACAATGGTCGGTTCAAATTTAAATCGCAACAATGAAAAACCGTATCAGGCAGAACAGCTCAAATACGTAATATCCATTCACTTTGAACTAGTAAAAGCGGCCAACGACTGGGTTCAACCCAATCATGAGCCTCGAACAATTATCCACCGCAAATGTAACAACGGATTCCTCTGGCGAGAAATGCTACTCCAGTCGATATCAGCCCCTCTGCGCAGCGCTACTCTAACCTCCCATTGCTAGCCTAGCTCTTTCAGAGCGGCTGCGCGGAGGGCGGGCACCCCTCGCGCGCCGCTCCGGCCACTATAATGCCTGTCAGTCGTCTCAGCGCCGGTGCCTGCGGCGGCCGGCGGTCGGCCGCTCGCGTCACGGCGCACCCGGCCAGCTAAAACAATACCCGTGGCCCGGCGACAGAGGAGGAAGAGAGAGAGGACAGACAGAGAAGGGGGCGCCGCACCGACCGGCGGCCGGTGCGGCTCCGTACCTGGTGTGATGGTGGCTGGCGGCGGCGGCGGCGGTGACGGCCGCGGCGGCGGAGACGGTGACTAGGGTCAGGTCAGGGCTGGGACGGCAGGAGGCCATCGCGCGGCAGTCAGGAGCGGAGGCAGGAGGCTGGCACGGGAGACAGAGGCACAGCGTCAGCGCGCGCGGCGACAACCGATCCGGCGACTCCGCGCTCGGGAACACAGGAATGTCCGGCGGGCGCGGCCAGAGGCCGAGCCGTCCTGACGGAGCACTTATTGGGGCCGCCCGCACGACCGGCACTGACACCCACCCTCCCACGCACACAGACACACACAGCACAGTCACACATACAGACGCACTAACGCTCGGCATGATAAATTCTAAAACAACACACTCAACGCACATTGAGGCGCATATCACAAAATAGACGGCGGCCGGCGGCGGGCGGAGGCTGTGCGTGAGGCTACTGCGGGCCGCGGCCCGACCGCGCGAGTATCACATCACTTGCGGGCAGCGGCGGCGGCGGCGGCGGCCGGCGGCGCGCCGACCCTTTGTACCGGTCAGGCTGGCGGCGGCGGCGGCACAAGCCGACGCTACCTGACGTCGCAGCCGTCGCCGCCCAGATCGCCGCCCACTTCGGGCGTGAGCGTGGGCGGGGGCGGCGTGGCGGCCGCCGCCAGCGCCGCGCCGCGCCGCGACAGCATCAGTTTCAGCGGCTGCAGGCGACCCGGCTCGCCGCCGCCAGCCGGCTGCGTCTTTATCTTCACCACCAGGTCCTTGGGGCCGCCGCCGCCGTTCTCGTCGCTGGGCGGCGGCGTCGGCTGCGACAGCGGCGGCGGAGGCGTCTCACCGAGCTCCGCGGGCGCCGGCGGAGACTCGCCCAATTTGCGACCGCCCAGCTTGATTATCAGCTTGGGCGCCGCGGCAGTATCGTTATTGATAATTTGTACTTTGGAGTGTTTGTGAGACTTGTCCTTTTTCTTCTTCTCCTTATCTCGATCCTTGTCCTTATCTTTGTCCTTCTCCTTCTTTTTCTTCTTCTTTTTGCCCTTTTTGTGTGGAGGAGGCTCTTGATCAAAGCTGGCTAGCATTTGATCACCGTATTGCAGGTTATCTTGCCGGATCTTTTCGAAGACGGAGAGCTCGCCGGCCGGCTGTGCCAGCTCGCCAGGCCGCTTCTTGGGCGGCTTGACCTCGTTGCCACGGCCGTCCTTTCCGAAGCTGATGCGCAGTATGTTGGGCGAGGCCTCCTGGGAGGCGGCGGCGGCCTGCTCGCGGGCTTGCCGTCCGCGCCGCTTGGGCAGCAGCGCGGCGCCGGAGGCCGCGCCCTCCTCCCGGCCGGCGGCCGGGCCGCGGTAGTCGTCCCGGGTGGGCGCGCTGCTCACAGATTTGACTGCCTTGGGGCAGACGAAGCGCTGGCCGACCGGCGCGCTGTCCTCCTGAGGCGGTGCGGGCGGCGCCGGCTCCACCGTCTCCGTGCTGTTGACGTACTGCCGAATCAGCTCCTTCTTGCGTTTGCGCAGGTTGGAGTTGACCGCCACAGCGGCTGCCGAGGCGGCCGCGGCCGGCGCCGACTCGGGCGCCGCCGCCGCCGGCTGCACGTTGTAGCTCGGGTTCAGGAACGGGCCCTTGATCTTCAGCTTGAGCTGGTTCCGCTCGTCGCAGACGCTTTCGATGGGCGCTGCCACGGGCAGTTCGGGCGGCGCGTCCGTCACGCTGGGCGCCTCGGCCGCCGGCGCGCTGGTCTCCGCGTCCGGCTCGGTCTCGGCCTCAGCGGTAGCCTCGTGCAGCGTCGGCGGCGTGGCCACCGACTCCATGCTGGTCTCGGAGGCGCCCGGCTGCGTCAGCGTGGGCAGCACCTGCGGCATCGGCGCCGCCGGCGGCAGCGACGACTGACTGGACGCGTCGTCGGCCAGCTCAGACATGACCGAGCCGGCCCTGTCTGAGCCGACGTCCGTGCTCTGGAACCTCTCCCGGATCGGACGCATGCGGCCGTGCGGCGTCTTGGGCAGGTCGTCCAGCTCGTCGTCGTCGAAGTCGTACACGGTGCCGGCCAGGTCGTTGGGCACCTGCGGCTTGGGGCAGAAGGGTACCGCGGGGGTACGGGACGCAGCCGCACCTCGACCGCGACCCCGGCCCCGTCCCCGACCACGACCACGGCCGTACACCGCCTGAGTGGCCGCCGATTTGCCGCCGCGCCGGCCACGACCCGACGGCTTGCTCTCGGAGGCGCGCGGACTTTTTCCCGGCGAGACGTGACGAGCCGCGGAGGCCCGCCGCGCCGGGGTCGCTGCCTCCGAGTCCGCGTCGTTTTCGCCGGCGTCTGATGACTGCATCTTGTGAATCTGCATGCTGGCCTTGAGACTGGACTCTCGCCGGCCCCGGGATCGGACGGGCGCCGGCTCGGCCTCTGGCGGCGGTGCCGGCGCGGCCGGCTCGGCGGCCGCCGGCGGCGGCAGTGACGGGGTGGAAGCGGCCGGTGGCTGCTCGGCGCCGATCGGCTCCGGCGCTGGCCCCACGCGCGGGAACTCGGAGACCAGCTCCTGCGCCGACGGCTGGCTCTGCAGCCGGGACTTGGGCGCCTGCACGTCGGCGGCGGCCTCCTGCGGCGGCGGCTGCGATTGTACTGGAAGTGGCTGGTGCGCCGACACCGGCGGGGCCGTCTGGTGGAGGGACACGGCCGGCTGCTGGTGGAGGGACGTGGGCGGCAGCTGCCGCTGCTGGTGGAGGGACACAGGGGTGGGCTGCTGATGATGATGAAGGGACACGGGAGTGGGCTGCTGCTGATGAAGGGACACGGGCGCCGGCTGCTGCGGCTGGTGGAGGGAGACCGCGGCCAGCGGCGGCTGAGGATGGTGGGAGGGTGGCGCCGCCGGCTGCTGCAGGGACACGGAGGGGTGCTGCTGGTGCATGGACACCGGCTGGTGGACGGACGCCGGCGGCGGCGGCTGCTGCTCCTGCTGGCCCGTGATGAGCGCATTGAGCGCCTGCAGCCGGCACTGGTCCAGGTCGGCCGCCGACATGGGCGGACGGTGCGGTTCCTTGACGCGCTCGGCCGGCTTCTCGGCGGGCGGCGGGGGAGGGGCACGGGGAGGCGGCGGCGCCAGCGAGCGGCGCAGCTCCGCCTCCTGCTCGGCCATGAACGCGGCCACACGCTCCTCCTCCCGGCGGCGCTTAATCATCTCCTGCAGCTCCCGCATCCGCTTCTCCTCCTCTTCCTCACGCCGCCGGCGCTCCTCTTCCTCGCGCCTGCGCCGCTCCTCCTCCTCGCGCCTGCGCCGCTCCTCCTCCTCACGCATCCTCCGCTCCTCCTCTTCTTTGCGTCGGCGGAGCTCTTCCTCAAACCGGCGCCGCTCCTCCTCCTCACGCGCCAGCCGCTCTTCCTCCTCTCTCCGGCGGCGGTCTTCCTCTTCCTTCCTCCGCCGCAGGTCCTCCTCGTAGCAGCGTCGCTCCTCTTCCTCTCGCGCGAGCCGCTCCTCCTCCTCGCGGCGGCGGCGGTCCTCCTCGCTGCGCCGGCGCCGCTCCTCGGCCTCTTTCCTGGCCTCCTCCTGCCGACTGTGTCGCTCCGCCTGTTTCCGCAGCTCCTGCATCTCAGCCTCCTTGCGCCGCTTCAGGTCCGCCTCGGCGTCCTGCTGCTGCATCAGGTACTGCTGCTGCTGCATCTGGAACAGCTCCGGCCACTGCTGCATCTGAATCAGCTCGCGCAGCTGGCCCTCCGGCAGCATCTGCTGCATCATCATCATGTGCTGCATCTGCATGATGTCGGTGAACTGGCCGTACGGCGACGGCATCGGGTTGGCGGCGTTGATGCTGGCCGGTGTGCGCACGCTGACGGATCCGAGGCCGCGCGGCGGCGGCAGCAGGCCGGCCGCGCTGCACGGCGGCGACGGGAAGCCGGGCCGCTCCGGGGCCGCCGCGTAGCGCGCCGCTGCCGGCTCCGGCCGCGACGCCTGCCGTTTGCGCGGCGGCACCGGCGGCTGCTCGGCCTGCAGCGGCGGCGACTTGAGCGGCGGCTCCAGCGGCCACTCGACGCCAGCCACCGGGCGGTGCTCGCCGCTGGCGGAGCGGCGCGGCGGAGCGTGCGCGGCCGCCGGCGCCGGAGGCGGGGGCGGCTTGCCGGGCAGGCTGCTGACGGCCGCCGTCGGGCTGGGCTCGACGGGCCGCTCAGCCGGCGGCTCCGACTCGGCCGCAGACGCCAGCGGCCGCCACTTGGACGGCTCGCCGTGCGTCGGAGTGTCGCCGGGCCCGCCGCGGCTCGGCGTGCTCGGTGTCTTGGCGGCGGCCGGTTTCTCCTCTGGCCGCTCGTCGGGGCCCTGCTGGGCGTACTGCAGGCGCAGCTTCTCCACCAGGTCCATCGTCACCTGCTGGCTCTCCTCCTTGGTCTCCATGATAACCGGCGCGCGCGGCGCCGGCCGGGAGACCGCCGGCGGCTTCTGGTCCACAATCTCCGGCTCGATCGCCGAGTCGCCAGAGGTGCTCGGCCGCCGCGGCGGCGAGAACATGGACGGCATCGGCCGAGCGGTCGGCGCCGCCAGCTGCTCGGAGACCGCGCTGGTGGTGGTAACCGCCGCGGGCGCGGCCGTGGAGACCGGCGCCGCGGAGGAGGCGGGCGGCGCTGCGGCCGCCGTCTTCTGGCCGCTGAACAGCTCCGTCTCGAACTCGAAGATGGGGTCGCCGGCGTTCAGCCTTGGCGGTGAGAAGATAGACGAGGGCTGCGCGGGCAGCACCTCCGAGTCGGCATCGACGGCCGTCGAGGCTCGTCGAGAGGCCGGCGCCGCCGCCGCTGCCGCCGGTGCGGGCTCGTCGGCGGTATCTTCGAGTCGCTCCGAGCGAGCCTCCTCGGCAGCCTTGTACCCGCCTGTTGACTCGGTTTTGACCGCCGACCGTTCGCTGAGGATACTGTCGATGGAGCCTTTGAGCGGTTTGGCCGCGGCCGCCTCTCGCGAGGCTTGGCGAGGCGTTTCGGCCGGGACGTCACGCCCGCCGCCAGAGTCGAGCCCCTCAAGCCCCAGCGCTTTCTTCCGACTGAGTGGCATTGGACGCGCCTTCCTCACCGTTTCGGCGGCACGCGGACTGCGCTGTCCGCTGAGCGCAGCTTCCTTGGCTGTTGGCTGCTGCGTGTCTTGGCTCGATTCTCCTGCTCCTCCAATCGACGCGCGTCGGCGCGTCGGCGCTGCGGGTCCGGCCGCCGCGGTGGTGGCGGCGGCGGCGCGCGCACCGTCAGCGACAGCTCGCGCTCGCCCAGTCGCGCCGCGTTCACCTCGCGCAGCAGCCGCCGACTGGGCGGCGCCCTCAGCGTCGGAGTCGGCGCTGTCAGAGCTGCTGCCGCTGCCACTGCTGCTGCTGCTGCTGGAGCTGCTGCTGCCGCTGCTGCTGCTGCTGGAGCCGCTGCTGCTGCTGCTGCTACTGCTGGAGCCGGATGAGCCAGCACTCCTTGGCCGCTGCTGTTGCGGAACCGAGGGCGGTCCAGCAGCGGCATCTTCAGCGGTCGCCGCAACTGCGTGCGACGGAGTAGATTTGCTATTATGCCCCGACCGCCCTCCAGCTCGAAAGGGCGGCTTTTCCGGCCGCCGCAGTCGAGTATCACGCGCCACCGCCTCGTTGCCGGCGCCCTCGTCCTCGGGCTCCGGCTGCGCGGCGCGCTGCGGCTCCCGGCCCGGCACGCCCACTCGCGGCGACTTGGACGCCGCCCGGCCCTCGGGAGACTTGCGCGGCCGACCGCGACCCCGCTTCTGAGGCGTGATCGGCTCAGGCGCGGTCGGCGGCGGCGGGGCCGGAGCCCCCGCCGCCGCCAGCGCCGCCGCAGAGCCGTCGGCTGGCTTCTGTCCGGCGATGCGTTTGTTGGCGTCCAGCATCGCCTGCCGCGGCGGCACGATCAGACTGAGGTCGGGGATGGGCGTCTTGTTCCGGCCGCCGCCCGCCTCAGTCGCCGACTCCACGTCGGACTTCTTCTTGCGACCGCGCCGCTTTCCGCCACTGGCGGCCGCCGGCGTCTCCTCCGCCTCCGCCTTGACCGCCGTGAACGCCTTGAGCGCCGCTTTGGTACGAATTGCACTGACGGGCGATGTAGATCGGCGCCGCTCGTCACCCTCCGACTCACTGTCGGTGTAAATGTTTTTGCCCTTGGTGACGGCCGCTGCCGACGGCACTCGCGAGTCCGAATCACTCGTCACATCGTCACTGGCACCGGGCGCCCGCGCGCCGCCCGCCGCTCGGGTCCGGCGCCCGCGGCCGCGGCCGCGTCGCGCTGCGCTCTCGTGCGCCAGCGGCACGTCGTCGTCACTACTGTCGGCCGCCTTGTTGGCGCGCGCCGGCGGCGGCGGCGCCTTGTGCCGGCCCGGTCGCCGGTGTTTGTCCACGCTCGCCGCCGCGTCACTCTCACTCGTGTCACCGAAGAGATCACTCTTGGTGGGCCGCTGGCTGGCGGTGCCCGCCGTGGCCCCACTCACCGGTCGGCGCCGCTCTCGCTCGGTGCTGGAGCCGGAGCGGGCCGAGCGCCGCTCGCGGCTCCTGCTGCCGCCGTCCGACTCGCTGGTGCAGCTGCTGGTGGCCAGACGGTCGCGCCGCTGCTCGGCGCCGTTCACGTAGGTGCGCCGGTACGGGTCGGCGGCGCCCGGACGGCGCACGGCGCCGTTGGGGCCCGAGCGCGGCACGCCGCCCTTGCCGCGGATCAGGTCGAGCAGCTGCTCCAGCGGCTGGCTGTACAGGCTGGCGCCCGCGTGCGAGTAGTGCCGGTCGTACACGTTCGAGCCGACGTGGTTGGCGGCCAGCACGGCGCGTCGCTCCTCGGCCGAGAGGCGCGTGCCCGAGTCGCGCAGCACTGCCTCCTGCTGCAGGAACGTCTGCTCGCGCAGCCGGAAGTAGTTTCGGCACTGCTTCTGCCGCTTGGTCACCATGTAGCACAGATTTCGGACCTGACGGCAGACAAAGGGCGTTCACCAGAGATCGAATATAGGCGGGGGCACGCCACAGCAGGCGGATGGAGCACTTACCCGCGCACCAACCATCGTCGAACGCCAACACGCAACACTTTTCGTTACAGTTAAAATTTACTGAACGACTGCCGACAATAAGGAACCCCCTAAAAACAAGCAACAACAAACCCTCTGCAAACACACATAATCGACAAACCACACACAGTATCCCGACAGCAGCCTCATCTGGGCCGTCAGGGGCCGCTGCCACCGGCCCGTCGGGGTGCGGCGCTCGCTAGAGTGACCTACCTTCTCCAGGTTCTGTCTGATATGGACAAACTGTTTGATCTTCTCGAGGTCCTGCTGCTGCTGCTCTGTGCGCAGATCGATCTCGTCCGTATTGGGTGTCAGCAGCGCCTTGTTGTTGCACGACTGTCGCATCGGTGACATAGCCGGGTTAGCGGGTGGGACGGAAACCAGAAAACTGACGCTACCGGTAATACAGCAGCCGCGTTAAGTTGGTCGAATTACATGATACAAAGTGTGCCCTGATGCACAAATTGCAGTTTACCGAATGACTACATAAGTATGGTTCAAGAAGGTGCACAATGCCTGTAAAAAATGTGCTCCCCATAGGCATGACGTAAATGTAGAGACGCTGGACGGCCCGACACTGAAGTACCCATCCGGTACCAAATACATAAATAAAACGCATCAGTCCCGTGTTGGCCCCGAAAGCCTACCTTCCGCTTGAGCTTCCAGTAGTTGTAGATGAAGTCCAGCGCCTCGGTGGGCAGCCCGCAGGAGGCGGCGGCGCCCCTCAGGTCCACGTGCTTGTAGAACTCGGCCTCGATTTGCTGCAGCCTGCGGCGCCGGGCAAGACACACACGGATACGGTACATACGGTCAGCGGACGGCCACATAGGGGCCTCGAGACGGCGGGTGACTGACAGGCCACTGGCGGGGCACGTGCAGCAGCGCTGCAGTTAGTGCCACAAAATACAGCCACCCGTGTCACACCCGTGTAACAGGGCAACGGTTCTGCACACTGAAAGTTGAAGCGAGGCGATTAACTTGTGTGACGCGATTAACTTGTCATTATGTCATGTTGATCAATAAAACACATGTCGGCGAAAAGAAGCCTACGACGTAGCAGACATGACGAAAGACGTTTGAAACTTCACTCGACATACCAAAATCTGCTGGAAAGGGGTTTAAGTAAGCGCTGACGTACTTTTGTTTCCTGGTGCGCCGCTGCGCCTCCGAGTCCGGGTCGGCCCGGCGCATCTCTCCGTCCGAGTCAGACTCGCCGGAGAGCTTCTCGTTCTTACTGTGCTTCGGACAGTACGACTGAGGGAAGACACACGAGGCGGGGACGTCGGTTAAATGTAAAACAGACATCGTTAAAATGTTGTTGCCCAAAACAAAGCAAATGCCAAATACCAATTAAAAGTCAATAGCCAATTACATAACAAATGCCCATGCCATTGACCACCTACCCGGGGCAGCCAGGCATACCGATAGAACATCAGTAATCACTCCCCAGTCCCCACTATCCCTTCCACGCCAAGCATGAAGACAGAGTGGCTCACCTTCAACTTAATCTCATCGTCGTCACTCTCGTCCTCGACCGGCTTCATCTTCAGGTTGTGCTTGAACGCGCAGGTGACGTGGTAGGCCGTCTTGCAGGACTTGACCGAGCACTGGATGCACGCGCCGACCTTCTGCTTGCAGAGCACGCAGAGCAGTGCCCACCGACGCGCCTGAGGAGACGCACAGAACTGTGACTGCGGTGGCGAGGTTGAGACGCAGAGCTTTTAGCTAAGTTTTGGAGCTGTCAGTGCATTATGGTGGCGGTACTACGGGCCACGGATCACGGGATATTCAGCCGAGCAACACCGTACCTTTGCAATAATTGATCCGTATTTCGAGTTTGGCATTCCATACGACAATCTGCCCCGTTGCATAAGAAATAGATTTAGTGGTTCGAGGAGAAACTTCAGACTTCTTAAGCGCGATGTGCATTGAGTGTCAAGAGCCAAACAAGAATTACAGAATGAGTCCAAGCTAATCCGAGTATCAGGACGTGCCTTACACGACCCTGATGTTTTAGCATCGTTTTCGACCGGATAAAATCGTTATTATGTAATTCAATAAGATGTAATTTATCACTATACACAAATATTTCCGTCTGCGAGTAAGTAGTGGTCACTGTGCAGTGTGCGTTGACTTTGGTATCAGTGGCTGTAACAGCTTTGCACTGGAAAAAAGGACCAGTACACGTGACCCACTGTCCCGCCCTGCCCATCCCCACCGTCCCTCCGCGCGACTGACCGAGATGTTGGAGATCTTGGTGACAGGCTCCATTTTCTCAACGTCGCCGATGCTGACCTCGGGGATCCAGAGGGCGCAGCTGACGTGCGCCCACTTGTGGCCCGAACGGGTGCTCTTCATGGCGCCGCCTGCGAGACAAGCATCGACACGTTATACTAACAATAACATACGACAGGCCTCGGCACGTCATGGCACACATCACTTCACGCGAGTCATATGACACACATCAGGATGGTGGAGAAACATAGCGAAATGTTCGAAGTGCGAGTCGGGCATCTGGCAAAAAAAAAAAACTAGCAAACATCCATAAACAAATAAGCAGAAGGCATATGGTCACAATAGCTACGGAAAAGTACACGGCAGAGTTTAGTGAGAAACAGCCCAGCTCGCGGGCAACTATTTTAAAGAAGTATCGAGGAAATCAAAATAATCACAATTGTAAATCCAGCAACCCAATGCAAACCAATATTGAGTACCTATCTAATTGAACTATTGTCTTGATATCAAGTCACAACTTACAACACTTCGGCCGATACCACCTCGCGTGATTCGTGTGCCGTATGACTCGCGTGAGATGGTCATCATGCTCCAATAAATTTCACACATCCCCAAGAACTGCCCATACACAGCCGATCACCGTACCTTTGTTGGGGCAGAGCACACACTCTGGCTTGATGCCGAGCGCGCAGGTCTTGCAGAGCCACGAGCCGTCCGGGATGCTGGTGATGCCGTAGCACATCTGGTGGACGCAGATGTTGCACTTGTCGCAGAACACCATCTCGTTCTCCTCCTCAGAGTCGGGCTGGCGGTGGAGCACAGGGCAACGGTTAGCGACTGGGGGCGCGGGTAAGAGGGAGGAGGGGCTGCCGAGCAGGGGCGGCTATCTGCGGATAGGACGGGGAACGGGTCAGTTGATTGGGAACTGTAGATGGATAAAACGTGGCAATAGTCAAATGGAGGAGAGCTGTAGGGCAAGAACAGTTGGCAGATGGCGTGGGGTACTGGGTAGACGGGTTAGGGAGGCGCGCTGTCAACTGGCATCAGCTGTGTACAAATCACTGGCCGGCTATGTTTTGAGCTGATGCCAATTTATTGCCCAGCAACCGTGGCATCCAATCAATGTCATACGTGAAGGTTAGGGTTGAGGTACGACGTGATTCAAGAAAAGACGCGAGACAAAGCATGTTTACGGCAAGCAAGACAAAATGTCAAAATTGTAATTGTCAACAGCTGGACGTGTAGAATAGAGTCATAGTGATAAGTCGTTTTGAACAGCGGAATGGTCCCCGTGACCTCACTACCTTCCTCACACCAGTGCTCCCCCGGGGGAATCAAACGACGCCAACCAAACTCGGTACAGCTGTCATCCGCAACCCATCAGCTCCGTACCGCCCAGCCAATTGATATGATTCTGAGCTCTGCCTCCCGGCGGAGACGATCCGAGTTTACCCGTGGGTCCGTAACCGGCGTCCTGTGACGCAACGCTCGTCGACAGCGCACCTGGCACGCCGTCAGGCGGCGGCGGCGGCGGCAGAGTGGAACGGCTCATCGTCCCGGCAGTTTGCGGGCGGGCGGACGGCCCGGAGACGGCGAGAGTGTAATGAATGGCACCGCCGCCATGATAGTGCCACTCCACTTAGTGAGCCAGTCTCCACCCCATCTTTCTCAGCCGGCTCGGCACTCCCCCACTAACCCGGTCTATCCAATACCACCCCGTCCCCACGCGATTCGCTCGGCACTCCCCGCTTCCCAGTTCTACTATCCAATACCACCCCGTCCCACGCGATTCGCTCGGCGAACCCCGCTCCCCAGTTCTACTATCCAATACCACCCAGTCCCCACACGGTTCACTCAGCACTTCCCCGCTAACCCGGTCTATCCAATACCACCCCGTCCCCACGCGATTCACTCGGTACTCCCCCGCTAACCCGGTCTATCCAATACCACCCCGTCCCCACGCGATTCGCTCGGCACTCCCCGCTTCCCAGTTCTACTATCCAATACCAGCCCAACCCCACACCTTGGCCCACGGTGTGTAAGCCACAGTGCGTAGTTAACAGGTGTTGACGAAGACCCCACCTGTCGACAGACGTCGCAGACGACGCTCTCGTCGAACTCGATGCTGAGGCACTCCTGCGTCTTGACGATAGTCTGGAGCCGGTTCCAGCACTGGCGCTCCAGTTCCTCGATGGCCCTCTCCAGCTCCAGGTCGGAGACGGCAGGCAGGCCTGCGGACAAGGACGGCGCTCCGGTCACAGACGTACACCCACACAGGCGTCCAAACGGACCGGAGAAAGTCGCCAGATCGCTGAGGCGGGGGAGGGGGCAGAGAGAACCGCGCCGCGGCCAGTGGACGTACGATCACTGTCATGGCACGGATGTGTTGAGACATGACTAATTCTATAGCAGATTAGGACAAATCATGCTTCTAATAAATACATTGTGTTAACAAGAAGGAATACCAACAGTGATGAAACTTAGTCGATATAAGTTACATTATTGATGAGCGTAAATGGTTCGAAAAGGTCGAGAAAAGCTTGGCTGACGTAAGAAGGCAGCTGCAGTAGCTTATCGAGGGACTGAGGAAATACAATAAAAAAACAACTGACGCAACATATACAGACATCGAATGATGCAACAAGCTGCCACAGCCACATTCACGATGATAAAGTTATACGCCGATGGCAGTGGATTCCTTCTGTTAAGGCTTCTCAGGACAGGACTGATAAGTCCTATCTGGCGCCTCAGATCCGTCTAGTAAGGGACCACCGGCACCCAGCGGCGGGCGGGGCGCGGGGCGCGGGGGGTTCCCCGGCCAGCGACCCCGCTCCGTAAGGCCGCGGCCAAATCCGGCACGGTCGGGGGGCGACGTGCCCGGTTTAGAGAAAAGCGATGTTGATGAAGGCGCACGTAAAATAATGAAGACAAATGTGGTATAGCCAAGTGGCTAAAGCTAAACTGGGACGGTCTCAATAAGGCAAATTGATGCAAAGTTAGGCCGCAATTACCATGCTGGACAATCCAGACGAAAGTGTTGAAACTTGGCGCTCGAAAACGGTACCAACTCAGTTCGTGCAAAGCTATGTACCGGTTGGATAAGTTCGTCATGGAGGACATTGTCCCATATCGCCATATATTTTGTTCTTATCAAAGTCACCAACACCCTGTCAGGAAATGCGATTATATGAATCATATGATCCTTCACACACAATCTGAAGTATCTACTGCCTGATTCACGTCTAACCCACGACTCAGGCTGACACATCCACATACGATACACTACGCAGGGTATCAGAGGTCTCCGGCCGTCGGTAATGCAGCTTCGCGAATCACAACCCTCTACCATAGGGCGGCTGTGGCCGCTAGCGACACTGGCCAGCGGCACTGGCCGCCACAGCCGGTCATACCGGGTCCCTGCCGACCCCCCTGCCCCCAGTGAGACAAACAAGTCCCGCACACGGCCTCCCTTACCCCCACCGGTCCCTGCTGGTTCCCGACCCGCATAACTCACCAGACTGCCCAGAGACCGCCACCCCGTCCCCGCCCGACTCCCAGCCGCCTCACTCACCCATGCGGGCGCGCTCGCCGTTGAAGATGCCCAGCCAGATAGAGTCCTGCTCGTCCAGGTCGTAGCGACACATCTTCTCGGCCTTGGCCGGCGCGTTGGTCATGTGATACAGTTCGGGCGACGAGTCGTCGTGCGTCACACGCACCAGCTTCTTGGGCCTGGCGGGAACGGGGAGAGGTGTGAGAGGTTTCGAGCATGTCGAAACGCACTAAGGAGATACGCAAAGTTTGAATGGATCACAGCTAGCTAGTAACGTGTGACCGAGACTAGTGACCACTGAGCAGTAAGTGATCATTGGCTAGTGGTACCAGTTAGGAATTGAAATACGATGGACGAGTGCAACATAGGAAGGCAAAGAAAGAGCGTCCAGGGGATCAGGGTAGCGGAACAACGGAAGCAGAACATACGATACGACACAAGCAAACACAATCGCGCGACTTATCAGAGACATCCAGGAAACTTTACGACGCTGTGGCTATTTTTAGCATCGCACGCATGACGTAATTCAAAGGATATGCATTGTTTTGTATCACTAGATAAACGGGCAAAAAATGAGAATGTTAACAGCTCTAGATGACTTCAAAAAACGGGTTATATTACTAGGATAGCGCAAAATCAATACAGCTGATGCAAGAAACAATAAGGCGTATACAACAGTTACAACGGACAACGCCGGGAACTGAGAAATCTCCGAGCCCTCTTCGCGTCCCTTCCTCTGCGTCCCAGCGCACCCGCGTCCCGTCCATCTGCTGGCACTCACAGTTTGAAGTCATGCAGCCGCTGCGGCGGTCCGGGCACGCAGCTGACGCGCGGGTGCGGCAGCGTGTCCGGGTTGACGGGCACCTGGACGCCGCGCTCCCACTCCTGCTTCCACTGGTCGGCGATCTCCAGGTACTCGTCAGGCGACAGGTACTCCGAGTCGGCCAGCTTCATCGCGCTGATCAGGTCCGTGCGAATCAGCTGTGGGCGGGGCCGGGTTGCGGTCAGCTACGCGGGTCGACGACGAGGTCTTAAGTCGTATATTAAGTAATGTGCTTATCCCCAAGCACGCAAACACGCAAGATTCAAATGACGTCGCCAAAAACATCGAAGTAAGAAAACGATTTGTCGAGTTAATAATCCTTCAATCACCAGCGATAGCAAGTCCGCAGTTCGGCGCTTTCCATTCTCGCGGTTCAGCTAACCGCAGACGGCATGGCGCAACAGTTACCGCCCCGCCCCTCCCCACGCACCGGGTGCGGTCCCGCCCCCATCCCCCACGGCGGTCAGTCGTACTCACCTCCCCCGGCTTTTCCACCGCCTTTTTGTTGTAGGCCTTCAGGTCGCCGAGGTGTTTGGGCGTCCAGCCGTGGCCGGCAGCCGACAGCTGCGGCTGCTGCGAGTCGGCATCCTCCGAGCCGCTCAGTTTCCGACGTTTGCGCTTACCCATGGGGCCTGTCGGGTGGACGGCAGGGCGCGAGCGAACGCACCGGTTAGAATGGACGGGCAGCTTGACGGTTGGATAGACATACAGGCAATTAGACACATAGCCATCCGTATCTTATTGAGGCGAGAGATAAAGACAGACAAGTTTAGATAGAAATCCATTTCATGTAAACGCAAAGTTGCAGCTAAAAGATTCGCAATTGATGTGACTTATTGTGCAGTACACATGCCGACAATTCACACTGCAATGGACCTAAGGTGGAAAGCTGAGGTTATCTCACCTGGATCATCAGGCTTCCCAGCAAGCCTCTTCAGCCTCTGAGACATGGCTGCTCAGTGGGCTGGAACACAGCAAAAGTAAACAGCTTTAGAGGATTGTTACACCACAAAGACGATATCTTGTTAAAGAATGATGGCAAGATGGCAACAATCCTACAACAAGATGGCAACAATCCTAAATGTTGCATCTCGTCCCATGATTCATGATATCTTTGAAATATGCTACAAGAACTTCTTTATTTCATGTAAATACAGGGCAGCATATATACCGCTCTGCTAGATACACGCTTCCACATAGCGCCCTGATATTGATATAAAATGTGGTGATTTATTCTTGGATTTATTCCTGCTTGCTTATGATGTTCATCGACCTCCAAAGAAGGTTAATTTTAACGATACAATGGTCCGTTGACAAGGTAAAACATTAGATCAAACAAATAAAGATCAATTGATCACACTACAAAAATATTAAGTGATCGTGTAATCTAGAATCACTGCCATTTATTTATGTCTCCAACATTCACAAATTTCAGTGAAGAGCATTATCACATGAAGCTATTTTGCTTCCCACATTTCCGAATGAAATTGATATTTGACCGAAATTGCTGCAAGCTACCTGAAGGAAAACTTCAGCACATACATTCCATTAGGATTTATCTTAACAGCCATTGTTAACTCTCCACTCTTTTTTATTACTGAAAACGACATTCCCGACACCCTGCAAGGCACACAGCCTGGCCCTATTGGTACACAACTGAAAAAGCAAAAATGCTACAGCAGTCCCTGCTAAGGTACGGAATCTATCAGAAAGCTGAAGCACCAGAAAAGTGAGTGTGTGAGTGTAATAACGAGCAAGAAGGACGAGCAAGAAGGAGGTTGATTGGTTGATGGGTCAACTCATTAATGAATGACTCCCAATTACAATCTCAGAATGAGCTACTGAAAGCATAGGGGTAGAGCCTGGAGCATGTTCTAAGAATGCACAAACATCCTGCAGTGGCAAATGTGAGATGCATTTGTAGGTTCATTATGAGATCCATTCTCTCGCGTCACGCGTGTTTTCCGCTTTGAAATATTTCACTTTTTAGTACCTGTTTACAGATTAGGGTTAAGATAAGCGTTTATCAACAGTCGATTTAGAAGATTGAGCTTCAGGTAGCATTTTACATTACCTTCCAATGCCCCACAAGTTCCCTCACCAGATATTTGGGTTTTAGATGGGAAAATGTTTCCCAACCATGTTTCCCAGCCCAGAGGGCAGCATTGGTATGGCCACTGAATCATCCAACAGATGAACATCAGTAACGAAAATTGAATCTTACTTGAAGACTTCTCTGATCACAAGAGTACTTTTATTGCTAAAAAAACAAAAACATGTGGTCTCCTCATATAGCTAATTATAGTTTTGTTGTTGTTAGATGAAGAGGATTCCCTCATCCAATCAGCCAATTTGGTTGCATGTTCCCAACATTTTGATGATGTAACCCAAAGCTCAGCGGCCCTGCAGCATGCACAACGTTACAAATTGCTTTTCATGATCTGACCTGATACTATTTACAGCTATTATCAAAAAGTGTCTTTCAAATTTTCAAGTTCTTCGTAATTTCAGCCTGTCCTGTAGCTCAGTTGGCATGGACTCCCGGTAGTGAGATCCCAGGTTCGAGACGCTCCGGCGCTCGATATTTGAAAACCCTGACGGGGATGGTCTGCGGTTGGTGGGAGCAGCCGCAGCCAGTTGAAGTCAGTTGAGTGGGACAGCCCGTGTCCGGCTTTGAAAGGCAAGTTCAACTTTGGCATCTAAATTATCCCATTACGCGGCATGGCGCGATCGAACAGTAGGGGTCGAGGTCGATGCAGCAAACTCTGCTTAGCGTGGGCTCCGGCTCTGTCAATCCATCCATTCAAACATTCAAGCTAAATTTATTTCTTAAAAAGTTTTCAATGGTTTTACACACTCACTGACAGCCTCAGGTACCCATACAATGTGTATGCTATATATTTTTGACTTAGCAAAGATAACCTCTTTCTCATGTCACCTAAATTTTAGTCAGTATCTTCATGTGAATGGCTGAAATTTTGCATTGTCAATGGTAGGATTTATGGTCATTTGGATAGGATGACATTAGATGGGAAGAAAGTAGAGTGAGGTCAATGAGGCCAAGCATGTCACCTACATAGTGATCCACTTTTCAGAATGTTGGGTGGAAAATCAAACCTAACATGCAAATATTTTTTCAATTTCATCCCAAAAATGAGAAAAAGTGGCATTATTTCCTTTTTTGAAAAAGTGTTACAATCCTTTGACTTGCCTGTTTGCACATAACGTTACAGTTGATGCATCCACATTCCACACCCTTTCTTTCAGATCCAGCCAAGATCCTGACATGAAATTCTGCTTTATCAATTGGTATAAAAAATAACAATGTCTCTGTTCTGCAAAAGCACTCTAGGTACCTGTTTGTTTTCTCATCTTATATACCGTAAGGTGGGGCTATTTGAGACAGTGGGGCTATTTGAGACAGTATTTAAAATCGCTATGAAATGAAGAGCGTTTTAAATTTATGCTTAATTTTTTGCTGAGGCGACTGCTCGATTCCACACCTTCCTGAGCAAAAATATCACATAAAAATCAAACGCTCTTCATTTTATAGCGATATTAAATACTGTCTCAAATAGCCCCACTGTCTCAAATAGCCCCACTTTACAGTACTTTTTTCATTGGCACATCCAATAAAAATCCAAAGTTAGAACACTGGCCATAAAACTACCAAAAACTTAGAATATGCAACATTGAAACAATGTGTTTCAATTGGTGTTATGTTGTAGACATTCTATAAAAATAAAATACCTTCAGTTACATCCACAATTCTGGTAACAATGGAAGTCATCAATATCGTTTCCAGAAAAATAATGCCACAAATAAAAACCTTCACCATTTCCAACCTTTTTTTGCAAAATGATTCACCATCACCAAGCATCAAATGGTAAGTAAATGCACACAATCTAATAAATGGTACAGATATGCATATGTCACTGCACCTGGGAAACATTTAGGTAAAACAGATTGATCAGAATAACATGTTACAAGTGTTATATCTCAATCTGTCCTATTGCATAACATGTCAAACATCATCACAATCAATTAAAACCAATTGAAATGCATCATACAAGGACAACAGAGAATTATGAATTTATTATATATAGACTCATTTAATAACTTATTTGAATGCAATATTGCTTATGAAGAACTGCATATAAAGAAAAATGTACAAGATACCCTATCATTAAAATTAATGTGTACTTCCAGTGTAGGCAAAAAATAAGTGTCACCAATGATAATGGCATGACCTGCCACTAAAAAAGCATGTGAAGCAACTTAAAATGGGTTGAAAATAAGAGGAAATAGGAATCATACTTTAAAATATTTGGAATTATTTAAATTGATTTAATCATGACTATCACATAACTCAAGCTAGGCTGCAATTGCACCTGGACGCTTACACCAATGGATGACTGTTGAGCTCATATGAAACAGTGCTTGCAATGCATCATGATGCATCCATTAAAGCTAACGGTGAAAGGTATTGCAGTAATCAAGGTATCAGATTACTTCACATCAAAGCTCATTGGCATGAAACTGTCAAAACAACGCAACAGCACCAGATCATCGTCTAACAAGCAAATAAACTGACTTGAACAGTATTAACCATGCATGAAATTTTAGCAGATATTTCAAAGTGGTAGACACATCATATCAATTCCTGTGTTGTGGATAATCTGCTAAAAATGAGTTCTATGAAGCGATGGCATAGCACCCTCAAATTCAAATGCATGCATGGACACAGGCCACACAACTGACACATTATATCTTAGGCAATCAATGCATCATAAAAGTTCATGAAATCTTCCAAAATCAAGTATGCAAAAACATTCAACTATAAAAGCAAAGAAACTACATCTACCTACAAACAATTCCAAAGAAGCTGCGCCGCATTCGAAACAACGGAATTGCTTCAATATTCTCACCTGACATGAGATTAACTTGCCAGCGCTTTATTCCCCTAGTTCTCTGCTTATCAAAACCTCGTCTCCATTTCCTCCATTATGCACCGATTGCAAATAATACTGAAATTTTGCAAGGGACGGTTAGCGCCATTTTAGTTACGAAAATAACCTGTATGGTCACGTGACCACTAAAACCCGTTAACTTTCGCAGAGTCTCGCGTTCTGCGAGACTTTAGATGCGTTCGTGTAATATACTTTTAAGATAATTAAACTTTTACAAAAATATTTGATATGCTTTTTTCGTGCCATCATTGGAACGAAACAATTTTAGGACGACAGGAATCTTTTTATTTGAAATATTGAATGATTTTGCAAAAAGATAATGATGACAACTAATGTCGAACGTGTACATTTATCGATATCCAACTTACGTACTTTTGCGTACTTTTATATTTACGTAGCTCACTTGATTGTGAGTGAATTATTGGGCTGAATTTGGGAAAAAAATAAGTACAGGCATGAGATTATCCACTCCAAACTCGCATTTAATACGTGGAGGAAAGGTTTTGCAGGTTCCCCTTGAAGAACGATTTTATCGATATAAACCTAGCTGTTTCCTTGCATGTTATGCATAATCGATATGTCATTTGATGTTATTCGTCGGTCCAATTCCCGCGCGAGCTGCGTTCTCTCATTTGGTGTGAACGTGTGAATTAATTCCTGCTGCGGTTCTAACCAGAGCATGTTGAAATGATTAGGATACTTATTTGACATGCAACGTTTGTTTACCATTCTTGTTCTGAGCCATGAGACAGACCCTGTCATCGGCAGCCTTCACCTTCACCTTAGGGTCTTGCAAGTGAACTTTAAATCACTTCCACTCCAGCCGGCACCAAGATTTTGCAGGTAAATTTAAAATTGACACATGCAAGTATGAATTTGCTTATATAGAAAATTTTAGGTTTTTAGGTTTTTAGGTTTATCCTTACCTTACCTTACCTTACCTTAGTTGGTCATCGGGTTATAAGGCCACTCGGCCTATGGGTCCCGCTCGTATCGAGTGAAAGGCATAATCGGAGAGGCTATGGTCCTTAGTACAGGGTAGGGATGTCGAACATCACGCTCGACCAGTGCCGGTCCAGCCGCGCCTTGAAAGACGACAGCGACTCAGCAGCGACAACGTCTGTTGGCAGGGCGTTCCAATCGTTGATGATTCTGACGCTGAACGCGTTCCTGCGAGAAAGATGCTTGGCGTTTGGCTTCCTCAGCTTCCACTGGTGGCCTCGCGTGTTTTGCGCTTCGTGTCTCGTCAGCAGTGACTCAAGCGGCACATCCAGAAGTCCGTGGAAGAGCTGGTACACGGTCACCATATCTCCACGACGACGGCGGTAGTGCAGCGATGGGAGGCCGAGGCGGCGAAGCCTGTCAGGGTACGGCAGGTCTCTGAGGTCCGTGATCAGGCGGGTCGCGCGTCGCTGCACCCTCTCCAGTCTCTTCTGGTCTTCTTTGGAGAATGGACCCCAGATGGCGTTCCCAAACTCGAGGAAGGGTCGGACTAAGACCTTGAAAAGAAGAGGTAAAGTGAACTCATCCAGGTTCGCAAACGACCGACGGATCACTGCGAGTATCTGTGAAGCCTTGGCGGCGGCAGCGGCTGTCTGCTTGTGGAATCTTAGCTGCCTGTCGATGATAATACCTAGGTCTCGTTCCTCCTCGCAGGTGGCGACAGCAGTTCCATTCAAGTGGTACGTGCGGTCTGGGTTGTGGAAGCCTAGGTGCATGGTCTTGCACTTCGCACCATTGAAGGGGAGCAGCCATGTCTCCGACCAGCGGACCAGAGCGTCGATGTCGTCCTGCAGGCCATCGTGGTTGGCAGTCATCTTGCAGTACAGCTTGGTATCGTCTGCGAACATCTTCACTGTGTTGGTGACCTGTGCTGGCATGTCGTTCACATACACTGTGAAAAGTGCAGGACCGAGGACGGTGCCTTGCGGAATGCCGCTTGTTACTGGAGCCCAGGCTGACTTGCATCCCCGAACAACCACCCTTTGAAGGCGCTCAAACAGGAAGGCCTGGATCCAGTTCAGGAGTCGACCCGACACACCATAAGACCTCAACTTGCCTAGGAGTCGCTTGTGTGGTACCGAATCGAATGCCTTGGCAAAGTCTAAGTACGCCACATCAACAGGAACTCCCTCTTCCATGGCAGCAGTCCAGTCCTCAATCACCCCCAGGAGCTGTGAGGTGCAAGACCTTTTGGGGAGAAACCCATGCTGAGCCTGATGTAGCTGGCCAGTTGAGGTTAGGTGTGCAAGTAGGCTGTCCCTTACCAGTGACTCAAGCACTTTGCACGGCACTGCAGTGAGACTCACGGGTCTGTAGCTTGTTGGCTCCTGACGATCTCCTTTTTTGAAGATGGGCGTTATCTCCCCTGTCTTCCACTCTGCGGGTAGACATCCAGAGTCCAGAGATTTCCTGAAGAGGAGACTGAGGGGGTAAGATAAGACGCTCGCAGAGTTACGAAGTACACTGGGTCGGATACTGTCAGGCCCTGGGGAGCTTCGTGGGTTAAGTGCAGCCAGTTTTGCTTCAACCTTCTGGGGAGACACATCGACATCTTCCAGTGACGGACCGTTGAAGCTGCCGTCTAGAGTCGGTGTAGTGCCAGGTCCTTCAACCGTGAAGACACTGCCAAAGAAACTGTTCAAGATGTTTGCAATCTTCTGGCTATCTGAGACAACAGAGCCGTCTTTGTCCTTCATGGTTGCAAGATGGCTTCTGGTCCGGAGTCTGGTGTTGGTGTACCTCCAGAATCCTTTTGGGTTGTGCTTTAGGTCTGCAGCAAGTTTCCTCTCATAATCCTTGCGAAGACTCCTGGTCAGCCTCCTCAGCTCATTGCTGCAGCGCTTGAAGCGGGCGTGGTCAAGCAGGCTCTGGGTACGACAGTAGGTGCTCCAAAGCAACTTCTTCTTTTTCCTCAGCTGGAAAGCCTGGCGATTCATGTAGAAGTTCACATTTGCATGTTTCTTCCTCTTGGATGAGCATGATTGGATGGCATTCACAAGCTGTGTTTTGAAGAATGCATAGGCGCCGTCCAGATCCATGGCAGCCATCGGAGACCAATCAACATCTTGAAGAACGCTAGATAGCCGGTTGAAGTTAATGCGGTCAGAGCAAATCCTGGTGTAAGCACCTGCTAATGGGGAGCAGGTGACCGTAAACTGCAGCATCACATGGTCGCTACTTCCAAGTCCCGGAAGATATTCCAGCCCCTTCACCATGCCTTCTTCTTTGGAGAAGATCAGGTCCAGGATGCTGGGAGCTTCACCATGTCGATAACGAGTTGGGTGGAGGACATGTTGAAAGAGGAAGCAGTCCTGGATGGTGTCAATAAATGAATGGCAACTGTGACCTGCAGGAGCCGGAGAGCTTTGTGTCGACCAGTCAATCTGGGGGAGATTGAAGTCACCCACGAACACTATGTGTGAGAAGGTCTCGGAACATGCTTGACGGATGAGTTGGTTCATCTGGTTGATACTGTCTTCAGCGGAGCCGGATGGGCTGCGGTACAAACATCCAATGAGTAGGCAGTCACCTCCCCTTAGTGACAGTGACACCCATACATTTTCGGTGGTTGAAGCATCAAAAAAGACTTCGCTCACTTTAAGGTGCTCTGCGGCATATACACAGATGCCTCGGATGCCACTGCTCCCTAGGTTCGAGGTCAGAGGAGTAAAGTTATGATGCACCGAGTACCCTGGGATCTGAAGTAGAGCTGGGTCAATGGGTAATCTCTGGGCCTTGGGTATGACTTCAGTCAGAAGAATCAAGTCCGGTTCCTTGTTGCATATCAACATACACAAGTCATCTCTTTTGTTGATGAACTGATCACAGTTGGTGTACAGAACAGTCAGGTCTTCCTTTGCTGACTTAACATCTTTGGGATGCACTCTTAGTCATTCAGCTGCTCTGTACGCAGGCTGGTTTGACTGAGAACGGCTCCCACGAGTGTCTTCAACTGGCTGGTGCAGGTTACCCTCCTCCTCCCGGGTCCCCGTGTTCCCGAGGCTCCTCCTTCCATGTTGCCCTTCAGCCCGCTGGCTACCTGCCTCTTCTTGACGTGGGGCACGGGTGATCTTGCCATTTCTGATCACCAAGTTTGTTTCACCAGCCCCTCTTCGAGCTGCCAATTCTTCACGGAGCTTCCTGTTGGTCTCTCTTTCCTTCTGGGTTAGGTCTGGCGTTAAATAAATGTTAGAGTACTCCCCAGAGTTTCTCAGCCAGGATGCTCCTCTCAGGATATCAGCTCGGCATGCTGGATTGTCAAGGGTCAGGATAACCAGTCTAGGTTTACCCTGCAACCTTCTTCCGGCTCTGAAGGATTTAGAAGCTGATACGCTTATTTTCATCACATCCTTGATCATCTTCAGGATTGCCAGCCTATCCTTCTCTGCCCGCTCGTTCAATGGACCTTCCTCGGGCTCTGGTAGGTTGTGCACGACAATGTTGGCTTTGCGTCTCTCCCTGTCCCAGTGGTCGTCCAAAGCCTTTGTCAGATCCAGGGCTGAGTGTTGTGTGCTTTCATTACCTTTTGGGAGTGAGCTCAGCTGGGTTTTCACCGCTTCAACAACCTCCTTGCAGGTGCCCTTGACAGCATCTGCATAGGAAGGTCCTGCTGAGTTTGCATGCGCCTCGACTGCTCTCACCTGATCTGCCACACGCTTACCATATGCATCTAGTGCTTTTTCCATGTTGATGGCCTGGTTCCTTAGCATCTCTTCTTGGCTTTGGACAGACTTTGTGATGTGCTCGATGTGGTTCTGGACTTTTGCTTCGAGCTGAGCGAACCTACCCTCGAGCGACGCAGCAAAGACAGGGCGGGGTTTTCTAGTCTTTAAACTCTCTTTGCAATCCGTGCACAGCCATGCGAGACACTCAAACCTGTCAAGTGCTTTCAACGCTGGTTTTGAGATGCCTTGACAGGCAGCGTGAAACCATAAGTGACATCTATCACATTTGGCACCGTCTTCGCCCTCTTTTTATGTCTCTTGTTTATGTAGTGGGTTAGGTTTAGACACAGTCTATTCAGTACCCACATCATACTGGTTTGGGACAAGATGACAGGTCAGGGTGCCGCAGCCCGATGTCGGTCCAGCAGATTTTTGAAGTGGTTTGTAGATGTTGCAGCCACAACTTCCTCTGGTAAACTGTTCCAGGCAGTAACCACTCTGTTTGCAAAGAATTTGGCCCGTGCTTGACTGCTGCATCTTCTTTTTGCGAGCTTTAGGTGGTGCCCCCCAAGGCGTGCCCCCTTGTCCTGTCATCGAAGTTCCTCTCGAAAAACTGGTTTGGATCGACAGCGAGTTTACCTGTTAGGATCTTGTAAGCTTCTATCAAATCACCTCTGCTGAGTCTCTCTTCAATGGTAGGTAGTTCCAGCCTTTCCAGTCGTTGATGGTATGGAAGATGTTTGATTTCACGAACCAGTTTCGAAGCACGCCGTTGAACTTTCTCTAAGGCTTTAAGATCTTGAATTAAATGGGGTCCGACAGCACTCAGGCAGTAGTCAAGATGAGGGCGCACATAGGATGTGTACAATGGCTTAAAGTTGTTCATGTTGAGGCTAGCAAAAGCAATTTTCAGTAATCTTAATGCTGAAGAAGCTTTATTGGCTGCTTGATAACAGTGTTCAGTTGCTTTGAGGGAGCTTGTAGTTATCACGCCAAGATCACGCTCCATGGTAGTTGCTTTGAGTTCTCTATTCGAACCATTCTCTGTCATGTAATACCGGTTATGTTGGTTTGAAAACCCACAATGCATTATCTTGCACTTGGCAACATTGAACCTCAGTAGCCATTTCCGTGACCATGCACACAGAGCTTGTAGGTCGGCCTGTAGTGCAGCTACATCATCATCATGTCGGATTGGTCGATACACTTTGGCGTCGTCAGCGAACATTTTTATGCTACTTTTGATCTCTGTTGGCAGCTCATTGACATAAACTAAAAACAATGTTGGACCCAAAACAGAACCCTGTGGCACACCACTTTTTATATCCACTGAATTCGAAGTACTATTTCCTATAGTCACATGTTGTCGGCGGTTGTGCAGAAAGTCACAAATCCAGTCTAACAGCCTTCCTCGTATTCCATAGCCATACAATTTCTTCTTTAGCCTTCTATGCGGTACGGTATCAAACGCTTTCTGAAAATCCAAGTATGCTATGTCCAAAGCATGTCCGTCATCCAATGTTTTGGTCCATTCTTCCATTGCTTCAATCAAGTTGGTTTGGCATGATCTTCTCTTTGTAAAACCATGCTGGTGTTTTGAGATCAGGTCATGGTCATCCAGGTGTTCAACAATGCGTTTTCTAACTATTCTCTCCAAAACTTTACATGGTTGACTTGTTAAACTGATGGGTCTATAATTTCCTGGGGCTTTTTTTGACCCTTTCTTGAATAGTGGTGTTACCCTTGCTTCCTTCCAATCAACTGGTAGCTTGCCCAAGTCCAAGGTTTTCTGGAAGAGGCATTTCAGTGGTCCAGCCATTTGATCTGCACACATTTTCATTACACTGTTGGGTATGCCATCTGGTCCTGCCGACTTGTTAATATCTAGGGCTTCTAATTCCCTGTGCACTTCTTGTAGTGTTAGTTCGATATGCTCCAGGATATTTTCGTCCTGTACACGAGCTGGGAATTCTGGAACTTCAGAATCGTCTTCTTCAACAAATACACTTTGGAAGAACTTGTTTAACACTTCCGCTGCTTCCATGTCACTCTGTGTCAATGTACCGCTTTCAGTTGTAAGTGGTCCAACCTTTGGCTTCAATTTCTGTTGTGACCTTATGTACCTTGATATACTACTTGGGTCTTGTTTTGCATGTTCAGCAATCTTGGTTTCGTGCTGACACCTTGCTAGTCTGATAAGACTAGTTGTCTTGTTTCTCTGCACCGTGTATCTCTTGTAGTCTTCTGTAGTTTTAGTCCTTCTGTACTCTTTCCACAATCTGTACTTTAACTTTACAGCCGCTTCAAGCCGTTGAGTCCACCATGGACTACGAGGTATGGTGTTCTTTTGATGTGACAAGGGTACATGTTGTTCAATGCTGATATTGACAATATCCTTTATCTTGCTCCAAGTTTGTTCTACTCCCATGTTTTCAAGAGTTGACCAGTCTATTTGACTAAGGTCATCAGACATTTGAGCATAATTACCTTTCTTAAAGTTTCTACGGGTTGGTTTGTCTTGGTTCATTCTGTTTGGTCTCTTGCTAATGTAGACGTATTCCCATGTGATAACACAGTGATCACTTTTACCCAGTGGGTCAGATCCCACAATGCTATCAATGGCATTTTCTTCATTTGCAAATACTAGATCTAGCAAGGACGGTTCATTTCCTTCTTTGAAACGGGTGGGAAAGTTGACACATTGTAACCAGAACAAGTCATTGACAGCATCAAAAAATCTTTCTTGACTTGATCCCTCAGAACCATCAACTGAGCCAGTATCCCAATCAATCTGCGGGTAGTTAAAATCACCCATTACCAATATATGCTTGGTTCGTGTTGAAGGAGTTTGCTTCAATAAATGGTTTAATCCTTCATTGTACTCAACAGAACTGGCTGGCGGCCTGTAGCAGACACCCACTAACAGTTTTTCTTTGGATGACAATTTGACATAACACCAAACAGACTCTATATTGGGACTGCTCAGCTCTGGGCAATCTAACACCTCCAGGTCACTTTTGACAAAGAGCATGACACCTCCTCCTTTTTGATCTTCTTCTCTATCATATCTGTAGGCAGGGTGATAGCCTTGTAGAACAATTTCATCTTTTGTCCACACTTCCGTAATCCCTATTACATCTGGTTTGCCTTCATCAATACGCAGTCTCAACTCACTCAACTTGTTTTTAAGACTATTGGCATTTGTGTACATGCATTTTAAAAACCTTCTATCTTGGCTCTGCTTCGCGCTAGCGAGGGACGACCTTACCTCGAAAGATTTTGTGGGTTGTTTTTCCTTTTTGCTCCAGTTCCATCCTCAACTTTTTTTGAGATTCACGATCTTCAGGCGAGAGGTCCCTGGTCAGGTAAACATTCAGGAAGCCCACTTCTCTCAACTTTGTTCTCTTCCTGATCAACTCATTAACAATTTCTCTGTCTTTCACTTTCACCAGCATCAGTCGCTTCCGTGCATTCAATCCTTCATTTTCATTGTTCTCAGGCTTTTTCCCTAGTCTGTAGATGTTGACTATTTCTACATCCTGTTTGCCTGTCAGTGAAGTCACTAATCTTTGAAATATTTCTGTGTCATGATGTTTTCTTTGCTCTGGATTGTCTGACTGGCTTTCTTCTATGTTGTGCAGCAGTATGTTCCTTTCTCGAGCATCATGTTCTGCCTTGTTTTCAACTATCTTCTGCAGATTTTTGGCACTCGTTTTCAGTTCTGCTGTGTATTCTGGCAGTTTCTGCACCACATTAACCTGTTCCTTGATCGATTTTTCAACCCGCTCCTGTTGTTCTTTCACGCGCATCATTACGTTGTTTTCTAGTGCTTGGAGTTTTTGTTCTATCTCCTTTTTGAACTTGGCGTCGCTCAGTGCCTGCGTAATTTTGTTCTCAATGTTCTCCATGCCCTCACGGAACTCTTTTCTCAGTTCAGCGATGGGTATAATGTTTGGTCTACACTCCATACACACCCATAGGAAGTCGAACTCGGACAGAGCCCTAAATTCCTTGTCAGATAGCTTCTGACACTTAGGATGGTACCACTGCCTACAAGCATCACACATAATACTATCATCCTTAGCCAAGATTTTCAGCCCACATTGCTTGGGTCCCCCCCTATAAAATCAATTTTTATAGCTTGTCATGGCCTTGGCTGCCATTTTTATACGGTATCAGTAGGCACACGCATGCATTATGGTCACATTGCATTAGCAAATAGCATTCACCATTGTTATGGTCATAATACCTTACCTTACCTACCTTACCTACACTTATCGGGATTTAGAAAGGCACAACGCCTGAAGGTCCCGATCTCGTCGAGTAGGTTCTGGATACACTAGGTTAAATCTTGGGTTGGCACTGAGTAATGGATGGTCTGCCAGTGCTGGTCGAGTCGAGATTTGAACTGGGTTATAATATACCCATTTTCCTTTCAATTAGCTCTAGGTGAGCCAAAAACAGGTACCTACCGGCTACCTACTAGGAAAGATTACCAGAATCATCTTTATCCTGTTTTTTGTTGTTGTAGCAGGTTACTGTAAGCTCATCATTTCATATTCAGATTGCTGTCTTTTTTCAGAGCACGATAATTTCAAGTCTTCACTATGAGTCGCATTGCTGCTCTGAATGATGAGGAGCCCACCCAGCTCAGCACTGGAGAGATCCAACCTGTCATCACAAGAGAGGCTCAGGTATACCTACTCACTTGTTTTGGTAAATGTTAAGATGAAGTCCAAGTAGATAAAAAAAAACACAATCTAATCTGACTTAGCCTTACCTACTAACCTACTAAGCAACCTACCTGTAACATCCATGCAAGCTACCAGCCTATAACCGACCAACCTACAACCTATCAACCTACATCCTATCAACCTATCAACCTACATCCTATCAACCTACATCCTATCAACCTACATCCTACCAACCTACAACCTACCACTTGGGCTTCATCTTCACAAATCACATTCACAAGTTTTTGCTGTGTACTTTTTTAGCTGCTGAATGCATTTTATCACTGTTGTACAATGTTAGATATCCTTGTGACTGTAGTTTTACAGATTAAATGAATGAAATTTCTGGCAGGAGACTCTAGGAGAGCAGGTTGAGCTATATCTTGTGTGGAAATTAGTTCTGACTCCCCACTCTGTATGTGTGTGATGTTTGTTTCCAGGAGGATGCTGCCTACCAGCAGTACACTGAGGCCCTTAGACTGCAGGCAGCAGGCGATGATGACGGCGCTGACGTGCTGTTCCGTGCAGTGCTCGCCTCTCCAGCTCTGGCAGACACGGCCGAGCCAGACACATCTGGTGAGTTCAATATCTGAACAGAATGATCCTCCAATCCTGCATCAGCACCTACATTGTTCACTGAGGGAGGAGAATAAATGCAGGTAATCACTTATGGGGTTCTAGCCAGAATCAGTACTATCCAGAAGAATAGGTGATAGTTATAGATAGTTTCAGCTCACCAATGGTCCATTGAGTCAGCTAACCCATAAACAAAGAAAGCTTGAGGTTCAGCACCGTCCAATCTGGTGACCGCCCTGGGAAGTTTGCTGGATGGAGGGCGGTCGTCGCATGTCTTGTGTCATTCCACCTGCTGAAGTCGTGCCAGTTGAGGGGCAGAGCGGCGGGATTTTGCGCCGCGGACCCGGGAAACGGATCCATCGCCCGGTCACTTTAGCAGAGCCGGCGACCAGACGCAGCAGAGGAGCGACGGGACCCCTGCCACCGCTGCAATAGTCGCCGACAGCCCATTGGCATGCTGGGTCAGGTCGTAAAGATGTTTCCAGTGTGGGGCGAGGACATGCTCGCAATGCCTGCAGATGGGGTACGTACGTTGGATCTGGTGACGCGGGGAGGGCGAATTCATCGAGCTACCAAACCGAATGGCGCGTGATGATGTTGAAGTAACCGTATTACGAATCAGCAGTGGGACAGTGACTCATAATCGTCGGTCCCTCTTATCGTGTACGCTAAGTCAACTACAGTGCGATCAAACGGAAGGTGACACTGGACACAAACGACACTGGGACGGTGGTTTATGCTTGTTTCTGAGCTGCGTTTTGAAAACGGTGGCTGACGCAGCAGGCTCTTCGGTGGTGAAATTTAGCACTCAAAATGGGGACACGTAGTGGTCGTTCCACCCTCGGAAAGCACCAGAGGAATGCGGTTACCCAGTGGTGGGGGTGTTTCTCTGTCATTCATATAACGTTAGGCCGCGATATACACAGCACACAATATGGACCTCGGCGGGCATGATGCTTGCTATGAAAATATCTGTTTTATTTGATTCGTTTCTTATGTACCTACCGCCGCTAGCGCCGTAGCACGGGACGGACATTGTGTTCACGCTGTAGGCTGCCGTGTGGATAAGAGGTTCAACAGTAGCTGCGGTACCATGAATATGACCTGTTACTGTACCTGCTCCTCACACCAACGTCTCACCCTTTCCAGGCATGGCCCGGCTGCTGCGATACACCTGCCACAAGAACCTGGGCAGTGGGGCGCTGCGGCGCGGCCAGCACGAGGCGGCGCTGGCCGGCCTGCTGACGGCTGCAGCCATTGACGACTCGGATGTCACGCTGTGGTACAAAGTGGGCGTGGCGGCATACCGGTGCGGCCGCTACCACCAGGCGCGCTCCGCCTTCAAACAGGTGAGTATGGGAGATGGGAACGGTGGGATGGGGCTGACACTGCAGGGGGCACAGAAGCACAGGTGAAGGATGGCGAGACTTGGAGGCTGGGGTGGATTGGAAGCTGTAAGCGGCTTGTAACGGTAGCAGTAACCTAACCCTGAGTCCTGGTTCTGAATATGATTCGGGATATTGTGTGACAGATTGACATTTAATCCGGTTGACATGATCCCTAAGCTGTTTACTTAATTAGGTCCGTTTCTTAGCTTGCCTTCATGTCGGCGAGTGTTTTCTTACGCTACCATCGGTCTAATTATTACGTTATCGTCGATCTTATGGCAGACGGCCTGGTGCCTGGCTCTCCACCCAGACCCACCGCTGACCATCTCCCCTACCCTCACCAGGGCCTGGCCTGCAGTCCCGGTCACTGGCCGTGCATGGACAGCCTCGTCTCGGTTCTCTACCTGCTCAACGACTTCGAGGAGTGTGTTCTGCGCCTGAGCGCCGCGTTCCGACGCGACCCGCAGTACACGCGCGGCCGGGCGCTTGTCGACCTGATGCTGAAGGAGCAGCCGTCCCTGCGAGACACCATGAGACCGTTCCTGCCGGATGGGTGGGTGGTGAGGAGGAGCGCAGGATGGTGCTCGGGAAAGATGTTTGAGCAGTGAAGAGATATGAGGCTGGCTTCGGGCATTGGAGAGGGATGAGGATGCGGTACGGTCTACGGGTGCCGGGGTCGGCAGAACGTATGAGCTCTCGTGAAGAGTGAGGACTGAAGAGACTAGAAGGTCGTTGCGCTGCATTGAGTGACGGTTGTGAAAAAGCATTGAATGAGGGTAAGCACGAATGACAGTGGAAAATATATTGTCGGTTCAGCTGAGTGCTGACTGATCACCCGCCTTCATTTATTCGACGCAGTCTTGCTTTTTGGTAGCCGACCTCATTCCTATTTAGGTGACTGTTCGGCAGCATGAGTGCCTGCTCCCGCAATGACTGACCTGTGCATTATGCAGAAATGACCTATTATCCCGTCCCTCCCACAGTGACTCGACCCTCTCGGGCCGCGAGTACGACCCGGCGGCCGGCGAGCGACTGACCAAGGAGGCGGTGACGCTCCGCACCCAGCGGCGGGAGCAGCAGCGCCGACCGCGGCCGCTGGCGCCGCTCAGTTTGAGCCGACCGCCGGCCGCCGCCTCCTGGGAGGAGGTCGGACGGAGTCTGCTGCACCTCTACAAACACGTCACCGACGGTGGCGCCGCCCTGGTGAGCGCGCAGGGAACTACGTTTAACGGTGGGCTGGCTGATTTGTTAGGGCATAGGTAACATAAATCATGTTATCTGTGGTTAGGGAAATAGTCTTTTCAGCGAATATATCATTATGTATTGAAAGTCATCATTGTCATTTTACTACAAAATTGATATTTTGCTGTTGAATGCTGACAGCATGTTTCCTTCTTGAATTTTTCTTGTAATTTACACAGTCGCTAACCCTCTAAAGTCCTTGTATAACCCCTGACTCTCTCCCGTTTGTCGACAGAGCCTGCTGTCACCTGTCGAGCTGGAGCCCACTCTGGCTCGGCTACAGCGGGGTGAGGCCGCCTCCCCGCCGCCTCCACCCCCTCCCGATGGGGATCAGCTGGAGCCGCGGTCCGGCCGCGCCGCCGGCAGGCACGTCACCTTCCAGGACGAGGAGAGCGTCCGACGCCGGCTGGACCTGGACGGGATGGGTGGGGAAGAGTCTGGAAATGATAGAGGGAAGGCAGAGGGGAGTGGTGAGGAGAGTGTGACGTCTCGGAGTGAGGATGTTGGGAAGGACACGATGGTGACGGCGATGGAGGTTATTGAGGCGGACCCAGGGGCGAGTGGAGGAGAGTCTGGGAATGACAAAGGGACAGACAATGGCCAGAAGATAGAGATGAGTAGTGATGAGCGCACGGCCGAACGGAGTGAGAGTGTGGGGAAGGACGGGACAGGCGGCAGCGAGTCTGGGAACGACAGAGGTGCGGAGAATGATCGAACGGCGGAGCCGAGCAGTGATGAGCCTACTGGTGATGATGAGAGAAAAGCCAGGACAGTTGAGGTGCTGGAAGCGTTGGAGACTGATCAGGGGGCGGGTGGTGATGCAGCCGAGAGTGGAAATGTCGTGACGGCTGTGACAAAGGGCGATGACAGTGTTGTGACGCCGGCCAGTGTTGTGACATCGGCTGAGGACTTCTGTGCCAGTGATTCCAAGGTTGTCGACACCGAGCGGGTCGAATCGGGAAATGACATTTCTGCCGTTAGCGCTGCCAAGAGACGGGAGGGTAAGCCTGAGCCAATGGACACTGATAACCCTGCTGAGTGTGGCGCTGCGGTAGAGACGCCCGCCGTTGAGGGCGACCAGGTGGCGAGCGCAGAGCCTGAGGAGATTAGACCGACGCCAGCGGAAGGACCTAGGACAGTCGCAACGTCGCCTGAACCGGTGCGTTCAGACGAGTCGGCAACCGCCTGTGATACTGGAAACGTAGGTGATGATGCCGATATGAAAGAAACGACAGAGACTTGTCCCGATAACGCTGGTGTATTGAAGAGTGACAAAGAGCTGGTTGATCCCAGTGAAGAAAGTAAACGAGACGCAAAAGAGACTGTGGAAGGCGGTGACAGGCCAAAGTTGGAGGAATGTTCAGAGATAAAGCCCGAATCGACAGACTCTGAAATGACATCGGAACAAGCGGGAGGTGATGCCTCTGTTGAGCCGCCTGTGCAGGTACTTGAACAAGAGACAGTGTGTGCTGAAGACGTGACTGAGCCTGACGTCAAAAATGATAGGACCACCCCTACCACTCACGTACCCACTCAGCCAGCAGAGGTGAAATCTGAAACTATCGGCGGTCCATCCGCGTCTGAAAAAGACGGCTCGCCAGACGCCGCTCATGAGACGAGTGAGGTGGCTGCAGTGACTGGCTATCAGGCTGGTTCACCGAAGACGAGTGAGCCACCAGTGACTAGGCAGGATGCTGCTGCTGGCTCAGGAGCTGCCGCGGAAACTGAGAACCCATCCCCAGGAGCAGTACCGCGTGCGAAGTCGGAGGACGGCGGTTCGGAAACGCCGTCCGCCGATCGGTCGACTGTCGTGTTCAGCACTTCCAGGCCGATACTCTGCGATTATGACGCATCCAGTGATGATTCTACTGCTGAAACTGCTGAGGTGGTCCGGCCGCCGCCCTCGCCGCCACCGCCCCCGCCACCTCCACCAAAGGAAAGTGATGTCAGTCAGAAGCCAGTGCCCGCGTCTCGCGAATCCACCTCCGGTGATGCTGAGGTGACGGGAAGCGTCCACTCCCCTCCATCAGGTGTGAGTTTTGACGAGTCGTGGCACTCCGCGTTCACAGCCACCTCGGCCCTGCGCCGGTCTACCTGCAGCGACCCAGAGGAGGGTGAGATTCGCTCGGACAGCGGGTCCGCGGATGAAGACGCCGAGTCGCCAGGGCTGCGACCATCCCGAGATGGTAGCAGGAGTGGAGAACAGTCCCGGTTGGATGTTTCCGTACGGGATATTCCTCTGCCGTCTTCTCCGCCTCCACTGCCGCCTGGGTCGCCTCCCGCGCCTCCCCCGCCGCCGCTTCCCCCTCCGCCAAAGACGGCAACTCGTCGTGTGTCCTCTTATGAAGAGGGCGAGCTGACTGACTCAGATGCAGACTCGGACAGAGGTGATATATCGCGGAAAGTATCGGAGGAGACGTTGGAACATCGAGACAGTTTGACGGCTGATCCCCAGAGTGCTGTCAAAGTGGAACTGTCTGACGTGCGGAGAAGCACTGATGCTTCAGGACTTGGTAGAAGTGTGGTTGGAGATGGCCTTGCGACGTCAACACATTCAAAACCATCATTAGCTGTCCCTGAATCAGACGAAGGCAAGCCTGATCCATCGGCTACCGTAGTGAAGTCCTCGGCAGATAGGCCGCGCCGTTCCGGGCTTCTGGCCAAGCTGAAGGGTTTCAGGATTGGGCGCGAATCGAAAGACGGTCGACGCGTACTTAGTCCCGGACCGGACCAGGCTGGCAGCCCGAGCGGTCAGCGAGTGACCACTCCAGAGTCTCCACTGCTCAGCAGTCCAGCGTGTGAGTTAAGCCGCAGTCCGGCAGCTCAGTCCGTTGGCAGCCCAGTATCTCAATCCATCGCCAGTCCGGCGCTTCAGTCCGTCGCCAGCCCAGCCACTCATAAAGAAGTGGAGAGCTCTGCGTGTTCTGCTGACGCCAGCTCCGCTTCTGAGAGGACCGCTAAAGGCGACTCAGGTGGCGCTGGTGGGGATGGTACAGTGGGCAGTGAAATTGGCACTGAGGCAAACCCCCCGGGCGTGAAAGATGAACCTCCTGTAATCAACCCCCAGGCGGGTAAGATAGAGGAAGTGCAGACTGACGTTGGGGTCTCCGCTATACAGCCTGTCAGACGTGTTCTACCCCGCCGGAGGGCACGATCTCTGAAGGAGGCCATATCCGTCCCCAAAACTGGAAAAGAAGTGAAAGCTAGTGATATTACTGCGGCGAAGAATGCGAAGTGTGTCGTTCGTATCGCAGCTGATGAAAGAAGGGCTGCTGAAAAGGCGCTGCACTCGAATACCAAGCTCTCTATCAAGGAGTTGTTTTCAAAACCGAATCGAGAAGAACGAAAACGTGACCTTGGCCTTGCGCTGTCTGTGAACCGAGATCAAGATCAGAAGCCTGCCCCTAGCCCACTCTTATCTGAAACTGTTGCCCAGAAAGCACAAACCCTTGAAGTCGACAGTCCGGAAGCACAAGTCGCCGAAAACGCTCTGAAAACGGAAGTTCCCGAAGCGGATACTCCGAAAATGCAAGTCTCCGAAGCTCATAGTCCTAAGGCGCAAGTCTCTGTAGCTCTTAGTCCTAAGGCGCCAGTCTCCGAAGCTCATAGTCCTAAGATTCAAGTCTCCGAAACTCAAAGTCCCAAGGTGCAAGTTTCTGTAGCTTATAGTCCTAAGGCGCAAGTCTCCGAAGCTGATAGTCCTAAGGCTCAAGTCTCCGAAGCTGCTAGTCCTAAGGCGCAAGTCACCGAAGCTGATGCTCCAAAATCTCAAGCATCTGGAGCCGATGCTCCCAAGACGCAAGCATCGGAGGCTGATGCTCCCAAAGAACAACTTCCCGAAACGGATAGTCCTGCAGTGCATCTCCCTGAAACCGATAATCCAAAAGTGGAAATATTCGAAACTGATCATCCAAATCCTGAGGAGCAAATGGAAAGTGTCGCTGATGACACTCGGCCTGAAAATGACTCCGAACAGCCAAATGACCATTCAGATGCCGAAGTAATTGTAGATAGCTCAAACACGAATGACAAACCCGCTCCGATGGATACGGACCGTCCAGTAGAGGTCAGAGGCGATGGCGCTGAAGCAGAGAAACAATTGCCCACCTCCCCACAGGATGAAGGTGATGATTCTGTGCAGATGTCCCCCGAAACGGGACCGAGTCAAGACAACGTGACTCAGTCTTTAGAGTCATCTGTGTACGAGGAGGAGAATCCGCTTCCTCCTGGCGCTGGTGAGGACGTACTCCCGGAGGAGAAAATGGTGGTAGGATCGCCTGGTATGGACCCGGAGCATACGAAGAAACAGAAAGAAGAAGCGAATACAGCGATAGACCAAGATGTAGACATGAGCGTGGATTGTGCAGACCAGGAAATGAACGTAGATGAAATGGATGATCTGGCGTCTGAAGTAAAAGTTCAAGATCAGCAGGATCAGGAACCGGAGCGCAAGGATAGCGTCACCGTGGACAAAGCTGATGACAAAGTGGAAGAAAATAAGATGGATGGTGACGACGATGGCGCTCCTCAAAGTGAACACCGTGCAGCACCTTATGACGCCGACCTGAAACACCATGCTGATCAGAGCAAGAATGAAGGTCGGGACTCGGTGGAAGAATGCAATCCTAGTGATGAGAGCGCAGCGGAAGAACGCAAGCCCATTGAAGAAGCGGCAGACAAACCGCAAACTGACGTGAAAACAAGCATTTCTAGCGACAAGGAAGGTGGCGAACATCGCGGTACAAGCGGGGAGTCAGGCGATGATTGTGATGCTGACAAGAGTGGTGACCAGGAAAAACAAGGACTTTCTACCGAGAGCGAGCAGCGTGCTGAGAGCGAGAAGAGGGCCGATTCAGCCGAGGAGAGACGCGGTACTTCCACCGAGGAGGGGGAGAGGGACGCACGGGGCAGTGAGGAATCCTCTGGTGAGGAGAGAGGCGCGGAGTCGGGCCGCGGGGACCAGCCAGATCCGACTGACGACAGCTGCGCCGGCGCGGAGACGGCCGGCTCTGCGCAGGCCTCTGACACAGGCGCCGAGTCTGAGCCAGCCGCTCCCGCCCCCGGCCGACGACGGGGCGGCAAGCGCAAACGCAACATTCTCGACTCACTGAAGATGTGGCCGCGTAATGACCCGGCAGAGAAGCGGCGGAGTAAGCGCTCGCGCACGGCTGGAGGTTTGCGCTACGAGGAACCAGCCGGCGGAGATGAGGTGGCCAACCATCGCGAGACGTTCTCGGCGCTGATTCCTGCCGCTCTGCGCTACGACCGCTCCTCGATGAAGATTGGCGAGGCCTCCCCGCGCCGAAAGGCCGCCGATCTGGCCGGGGATGGTGGTGATCAGCCGGTACCACTCTCTGAGGATGAGCGTGACGCCGTGCTGGCCTGGGTGGCGGCGCACGCAGAGAACGGCGGCGCCGTGCGCCTGCTCTGGGCGTACCTGGACATGCTGGAGACCCTCAGGGACCGCCGGTGGCCGAGCGGCCTCGCTGAGCTGTTCACTGAGCTGTACGAACTGGCGCAGCCCCACGCCACTCGGCCAGAACCGTTCGAGCTTGAGGTGACGGCCGACTCGGCGCCGGCTCTGCGCCGACAGGTGCTGCTGGCACTGCTGTACGCAGAACTGCGCGTCGATTGTAGTCTGGCCGACGGCGGCGGCGCTCAGGACCTCCAGCTGGCAGAGGAGGAGCTTTCCTGGCTGGGGTTCCTCGTTCACCGTGAGGATGTGTTGGAGAAGGAACAGCCGGCCACGCTGCTCCGATTCGGCTGGTGCTCCAGCAAGCTGTGTCGACTTCAGGGTGACGCACCGCTGGCCATGGTACAACTGCGTGAGCTGGAACAGTGGTACGAGCGAGCCCCGGCCGAGCGACGACCCACCGTCCGTCTGGCCAACGCTGCCACTGAGCGGCTGATCTCTCAGCAGTCGGTGCAGCGGCAACTGGCCTCGCTGCAGCGCGTGCACGACCTGGGTAGTCTGCAGCGGCTGTACGACCAGCGGCGACTTGAGGACGTAGTGGAGGTGCTGGCCGACACGTTCGGCGGCTCCGGCTCGGCGGTGAAGCTGCCGCAGCCGACAGCTGGCGGCGAGCCGCTGCCGCACCGCAGCCGCCAGCTGCTGATGATGGTGGATGCGCTGCAGCGACTGGAGCGGCCGCGCGGCGAGCTGGCCGCCTACGCCGAGTCGTGTCTGCACGAGGCGCTCCAGTCGTACCTGGCGCTGGACGAGCCGGCCGAGCGGACGTGCTGGGCAGACGCGCTGCTCGGGGTGCTGGCCGCTCTGCAGGCCTGTCTGGAGCGCGGTGACGACTGGATGGAGACGCTGGAGCCGCCGCGCCGCTGCCGCCTCACGGAGAACCTCCTCCACCTGACCGTGCACCAGCTGAACTGCGCTGACGCGATCATCCTGCCTCTGGAGACGGTGACACCGTGGCTGCTGCTGCACCACGCTATCGCCACTGCCGAGCGTAGTGCGTCTGGCTCTGGCCCTACCGGCGGTGGCCGGCCGCGCACCATGCCCGCAGCTCTGCGGTTCCTCGTCGAGGCACACGAGGCTCTGGGCGCCCGCTCGTGGTGCTGCACGGACGGCGGTGCGCTGCTGCTGCGTAGTGTCGACCACTTACTGCCAGCTCTGGACGCCGCTGACGACCTGCCGTACGACGAGCAGCTCCGCCGCGAGCTCGAGCAGTGTTTCTTCTGCCTGTACGGCCACCCTGAGAGGCGGCGCGCGGCGCGAGACCTCCAGGATCACGGTGTTCCGCCGGTGACGCTCACCTGGCCCCGCGCGCAGCTGCTCTACTACTACTTCTGTCCGTGTGAGCTGCCCAGATTCGACTCCTACCGCGACCTGAGCATCTCGGCTGACGACGAGGCGCTGTTCCAGCGTGTCATGGCGCTGGTTCCTGAGGAGAGCTCTCCGGACCGACCGTGGCGCGCGCTGGAGGAGTTTGTCACGGCTCCAGAGGAGCAGCGACCGCCACCGCCGGCCATGCTGCCCGCCACCAGCGTCACCAAAAACCTCTACTACCTTGTGGCCGACTTCCGCTTCAAAAACCGCCAGTGGGAGACGATCGCGCCTCAGCTGGAGTCGCTCGAGTTTTACGCGCGCGACCTGTGCATCAACCCGGAGCGTCGCGACTCATGGGCGGCCATGGCGCTAACACGCGCCTCGGAGGTGGGCCGCGAGCTGAACCTGTGCCGCCGGCCCAGCGAGGACGCACCAGAGCTGTGGAGCCGTGTGGAGGCGGCCGTGCGCTGTTATCAACGCGCGCTGGAACTCGACCCGGGCACTCACGACCTGTGGCTCGAGTTTGGGACGTTCTCCTACATGCTCAACTCGCATGCCAACCGGCTGCTCAGACAGGTCAGTTGGCCGACGGCGATCCCTGATTTTTTGTATTACTTAAATTGTCTGGTGCTCGTTTTGAACGCTGTTTTTGTTAAGATAAATCGTACCTCTTTGGTTTTTTTGTGGTTAGGAAATTCTGTCTCATTCGATAAGTCGCTAACTAACCTGAGAGTTGTGTGTTGTTTCTAATTTTCTTTGTGAAGGACGTGTTGTCCGGTATGGGTGAACATGTAACCACATCATATAGTTAACGACCTTCTCTGACCATTTACCCCGCCTTCACCGTGTCCCAGGAGTCTAGCGGTGACCTGGACCTGGCCACGTTCGGCCGGCTGGAGGCGATCGCCGCGCGGATGGCCGGCCAGGCGGCCGAGTGTTTCCAGCGCGCGGAGGAGGTGGCTGTCGAACAGGCGGCCATGGAAGACGGAGAGTTCTACGACGACCGCTGGCTCCACCACTACATGCTCGGCAAGATCGCCAGCAAAGATGACCAGCCCGTGCAGCGGGTGCTGGCGCACTATCAGAAGGTGAGAGAACGGACGAGCGTAGCCTGGTAGATGGTGTATCAGACTGCTCCCTTGGCTGAGAACTTTGTTGGATTCTTGATATTCCGAACTATTCTTACGACGGATCACTAGTGTGCCAAATGACGCACCGTTCCCTTGCCACCCCCGGTCCAGTCAATCCAATTCTGGTCATCAGTACGGTACTGCTAACCACGCAGTGCTCACGCCCTGTGTTTGTCGTCGCCAGGCTCAGGAGCTGCTGCGTGATGCCGAGTGTCCGCGGAAGATCAACTACCAGTCGCCGCCGCACCAGGCGCTCGAGGCGCTCGAGGTGTACTACCGCACGCATGCCACCGTGCTCAAATACCTGCTGCAGCACGAGCAGCAGCCCCTGGAGGCGGAGGTGCGGCGCGCCATCGTCTGGCACCTGGACGCCATGGAGCAGAGCGCGCTGCCGATGTGAGTTGAATGCGGCACTAAGAACCTCCGCTGTTGAATTTCCATCAGTATTACTGAAGGTATGACAATCGCGCTTCACCTGGCTGCTTGGAGTTTAACCTAACTGCTCCGTGTATTTATCCTCGTATTTGGACATGCTCTTCGATGGCTCTGTTCGATGTATAAGCTTGTTTTGTTTTTTGGTTGATTTCTGACGAGTTTTTCTTCCTGCAGAAAGCCGCAGAATGAGCGTGAGGGAGAGCTGAAGCGGAAGCGCGACCCGTCCTGCTCCGATGATCCGGTGGAGGTGAAGCGACTCAAACTGGACGAGGCAGCGGCCACCTGCGCGGTAAGAGCCCTCTCCACGTGCGGTGACAGACGGGTTCAGAAAGATCAGGTGTGTGACCTAACCTATCCCCGAGTTTTTAACTTTGAAAATTGTTTCTGTTTACCTAGTCGACCTATTGCAGTTTTTTTGCGATCTACCTTGTTCTTTGTACCTTGTAGAATACGAGCTACTTGAGGTGTTCTACACCTGTTTTGCTCGCTCTTTGCTTGAATTTCTTAATCTTCTAAGTAGTTTGACCGTGATTTTGTATCATCATATAATGGTCCTCCTTGGATGCCCACCCGATTGCGATGTTTTGTGTAGGTTTTATTATATTTATTTCGATTACTGATAAGCTCGTTTTCCTGCACTAAGTTCTTTAGATGAGTCGCGACCGTTTCCTTTACGAAATATCGAGTAAAGCTGCCTGACGTGAGGGACGGTAATTCCCGTTCACAAACGTCCACCTCCCCTTTGCAGGTAACTCTCTCGCACAAGATCCTCACGTCGGCGGTATCTGAGGCGCGGGCGCGACTGTCGGGACTCCAGCCACCCAGTGAGCAGGAGGGCCCGGGAGCCGCGGCCGCGACCCCAGCACCGGCATCGACCGAGGAGGGTGCGCCGCCGATGGCTCAGGCTGAGGGAACCGAACAGCGTCCGCCGCCGGCGGGTGAGGGTACCGCTCCGGCGTCTGCCTCGGCGGACAACCAGTCAGCATCGACTCCGACAACGGCAGGGACGGCGTCGGGGGCTACACCGTCGGCGGCACCGGCAGCCGCGGCATCGTCGACGGCGGCGGGAGCCGTCTCTGACGATGACGTGGTCCTGCTCAGTGATGACAGTCGCCCAGCAGCTCCCGCAGCGCCGACGGCCCCGGCGGCGAAGGAGGAGGAGCCCGATCCCGGCCACAGGCGGCTGGTCGCCCGCTGTGTGGAGGCGCTGCACCATGTCATCAAACGGTTCCCCGAGCACTACAAATCCGTCTACAGACTGGCGCACTACTACTACACCAGCAAAACCAACCGGTCAGTCTGTTTGGACAGCTTTATTTGCGTGTAGGGCTGACGCTGAGCTGAATAAGTCATCTTTACTGCGACCAACGCTTGCTTGAATTCAAGTTGACTTGAAAGCAACAACTTTTGATTGTTTAGTACTTCTTTACGAATTCGGGCAAGGTCAATTTTAGTCAAAACAGTATGAATCGGGCTGGAAATAGTCAACAAAGGTGTAAAATTGAACGAGGAACTCCCATGTTTTAGATAGACGCCTTGGCCGCTTATGTGGTCTCAGTTGCTTTGCGCAATTATCTAATGTAACATGTCGTAGGATGCCATACTCGTCCTGCAGTCGTCAGACGTCAGTCACCAGTCACCTGACCCGCCTCCCTCTGATCCGGCAGACACCTGGACTGGGCACGTGACCTGCTGCTCGGCTGTGCCGACTGGCAGACCAAGAGCCACATGCCCACGTTTGGCCTGTTCGCCGAGAGAAAACCAAACAACTTCTTCCACGTGAGTCACAGGGACGGATTGGGTGGCAGCGCTCTGTAATGGCTATGATGTGGGGCTGGCAGGGGTGTTTGGTATTTGGTTCTGATTGCCCTCGAAATATGGACGATTCAGTTCTGTTTCTTGTAGGTCCAGCTGGCCATGGCACCCGAGATTGCACCTAAGACTTTCATTCTTCTTTGTTGTAAAAGACCCTGAGTCGTTTTAACCACACGTTGAGCTGCCTTTCTGCAGACTTTCTGTTAAACGCTGGATATCGACTGTCATCGTGCCCGGAACTTATGCTGCTTCGCTGTTTGACAGAGCAGGCTGTCTGACCAGCACCTCTCCCTCCCAGTGAGCTCAGCCGCCCGATCTGGATATCTATGATCATTGATCATACTGCAGTAATCATGCACTCAACACCTCGCCCTCCCGCTGACCTCACCCGTCCCACCTCTCCCCTTCACAGGGTATCTGGCGTATCCCGATCGAGGACATTGACCGGCCGGGAAGTTTCGCCGCGCACATGTACCGCTCCGTGTCGCTGCTGGCCGACGTGTTGCGCGCCGCGGACGATTTCCGCACGCTGCTGCAGCTCTCCGACTGGCTCCGGCCCATGCCGGACGATGACAAGTAGGTGTCTGGGAGGATGTGGTAGACTGGGACGTGGGCCTGTTTGGTGTAATGTGGTGTCTACCAAGGTTAACTTTGGTTGAATGTTGGTTGATTGCATACAAGGTAATTAGTTCAATGTTTCTTTCTTTCTTTCTTTGGTTTTGGGGCATTTCGGAATTGGTTCAATGTTCAGTTAGACTGTTGATACTTGTGACTAGTTGCACTTACGATCAAAATAGAAAGCCGCGTAGGAGGTCGCCACTGAGCAGTGAAGACTGAAGTGTGAACATATTTCTCACCCTCTCAAGCTCTGGGTGTTAACACTTCATACTGTGGCACTCGTTCACTGGTCCTCGCTGCTGCCTCGCAGGAAGTACCTGCGGGACGCGGAGCGCGAGCAGCTGGCCGGCCACGCGTTCAACATGGGCCTGCAGTGCGCGCGCGCCACCTTCCGGCGACTGTTCAAAGCTCAGTCTCCCGTGTCGGGCACCAGGCGGCTCTACTTCCTCCTGGGCCTCTATGAGACCCACGCAGGGATGCGGCCGCGGCGGAGACCTAAGATCGCGCGGCTGCTCGAGGAGACGTACAAATTGTTCAGGGGAGGCAAGGTGAGGTTGGACCGGATGGCTGCAGTTAACTTGAGTAGAAGGTAAAGCGTGCATGACTCATTGAGAATCTGTCAGTGCGGTACATAATAAGTAACGTCCCGATAAACTTTCAAATGATCTAAAATTGAAGTAAGCTCTTCTCCCATCATGTCCCCAGAATGTTTTTCATGCTGTTTCTTTGTGTCCAGGTTGAGTCGGAGCCGCCGCTGTTGCAGCAGGCCATTTCTTACTGCCGCTCCCAAGTGAACGCCATTCAGCAGGCCAAGATGCAGGTATGTCCAAAACTACTGAGTACTGATAGGTGTACTTCACGACCACTGCGCAGGGTGCCATTGCCAGCTGCCTGTCCTGCCTACTGTTTATCATGTCTTTCGGGCTTGCTCAGAGTAATTGATTTTTCGACAAGTCTTCTAATGGACCACGCGATTTTTGACAAACATCTGCCCTTCCCTCTGTGACATTATGTCGGTCTGTCTGCCAGCAGAGCGCGCCCGGTGGGCCAGCGCCGGTAGCCCGCGGCTCCGGCGGCGTGACCCGCGGCACGGGCCGCCGCGGCCGGCCGCCCCTCTCCGGCAGCCGTGGCCGCGGCCGTCCGCCGGGCTCTGCCACCTCCGTCACCGGCGCCCGGCTGCCGTCCATGCAGGACCAGCTGCGACAGCTGCAGGCGGCGGTGGAGGCCGAGCGGCTGCGGCAGCTGCAGCAGGTGTGGGCCGATCAGCTGGGCAGCCGAGCCACCTCGGTCCAGGCGGACGTGGAGGCCAACTATCGGCGGCTGCTGCAGCTGCAGCGGGCCGGACAGCCGGCGAGCGAACAGAGCAAGCCCGCGCAGGCGCCGGCCAAACCGGCCCAGACACCAGCCATACCAGCTCAGGTCACAGTGGAACCCGTACAGACACCACCCAAGTCGACGGCAGAAGCGTCTACCAAGGCACCATCACTGACGGTACCCCAGCCGGCGGTATCGACAGCTACCAAACCAGCGACTTCGGCATCCAAGCCACCAGCGCCGACGGCTAAGCAGACGGTCTCCGCTCCAGCTCCTATGCCAGCCCGGTCGGCGCCGGAGACTACAGTGGCCAGTCGGACGTTAGCTCAGGCAGCCTCCGGTGGTGCTGACCTGTCCGTGCTGGCGGCGCTTTCTCACGCCGGTCTCACTATTACCACTGTGAGCCAGGAGAGTCCGCCGCCTTCCGTCACCCCCGCGCAGTCCCGACCCACACCGCCGCCGCCGCAGCAGGCCGCGAAACCACGCTTCTCGGACGCGTTTAGACCGGAGGTTAGTCAGACGGCAACGGTTCCAGCGCCGGCGCGATCACAGCCTCAGACAACAGCGGCGGCGCCGACCCGACCGCCTTCCCAGACAACAGGTGCTGCGTCAATCCTCCCGCAGCCGCCTCAGCCACAGACGACAACCAAGCCTCAGTCTCAGCCGACATCAAAGCCCCAGTCTCAGCCGACATCAAAGCCCCAGCCTCAGGCGACGGCCAAGCCCCAACCGCAGACGATATCCAAGTCTCAGTCGACATCCAAGCCGCTACCACAGGCGTCTGCCAAGCCTCGGTTCTCTGACGCCTTCCGGGGAACGGAGAGCGGTCAGCAGCCGCCAGCCGCGCTCCCGGCCCTGCCCAAGTCTCTCACGGTGAAGGAGGTATCGGTGCCAACCTCGTCGGCATCTGTCGCGGCGTCGGCAGTGGCGTCGGCGGCCACCGGCCGGACCTCCGACTCAGTCAGAGTTTCGGTATCACCGGTGCCGCCGAAGGATGGACGGGCCGCGGCTGAGACTCTGCGAGCTGTGAAGGCGACTCCGGGGATGACCATCACTCCGACCAGTGGAGGAAGCAGGGTGACCCCGCCGACCAGCGAGACGAGACCGTCGACCAAAGCTGGGTCGGCATCTGTGGCGACTGTGACGCCGACCAAACCGTCGGCCAGCGCGGCGGCGGTCTCGAAGACGCCGGAGAAGGCGGCGGCTCCGTCGGAACGTCTTCCGTCGGAGGTATCTGTCAGTGTGTCGGCCGGCGGCGGTTCCGTCAGCATCACCCCTCTGTCGACCTCCCGGCCGGCTGTCACCACGGCCGCGGAGACTCCGAGCGTGTCTCTGACTCCAGCGGTGCCGCGGCCCCAGCCGAGACCGGTCGCCAGGGATCGACCCCGTCCGCGGCCGACCGCTACTGCCACCGCGCTGCTGCGCCAGTACCGGAGCCGGCCGGCGCCGCCGCCGCCGCTACCGCGTCTTCCCAGCGGGATGACGGTGACGCCTAGCCGTGCTCCGGCGCCGGCGCTGCCGTCTCACATCTCCATCACACCGGTGTCGGCGGCGCCGCGGCCGGCCCCCATCCCGGCCGAGCTGGCCCGCGCGGCCGCCGGGGGACTCTCCATCACCCCTGTGGTGCCGCCGGTCCGGCTGGTGTCCAGACCGCGACTGGCGGCTCCCTCCGGCCCGCCGCGGCCGCCCCCGCCGCCTCGCCAGTCCTCCCAGCGGCCGGCGCGACAGCCGGCCGTCCGTCAGCCGGTGGTGGCGCTGCAGAAACTACCGCCGAGCGTTCTGCCGTCGCGGCCGGCCGGCGCCCCCACCCAGCGGGCCGGCTCGGCCCGGCCCGCACACTCATCAGCCGGCCCTCAGCGGCCGGCGACCGGCGCCGCTCGCCCCGCGCACTCGGCATCAACCAGCTGGTCGCAGCGGGCTCCGCCAGCCACGGCTGCGGCTCCGGCTCGTAACCGACCTTCCTTCTCAGCGAGCCTGCCGCGCCAGAGGCCGGCGGTGGATATGGGACAGCTACCGGCCTCCATCTCAGTCACCCCCGTAGTGGTACCGGCCCAGCCGCCCAAGCCGAAACCGTCAGGAGGTAGTGATGATGACGTGATCTGTATCGACTGATCTCCGTGAGATGTCCTTCCCGAGACGAAGTCAGGGTGACTGCCAATCGTGCTGTGAACTGTTTTCCTAGTCTTTTTGTTGGCCTTGTTTGTGTACTGTTGTATTTAAAAATGTGAGGTCGTGGAAAAGTAAATTTTGGAATCTTTTGGAGGCTCTGCCAATAGCAGACAATGCCTACCTGTTCAGCTGGAGAGAATTGACCCAGTTGCTTCTTATCAAATTTCAATCGTCTTTATTGTTCTCCAATGGCCAGTCAAGCCACAGGACACATGACTGCAGGCTGCGCCTTGTGAAATGTTTTGTATCTTGTAATATGCTTTGTAATAAAATACTCAATTATTGTTGGTATTTTGATATGATATTGTTGCGGACCAGTAGTCATCGATAAAAAATATCACGTCTGAATGCGTTCCTGTATTTTCATAAATGACAACAGCACACGTTCATCGCTGACACTGCTCAACTTGGAAACATTGATGTTACGCTGCGACCTCGATCCAGCCATACCATAAGAAAAATAACCCACCGTCATCCGTCACGTCTCCCGCCTTGCACGTCCATTCTCATGTATGTCGCCGGCGACGTCCTCACTTTCGGGACCAGGGACGATCGGTGCAGATGAGGTGAAAGTCGGCGATCCTCACAAAGCGTTCACACGGAAAACATTGGCGAGTTACCCGATGGTGAACAAACAGGACCTCCGTTCCACTGCCGCAGCGCGAGACATCCACAATAATGAGACGACCACGTCCAGCCCGCAAAACCGGCTTGTTCCACACAGCCGGTTAGGCCGCAAGCAGAACGGCACGAGAGTCCGTCAGCCGGCCGCGAACCTCACAGCCTGCCCGCCGACCCTCAGTCGAATCCGGCGCGGAGTGCCCGCTCCTGCTCGTGCCGCCGCTGCTCCAGCTGCCGGCTGGTCTCCTCCACCCTCCTCTGTAGCAGGGTCGTGTTCTCGTCCAGCCAGCTCAGGCTGTCCATGTGCGCGTTCAGGATCTTCGAGATCTGGACCATCTGTGAGGCAGAGAGGAACAGTCAGTGGTGGCGCAGGATGAGGGTTATCGCTCACGACTGGATACTAAATATTGGTCACTGAGCACGTATGTACCTGTTAACAAGTCTGAAGGAACGAAATATTTAGTCATTGAAAATGACAATCAAGTATGGATCAATAATCATTAACCCGCGCCCTGCTGGGGGGGTGTTTGAACACCCCCCCCCTTGTGGTTTTTCGCGAATATCTCAAAAACGGCGGCGCGGAGCGCCGCCATTTTTGGTACACCTTATCATACGTCAATTCTACACATGTTGTGAAAATTTCAGACCAAGGTCATTCAAGGTCAGGTCACCAGGTCACTTGAAGTAACCTCACCTCATAAAAAGTTTCAATGTCTGTCATAGCTACACCGAGTGACCGATCGCTTTGAAACTTTCAGCGATTGCTAAGAGCAATAGCATGTACAAAATGTATATCTCAGAATTTTTATATCGATGACCTAAGGTCAGGTCAATTTTGCGACCTCCCCATTATAAGTCAATGGGAGAAAATTGAAATGCGCCTCTTTTGGACGAAAGACATTATAAACACTCCCAAACACCGAATTATAAGTGGTTTAGACACACTGAACATGAAAATGGTGTCCGTGACCCTTGTTTATGCCCTGAGGTCATCTTAGGTCACGAATGGTATCTAGCAGATTTTCGCAAATAACTTTTGATAGAGGCATGCTAGAGCGATGAAAACGCCTTAGATGTGTTCAGCTCGACGATACGGATCGACTGATATGCAACATGACCCTTTCCGGTCAGGTCATGACCTTGACCTGAGGTCAAATTTTCAAGTTGACCTTTTAAGGTCAAGTTATAGTTCATTCGATGCGTCTTGACGAGAGGAACACGATGCCGGTAAAAGTAAGCTCGTACAAGGCTTGGGTCAAAAGTTATTGCAGAAAAACTGTTCACGAAAAAATCGGCTATTTTTGCAGTTTTTGCCCCCTGCAGGCAAAACCGTTGACGTTAGGTCAAATCTGAGAGAATTACTCAGAAAGGGCGTTAATAGGGCTATCGAATGCGCTTTTCCGCGGCGCTGTAGCTCTATTGGTTCCCGAGTTATGCGTTGGCTTCTTGGAAATTTTCGACATTTTACCTTGAAATCGGCGAAATTTTGCCTTCAATGACCTCTGGTGACCTGACCTTTGACCTGAACAAAAAATTGACCGAAGTGATTTCGTCATTATTTTTGACGCTCTTTCGAACGCCGCTTTCCGCGTATCGCTACGTGGCCCAGGAGCCGAGTTACAAGGGGGGGGTGTTCAAACACCCCCCCCCCCCAGCAGGGCGTGGAAATCCAGGACCCCCAGCCGGGCGCGGGTTAATGAAGACTGGTAGTGAACTGAAGTAACCAGCTAAGCATCGTTATCCGCGGTTTTAATAATTGTCCTGATGGCGACCGACCTCTAGCTTTTCCTACACACCCTCGCCTTCTTTCTGTTCCTATGAAGCTCCAGCCGACACCAAACTACCCATTCCTCCCTCACCTCCTTCCCGTAGTAACTCACCGGGTCGTTATCATCCCTGGTCTTGTTGGCCGCGTTCACGTGCTCAATCATCTCCCTCAGATCCTCCGACATGCGCTTCAGCTGGGCGTCAATGCTCTCGGCCAGCTGGTAGGTGTGAGCGCGCTCCATGTCGGCATGTTGAGGCGCCCCGCCGCCGCTCGCCGCGGACTCGACGGCGCGCTCCAGAGGGGTCAGGAGCTCCTCCAGCTCCCGCTGTTGAGTCGCCACGAAGTTGAGCTCGGTGTCGAGGCGCTCCTGGTCGAGCTTGACCCGCTCCACGGCGCTGTTGAGCTCCGTGATCTGACGAGAGAGGTGGAGATTAGGGAGAGGGTGGACAGCTGCCTCAGGTTTGCTGTTGTCCGACTGAGTCTACACTCTACACTTACAGGGAGAAGTGATTTAAGGCCACCCCACACTGGACCTCGCATGCGGGTTGCGAGTCTGCGGGTTTCGGGTTTGCGGGTATTATATTCATTTATGGAGTGAGAACACCATTCTCTCATGCCCACTTCATGAATGCTGTGAAGCCGATACATCTTCAGAAAATTACGTTTTGTCTCAAGAACAGCACAACGAACCTACAACTAACACCAACAAAACACCTCAAAACTCGCAGCCATCGCAGCAAGGAAAGCCGAAAGTTGACTCAAAGTGAACTTCTGGAATGTGAGGCGAAGTAGCTCGCAAGTCAAACAAACACTTGCGGACTCGCTTTTTAGATGGCAGAGTGGGTCGCTTAACGTAGAGTGTATTCTTTAACTTTGAAGAAACCCGAAACCCCACAAACTTGCAACCCGCATGCGAGGTCCAGTGTGGGCGCGGCCTTTAGGCGTGGCGGCTATGACATTAGTTGTCAAAAAAAATCGACTGCAAGAGCCACTTCAATCGCTGAGTCAAGATACATGAATTCCTTCAAGCATAACCGGGCTGAGATGACAAAATATGGGCTAAAGGGCACAAATATCATACGAATGACAAGCGAAACAGCTATCCACTAACCACACGGAGACCCAATCCAGCTGCCAGCTCTGTCACACGTGCGCGCGTACCTTCTGTCCGTTTTTGATGAGCTGTCCATCCCAGGCGTTGACCTGGGTGGCCTGGTTGAGCAGCAGCTTCTCCTGTTCCTCCAGCTCGACCGTGGACTTATTGATGAACTCCTCCAGCTGACGGTAGGTCATCGAGGAACCGGGCGTGGAGGCGCTGGTTCTGGGGGCAAAAAGGCCGCAAAGAACGTGAGCACTTGTTGAGCACAACCTAAACACACTGCTCACCAGAGCCGTGGGATAAAGTCAGCCCAAAATACAAGCATTTAGATATCATACATGTGTCTATATTGTAATATGTAGGTATAACCGATGTCAAGATTGATCCCAGTGAAGATGACTGCATAATGCATATCTGACAGAGCTTATGCATGAAATGTCACAGTCTGGCAATACTGTATCTCCCAGATTTTGTTGTGCTCGCATTCTGATCGTGCCCTACTACACCGTGTTACTTCATTCCGTCCTCACGTGGTGAACATGTCTTGTGGTGCCTCTTGCCCCGTTCTCTTTGTCGTACTCATGTGGTGCCCGTATCACATCGAGCCGTATTCCCGTGGTGGTGGTCGAAACCTGTCGTAACGTGCCGTACCATGCCATACTCACGTGGTGGTCGTGACGTGCCGCCCGTACTATGTCGTACTCACGTGGTGGTCGTGCTGAGACTGGTGGCCGTCGAGCCCTGCGCCGGCTGAGCACTGGCCGTACTGGTCAGACCCAGGCCGAAGCCGCCAGTGCCCGCCGCTGTAGTCGTACCTGCAGGCAGCATGTCGAACGAATGACCCCGTGGACCACACGGCAGCGCCAGATAGGCTATCTCCCGCAGATTATGTCACAACCCCGTCAGTCACCAGGTTGATATCGACTAGATCCTGTTTGATCTATCGATAAACCCGTGTATGCATTTATCTACATGCTCCTCAAACGGCCTGAACGGCAAATAAGCTCGCCTTTGTTCACTAGTGTTCAGCGGGTCAGTGAGGTGTGTCCGTGTGTGCAGTGAGACCCACCTGAAGTGCTGGCCGGTTTGCCCAGTGTCAGTGATCCGCCGCTGGAGGCTGTAGGAGTCGACAGCGAGAACCCTGCAGCACGGAGAGACATCGAGGGGAGTCCCAGGTCAGTGATATTAGGAGGAGGCGGCTGACAGTTACTTCTAAAGGCTAGTAGCTAGCTGCTCGTAGCTGGTGCAAGACAAATGAGGATAAATTGGATAAAACAGGATAAATTGGATAAATAAACAGGATAAAACAGGATAAATTGCGTCCAATCAATCAAACAATGGCATTCAGTTGGTACAAGCATCGTTTAAAGAAGTGGTTTTCTAAGTTAGCGATATCTCGAAAGATCAGTAACAAAAGCAGCTTACCACACAAGGCATGCTAGGTTGGAAGGCCATTACTCTTTTGTTAGTATTTGCTGAATGGAGCTTTAGGACACACCGACACGACATCACTGGTAATCTTAAGTCCATAGTTGAATGACCATCGTTCAAAGCTAGCATTAAACTTACATAATCACAAGCAACAACACTAGAGCCAGGCTGCAGCGACCGGCGTCACACTGGCGTGTCACTCCTGTGGTCGCCGATCACCAGTGGGTCAGGCTCACCTGTGGCCGACGCCGCTGCCGTCGACGCCGCCGTGCTGCTGGCCGCTGCCGTCCCGGCGAACAGCCCGCCCGACGGAGCCGTGCCCAGGGAGAAGCCTGTGGCCGGAGCCGAGGAGGCAGCTGTCGGAGCCGCGCCCAGCGTCAGACCGCCGGCCGAAGACGCGGCCGTCGACGGCACGGACAGGGAGAATCCTCCGGCGGGGGCCGAGGCGGCCGGTGTCGCCGTTGACGTGGCGGTACCGCCGCCCAGACCGAACGAGCTGGCGGTGGGCGCGCTCGACAGGCCGAGGGGCGCAGCGCTGCTCGCTGCCGGTGTGGTACCGAAGGAGAAACTGGGAGCGGCGGTGCTGGCGGCCGGTGCAGCTCCGCCGAGCGAGAGCCCGCCGCCGGAGCTGGACGCTGAGGCAGCCGGTGCGGCGCCGAACGAGAAGCTGGGCGCTGCGGCGGTGCTGGCCGCCGGCGCGGCGCCGCCGAACGAGAACCCGGTGGCGGTGCTGGCCGGGGCCGCTCCGAACGAGAACCCGCCCCCGGAGCTGGCGGCGGCGGGCGCTGCAGGAGCGGCAGCGGCGCCGAACGAAAAGCCGCTGCTGGCGGACGGGGCTGGGGCCCCGCCAAACGAGAAGCCAGTCGAGGTGGTTGACGCCTGGCCGCCGCCGAAGCTGAAACCTTGACCTCCAGACATTTCAGGGTACTTAAGATGCCTGAACAACTTCTTATGTCTGCAAAGATATTTGTAGTGTTAAACATCACTCATCAGAATGTAAGGCTGAAATTATATCATTTACTAGAACTATGCAGCATAATAACACCATACCAGCCTACCAGGACACCAGGAGGAAAATAATAATCCAACTTCTGTATATTCATGGGCTCAAGTTAAGAAATAATATGAAATAAATATAAAATCATTCCCTACATAATTTAGGGGCATGACAAAATATAGGCTAAGAACAATATCTTTCCCAGAGCTTAACAGAACAAAATCGTCTTAAATGCTCATGAGTAACATACTTAGTGGTGCCTAGGAGTGTGTCCAAAAACAAATCAGCTGAGTAGACCATCTGAACTATGATTAGAGTTCAATAATATATTTGTTCCAAATGATTTGCTAGTTGTGTAATGTAGGTACTTAAATATCACATTATGAGCTAATGAATCTGAATTTTAACTTACAAATTCAACCATTCTTCTAAAATTTGGCACTTAAGTATAATCTTTCAATAGATAGATTAAAAGAGCTGGAGCTCATGCTAAGCAGAGCTTGCTGAAATCTGCATAGCGCATAACAATTGTCCATAAATTAAAGAAGTGTTTTACTGTCATCACCAGTACCTACTTGCTATGAATAAAAGTTAAAAGAGGCATTGTTTCAAAAAAGGATAAAAAAACTAAATGGAACCGCAATAGCTTTTAGATACCATGAGACATTGCTGCAAATGACTGGAGGCCAATAGGTAGGTATGATATGACCAGTCCAATAAAAAACTGGCAGCCACAGTGCTTTTAATTTTAAGTTTCCACAACTTAGACCAGCCAGGTAAAAAAAAAGACTGGTGATTGGTGTGAAAACATATTAGTTAGTAGAGCGGGTATTATTTTCAAAAATTGATCAGAAAATATTTTGACTTTTTTACAAGTCTAGCAACATTGTGGGGTGCCTGAAGGCTAAACACTACAGCCAATAACTTTATCGCTGGGAAAACTGGTTTCAGACACCTGCACTATCCGTGAGTAAATCACAAGCATAAAACACTATAGTCTGATAAACCTAAGAAAGAACATAGCTTAAGTACCTCAAAGCACTTAACATGCACTTGGACATTTGAGATAGCCTATGTGTGCTTTAATTTGAGAGAAATTACCTGGCGTATTGGAACTTATCTAACAAACACATGCATCAAAAAACCGTTACAATTTAAATCCGTTCTTCTTAGTTGTCAAACTACAGGAATTACACTGCTTTATTACATTAAAATGCATCAAAAACCTCAATGCAAAAGGGCAAAACAATGAATCACCCCTTGACACTTAGGTACCCATGCTATACCCAGACCAGACCAATCTTTATGATACTTTTCTGTATATTAACACAAATTGAAATATTTAAAAATTGATTCAGGGGAGATACCAAAGTTAATTACAACCTTTATACAACCAACCAACGGCGAAATTACTTATTTATTTTATACGAACTCTGAGAATATGCGCTCTGCCGGGAGAGGCCGCACGCTTCGGAGAGTCAAATTTTCGCTTGTGTTCCTTTACAGATAAATATTCTGTCAGTAGTGAAAATTTAACCAATTATGCAGAAGAATACTGCTTCGCGAACATAAATTTGCTGCTGATATTGTTCTACGAACACAATACATGCTGAAACTATTTTGCCTGTAACGCGCAGTATTTGTAGCAAATAGTTTACGAATCCAGAGTAATGCTACCATATGGAGGGGAAAATTCGCACCTTTTCCCCTACTCCATAGCGAGTAGCACATTCGTGAAAGGGAGCTCCAGCCTCGATTGATGATTGCATGCAGCATGATTGCAAGACCGTTCTTTTGAATTTTTGCAGGTGTAAACGCTATATTCATAAATGATGTGAATATGAACCTCATTGGAGGCTATCTGCCTCTGGCGACCGGCGACCGCGGCCGCCGGCCATGGCCGCAAAGACAATGAGAAAGGACCGAGTCACCGAGCGCTAAATGAGACGGACGATCGAGGTACCTATAGGGATAGGCGGTGCTCCAAGTTGGCTCCATGCCTCACGACGACTGGGCCTTCCGCCCGCATAAATCCGCCGGTTTTAATGAAATGGGTAAATGGAAAGCACGATGGACTACCCGGCGAGTGCACCCAATTTGACCAAATCTACACCTAATCTGCACCAGATGTGAACCAAATGTGTACCAGATGGCCGTCGTGAAAACGGCTATTACTACTTTTTATGGTTCGCTCAACGCCGTTCAAATTCGAACAGGGTGAAGGTGCAGCATTCCGGCTCAGAATATAGGTCCGAAATTCACACGACATGCACTGGGCAATTTTCTTGCTCATAGCTACCACCAGTCGTCCTTTGGGGACCGTGTTTCGGGGAGCGGCCGGCGGCTGTTTGATGAGACGGCGGGGCCTGTCCCTCGCTCCATGACACGGTCGCATGGCTGCGGTTTGCGCCGCACTTGCGGTGATTTCCCCCGGGGACGAGATGCAGGTAGACATGGTCGGCCGACGCCGTGCCGCCGCGGGAGAGCTCAGCTACCCGGCGCTGTGCTGAGACTGCAGCGGGAGGGTGCGAGGTTAGATCCGGCGGCACACCGAGGACGGGACGGTGCGTCCTCAACCTGTATCCGGTCCGCGCCTCCTGTTTTGAGGAGATGTACGGACGGTGACCCGTACTTACCGGGACCAATAGACCGGACCTTTGCAGCAAACTCTGACACGAGACACTGCAGTTCAGAAACGGATGACCTTCCCGTCTCCGCTCTGAAAATGGAAAGCCCGGATAAAGCACCATCAAAACCAACCAGAATGGCCGATGTAGCTTGTCATTTTTTGACGTACGACTCTATAACTATGGCTTTGGTGTACCGGGTGGCCCAGAAAAAACGTTCCGAACTTTGGAGGCCTATATATCAAATTCGAGTGCTAATAACGAGCCAAAATTTTCATCAAGTTTGCGTCATTTCTTTGCGCATTGGCATGCCAAATTAAATCACTCTACCATCATTTTCAAGCTGGCAATCTTGAGTTGAATCAAGCAAGACGTTTTTGCTTTTTTTTGCCGATGTCAAACGATAGTGATGTTTGGGTTAGACGTCCCATGTTATAAAAAAAGAATAAAAATAGAGCACGTGAATGAAACCAACACGGATGTTCTTATTTTAAATATTTTGTCTCACTTATGTGCCAAATATTCAAATCTGAGCCAAAATGGTGCTCATGGATGCCATTCGTTTCGACACCAAATCATGTTTCGAGCAGGAGTGGCACGGTGCATGGATTACTGCTGACTACCCTCCTTGCAGTAGATCAAACAATAAAACGAGACCGGATAAGGGAACAAACTATGTAAAGCAGACTGATTCCTGTGCCAGAAAACCACAGAAAAGCTTATGAAAAACAACACTGCCAGCAGATGACAAAAAAAAACTGGTTGAAAAGCTACCTTTTCCCAGGAATGTCAGCCAGGAAAGCATTTGAGCTACAAGCTGGTTAGAAAACTGGAAATTTCTTCCGATGCCGCTGTCACAGAGCCATCGTCGTTGCCTGAGGAAATGTGTCATCCTGAGACCCGAACCATCAATGAGACTAGCTGCCAGTAGAAGTCATGGCTCTAGGCCGCGGTGCCGCGGGGTGAAAGTGACCCGTTCACTCACATTATTTAGTAAACATCGGAGCAAAAAAGTAATTTTTACATGGCATGCTTGAAACACGAACTGTTTAAAAAATAATTTACCGAACACCTTGAAAATCACACCATTTACTCAAAATGTGTGCCGCATTGACTATTCGAAGTTTCGATGTTGTATCTATATCACTTTCTGAAAAATATTGATTTAAATTTGGGAACGTTTTTTCTGGGCCACCCGGTATGTACGGACGTATGGTCGCTGTGCTCCATTTGTCTCCCGTCTCCGCTGTGTCGCACCATTTCGCTTTTTTTGCATCCATAGATGCAAAAAAGTATACTTACCTATTGTAAAAATATTGATTTGTTAGCAAAGACGTGTCAATTTATTTATTTATATATTTATTTATTTATCTATAGATTTGTTTACCTATTTTTATACACGACAATAAATATACAAAATAGTAGGTAAGTATGCTCACCAATTCAAAGATACCTAAATGAAACCGTGCGCATTTTTTCAGTCTGCAAGTGTCGTGAACTGGGTAGCTTCCGACAAGTGACGAGGTAGCGGGTAGCCTGGGCTGTATTTTACTTAACGGTTCGGATACTGCATAAACATACGTTGTTATTTCCTCGTAAGCGTTTGTAAGGCTCGTCAACTTCCGTCCTCAATCTGCATATCAGCCAGGGCACCCCTGTTTTGCGCAAGGGCAGCTGGATTGCCAGATGCATCGTTCGGTGGACAAGACGCAGCCTGGTGTCTGGTGGAGCACAGCATCTAAACAAGGATATCCGCAGACCCGAGCTGCCGGCACCGAGCTCGCAGTTTGCACCCGTTCATCTCAACATGCCTTCCGCTACCTTACCTCGGCCCTTCCCAGCGGCCAGCCCCCGCCTCCCTCCCACATCCAATCGAACGTTATCCATCGAAAGACGGTTCACTATAGCATGGCCGTATTCATGTATAACATAAATTCACCCTAAACGCACAGCGTCAGCCGTCAGACCCGCTCTGAGCTACGCTCTCATACCGGTGCCCCAAACGCGGCGCCTGCTGACTTCTCCCTGTGACGAGTATATACCTACCTACCTGCTAACGGACACGGAAGTCCGAGACCGAATATGGAACTGTCAAACACCAACCTGACCCTAATGACTCACGGGATCGGTGTCCCCTCGGCTCACCGTTCTGTGAATGATCAACAACTTGCACCCTACATCGGCTGCTCTCACCAACCAACCGGGAAAGTCCCAAGCGTTAGCCGGTAGTGGCGCCGTCATTGCCTCCCCCCCCCCCCGGTGGGAGGGTCAGTGACCGAGGTCTATCGCAGTTTTCACATGACTGACTAGTCTACTATGCATTTCAGACCCCATGAGATCCTGTTTTTCGGCGATAATTTATTTAATATTTATCCAATTAACCTCAATTTTTCGCAAAGCACATTTCAGCTCAAGCGCCAATTTTCGCTAATATAGTCTCTTAACAAAATATTAATTGTTAGGGTACTTGTCGTTGCCTCGTAATGTTAAAATCAGCTCCGTAAATCCGTCAGTGGAGTAGAGGCTATCCGTACGTAGGCGTGACGTCACAAGCACGTGACCATTAAACTCCGCCCTCCCGGCGGACGGAGCGGTGACCTTGGCCGGTCAGTCGGATGCGTGGAGCCGGCGCGGCGGGGCAGTAGCTGCCAGACCCAAGGCCGTATGCCGGACCGGGGCAGCTCGCATTGGACGTGGCTGCCTTGCGGTTGCCGTTGCAGTAATAACGATACAGCGGAAACTAGCGCTCGTAATTAGCGCACTAGCCTTCCTTATTGCATTTATCGTAAATTAACCTACACCATGTCAATCAATAAAGATATACGTACTTTAATACTGCTACAAGCTCAGTAAGCTCAGGGCCAGTGGGCAGTGACTGCATTTTTGCTTGATTGAACGTCATTAAAAAAAAAAAACGTTGATGTCAATTGACTGTGAACTGGTGCAAGACGTCGGTCAGCTCAGCCTACGTCAAATTTGCAAGACATGTTAAACAGTTACACCGTAGCATTTAAGAAGTGTGGTTGCAGTATGAAATATATTATGCTTATGCGTATGCTTGAGATGGATTCATGTGATTGCGGTGCAACATGAACACCTTCAGAACTAACCCATTTTATAATTGGCTAGACTGAAGTCACCGGACTGACTTGACCTCAGGCTTTCGTGTTGAACTGCAAATAATTAGAATATCTGTAAGTAAGTACTAAGTAGCCTACTGCCTCATTATTAAAGGGCTTGAAAAGTTACTTTAGTTTCACAAAAAGGCGCGATTTCTTTACTATAGCCTATGGGCTTGTTTCCCTTATTCTGTCACATTTCTACCATGCGCCATAAATCGCACATCACATTTCTGCTCCCTTCTCAACGCTTCCCGAATTACGAACACAGCTCGTGGAGCGATGTCAGGCAATCGGAAGTGCTCGCGACTCATCATCTACTCTGTTTTTTTTTTTTTCTGCATAGGTATAACAGCGTCTTCAGAAACAGCGATTGACGCAGCCAACCATATCGATATTTTCGAGTAGTGCAGAGGCTTCGCATGTCATAGGTGACAGAACAGTGACACGAACTGACCATGAGATAAGCGCCAGAATGTGCATTCATTCAGATATTCAGATAGTGCACGTCCTATTCCAACAAAAACAACAACATATAGTGCATGACTCAGCTCTCTATTTAAGGCTGGTTTTGGGGAGGTTGATATCCTCATGATGATTATTCTTCATATTCTGAGCTGGATCGGTGTTGATATACCAAAAAGAGAGAAGCGGTTACCAACTCCCCAAATGAAGAGCAAGCTTTCGCTCAGATACTTCCTGTCCATTCCATATACATATGTTTCCAGCGCGCAGCCCCCGTGCGACCCGCTCGCGGTGCTGCCGCCGACTGAGCGGGCATAGACCCAGCGTGGTCACCGCCAGTGGGCGGAGTTTAGTTGGGCCCGGCGCAACGTGATTGGCCAGCTCTCCCATCCAATCCGCTGCGGTAGCGAACGAGCCTCTATCCGGGTGCAAAATCTTATTAGCATTACGAGCCTATGACAAGTGCTCTACATATTGATATTTTGTTAAGAGACCATACTGATGAAAATTGGCGCTTGAGCTGAAATGTCTAATGTCAAAATTTCAAGCCGATTAGACAAAAACTAAAGAAATTATCGCCGAAAAACAGGGTCTCATGGGGTCTGAAATACATAGTAGGTCTCTGGTGGGAAAAATATAAATCGTTTGTAAATCGTTTGCAGATAGTTCTGAAGCAGGGCATCGGCATACGCATGCGGGAGTGCAGTTTCGCCTTGCAGCCGCCGGCCCTGAACGAGCCTTCGGTATTTAGGGCGGTCACTCCTAGACAACGCGGTGGCGGTTCATATCTCTCTCGGTATGGATCGCTTCTGTTGGTTCTTTCGGAGAGCAGGCATCGATTCATTCGGTGGTTAAATCTGTGCCTGCATTATCTATTTCAAAGCCATTGCCTGCATCTTCAATCTTCATTGACCAACGAAATGCAATTCCTATGCATATATATGCAATTTGCTAACATTCATTTGACCGCCTCAAAAAAAATCACGGATGCCAGTTTAGCCTGTGACGGCTAAATAACGTGTTTTTATATGCATCATTTGATTTCGCATAATGTACCTAATATATACTTAGTTACCGATGTATGTAGCGACATGATTTAAATCGATCGTCTCTTGCTTTCTGCAAAATAAATGGGAATTCACCACAGGTTCAATTCTTACGACGCGTCCGTCCTCCCGTCTGTCCGTCTGTCCGTCTGTTCGTCTGTCCGTCTGTCCGTCCGTCCGTCTGTCCGTCTGTCCGTCTCTCCGTCTCTCCGTCTGTCCGTTTGTCCGTCTGTTCATCCGTTCGACAATCCCAAGTTATGCCGTCTTTTCGAAGCGTGATCTGTGTGAGGCACAGCGCCGCTTTTTCAGAATGGTATATACGGTGAGATCAATTTACCTTCGTATCGAGTCGTCAGTAGTAAGTCACAATGCGCAACGTTTATCTTGGTAACACGTTTCTGGTCCTGAAGAATAAAGCGGTTAAAACACATTTCAATCACAGTCGGCATAGCGCACACGTAACGGTGCCTATCATTTATTTAAGAGATCAAACAATGACAATAGTTACTATAGTATATCCGTGGTATAGGTACTGTCTAGCCTTATGGGTAATATTTTGACACTGTTTTATTACTTACTTTGCGGGACAAATGCATTCCTACGGCAATTTGGCTGATGCAGGGAGTCGAAGTTGATGGTCTGTAATGTCACCAAACCTATTCATGCCAGCTTATGACCGCGTTAGTGCTCGGGGTGATTACGAAAGCGCTGAACAGACCCGTACCAGACCTCCTTCACCCTCCCCTCCCGTCCCAAACACGCGGTCTCGTGACCAGCAGACGCCGTGGCGACTGGCGACGGACGGTGTCCCCTGTGAGCCCGGTGATGATTCACGCCGGATGTGGCGGGTCGGTCTCGTGACCAGCCAGCCGCGTCTTCAGAGCCCAGGGATTGGCCGCGCCACGACCCGCCGCGCCGGGGCTGCAGGGTCAGTTGGAGAAGGAAGGGGGAAAGGCAAGTTGTCTGTGCTGACGCGCATCGGTATTCTTTACACTATAGGTGCTTTTCATATTTATAATATATAAGATACGGAACTACACACACATAAATATTTTTTTAGAAATATCTCCTCTTTTGCCATCATACTTGCATAAATGGTAACATAGTGTGTGGCAACGGCGAAGAAAATACGTATAAAAACAAATAAAATGCGAACAGGGATCATCTAACGATCGAAAGAAGTCACATATACAACCAAGGATAAGTGGTTGTTTTGCGCTTTAACACCAACGAGGTTCATGTTATATCTTCACTTCCCTGCTATACTCGGGTCCCGTCGCCTGTCTACATGTCCTCGCATTGACCCGATCTTCCGATAAGCGCTTATGCAAAAACGTATGTGTATATGTTCCTCGAAGGTAGTCAATAGATCGGCCTTGCGTCCAGGTGACGTTGTTTCGTCTGTCGACACATATCTATATGCCATCTCCGTCCCGACGCACGATGTCGCTGTGCCGTATCAATCACCAGATCGGATGCACGAGGCCCGCACTGGAGGGGGGGGGGGGGGGGGGGGGGCACTCAGCGCGAGGTGCAGCCGCGCGGGCACGCGAGGGGTGCTTGATTTGGGGCGGGCCGTGCCCTATCGCTGGACAGAGGGCACCCGGGCTTGCGCAGGGTAGTCAAGCTGAGCCACACCCGTGCCTAACACCAGATGGATAATGTACGGAAGGACTGGCGGTCAAGGACCAAGGTGACGGCTTTCGGTGACGACTGACTGCCCGCGGCATGATCACTGCAGGTGTGAGGTGGGCAAGGTCATCAGGACACCTCCGATGCGATGCATCTAACTTTTCTTTTAAAGAGCATGTTTTTTTTTCAGTTTCTACTGCCCTCGTGCTTTGTTTTTGTGTTTTAGTATTTCGGTTTGGTATATTATTTCAATTTAATAACTTTTTTAATAAGAATAAGTTAGGTATTTGTTTCATATTCCGGAAAATCATCTATTTAAAGTTGTACGTTACCTAAGCCTTATAGTTTGGAAGTCTGATTATTACCTTTATCCTGTACCGTCATAATTTCTTTACAATCTAACCATGTTAAAATATACTTATTTTCGGGAAATGTTTGCCTTGCCATCAAAGAAGGACTGTGCACTGCTATGCAGCAGTCTGAATCTCAAGGAAGGAGTCTTCAAAATATATTCAGTCGAATGAATAATAATTCTTATTGGCCTGTATTTGATGTCTGAATTAATGCAACAGCTATACGAGACATAACCAATTTGTTAAACGTTTACTATCAACCTACTATAAACGTTTACCTACTGCTGTTTTTGATAGACCTTTGATAAACTGTGGGCACCTAGTGGCCGTAAAACACAACAGTTCCGCGTTACTGGATACTTTTTGCTTATTGCATGCAAGACGTGGGCCAATATTTAACACCGCTATATGGTGACCGATGGATGACCATCATCATCCCGACCGAGGACATGGCCATTTGACGTTTAAAAAGTTGCTGAACGCCAACCTCAACGTTTAACGCTTAAACGTTTTAGCGTTTAACGTTTAGCGCTTAACAAATGTGATATGTATCCAGAAACTGTTAACATTTACACATCAGTTGGGTGGTTACTGATAAACGTTGTTTTTATTCTGGCACCGTTTACGAATGACGAAAAAGGGAATCCAGATTCGCGATCGAAGGGATAAACGTCTATTTTCATTTATGTAAAATTTGATCAAGCTAGGTAATATTGGCATTCAGACTGTTCAAAGTCAAAGTTCAAGCAAAATACAATTTAGTCGAGAAAGAAGTCAACTTTAACATCGCGGCTACATCGTACGAAAATTGTTGCGTATTTACGACTTACGATAAGAAATGGTTCATGATTGTCTGTTGGGGAAACACTAATGTCTCGCTACGGTTTAAACTTCATTTAAAGTAGGACTGCCTTTAGCATAAGAAATCAGAATTACTTAAACGAATGCGTTTGGGAATTCTAATGATGCCTAGTGCATCCTCGTCTTCATTCCGTTCTAATAATAAAGGAACTCTAAGAACCGTTTGAAAAATGACCGCATTGTTTTTTTCGGTCACTGATTTCCGAAGCATAATTTGCTTCCTGAATGCCATTTGTCGTTCTCGTCCCGTGCCGACCGGTGAGACTGCCTTGAGACATCAGAATTTCGCCCACCCCTTTCGGCCCCTACGGTAAAGGTGCGGCTCCGCCGAGTACAGCTGCACTCGGCACCCCAGCAGCCAAGGCCGCCCGCCTCCTCCGGTCGGCGGCCGCTAGGGGCGCTGGTGTGCGCGCGCGCGCAGGCAGAGCCGCCGGCCGGCGAGAGGGCGAGAGCGCGACACCGGCCGGCGCAGTCGCCCGGCGTCCGTGAGGTTTGGAGCTGCCGTGGCGTGGTGCTGCGCTGCGGACCCGCAGCTGCTGTCCGGAGAGCGACAGAGGAGCTCCAGCAGCCGGACAGCGCCGAACAGGTTAGTTCTGCGGTCTGACAGTCGACTGTGGCCGGCTGGCAGTGGGGTTCTCAGCAGGCGGTCCCAACTCCGAACGGTTCGCCTTCACACCGATTACCGGCCCGCGCCACCTGAGTTCAAACCGTCGCCAGCTGGGGTGCCGCGCCGTTAGAAGGCGCCGGGCTCGCCACAGCAGAATCGACAGTGTGCCAAACATAATCTTTGGCTACCAGTGATTAAAGTTCAGGTGGTGTAGTGCGATCAGGTTTTGGGAATGCTTGCAGTGCAGGCAAGTAGGTAACCACCAGCGGCCATGATGGCTGAGATCGCCGACGTCAGACGTGACGACGCAGACGGGCCGCCGCCTTTCCTCCATGGCCGTTTCCAGGTGCCTCTGGCGTGCGCCGCCGCCCCCCGGGCCGGCGCCGCGCCGGTCGAGCAGCCAACGCCCTCGCCGGCCGCCGCCGCCGCACGCCGGCCGGCCGACCGGCGAGGGCGAGCCGACCGCGCCGACCGCTCCGCCGTCGATATTGATTTTCACTCGATCGGGGGGCCGCGCCGCGTCGGGTCGCGACGCGGGCTGTTCACGCTCCGTTTTGGCGTTGAGGGTGGCTCACTGCGCGGATTGACAGTGAACCACGCGGGCTGGGGCGCCATTGCGAACATTCCCGAAGTGTCGGTGGAACGAAGCGTCCCCACTGCGCTGCCCGCACCCGACCGCGGCCTTGGTGATTCCCAACCGTGAACGGTTACCGAGCGGTTAGATGGGGATGGAATTTGGTAGGTACCTACAGGTGCGGCGAGGTGATTTGATTTGAGATCTGATAAGTTGTCCCACTCATATGCCTGCCGAAAATTTGTTTCACGGCGAACTTCAAATCAAAGTCGATCGCAGTCTGGAGATCAGGCTAGAGTTTCCGCTTGTGACAGGCTGACGGTTGCCATTTACTTGTTCTGACTTTGAAGTTCCCCAATGTAATTTGACATGCTGTGGAATGGAATCCCTAACTTCACTGTGGGCGGTGGCTAGCTCAGAAATGTGTGACCCCGTTGGCTCGGGAGGTAGCCTGTTGGGCATACCGGCCAACTCGGTCAGAAATCTCGGGCCAAACATCGAACGGCGGCGCTGGGATGGCGTCGAAGTGCCTCTGTCACGGGAGTCACTTTATAATTCAACCCTCCAATCCGTCCCGCTCCTCTGGCCCTACATTATGATCGAGCTGGATCGGGAAGCCGGACGTTTTACGGCCCCATCGATTGCGTGATCAATGCACGACATCGATCCTTCCTCCCCTATCACCGGTGTGTGCCGACGGCTGGTGAGTTTCCGGGTGCACTGGATCTATGGAATGTCGTCTTGCGTGCGATGTACCGCCTCGTTTTGCCAAATTTGGATGGTGCCTGCTTCCACATGGCTCGTGACTGGCAAAGGGGCCGGGTTTCCGCGATGGCCGCGGTGGCGGCGGCGGCTGGGTGGCCAACTTTCCTCGCCCAGTCGGCCGGCCTCGTTCGGCCGTATCTGGGAACGCCGCGGTGGTCGGCGCGTGGTTTGTGCCCAATGCCGCTGGATAAAACCTCACGGCGGTCACCGGCGCATCTGCCGGCGGTCGGGCTGCGGCGACATATGATCAGCCCGCTGTCGTCTGTCGGGCCGTTTGACGTGGAACGATCGAGCCACCTCCTTCCGCGCTCGACAGCCGTGGAGACCGGGTCCGCCCCGACGTCCATTTCCCGTGTCTGGGCCTCGCCGGGGCGACGCACTTCCTCACCCGCGGGGGTGGCGACTGGCGAGCTTCCTTCCGCGCGAGTTCGGTTCCGGTTCCGCCGACGCTGTATATGGCGGGCTGTCGCAGACGGCGTCGTCTCCTGGTAGAAGACGCTGTGTGCAGCCGTCGTCGCTCCCCTTCCGCTGGAGTCCCCTTTCTGTTGGAGGCTGGTGCGGCTCCCACGTGACTGCGCGGAACATGTTTTGCTCAGCTGGAAGTTATGTCGGTCGTCCAGCGAGGTCACTTTTTGTCCCGGAGCTACTCAGCCGTGCCTCGGACAGCAGAGATTCGTACGGTGCTGCGGAAAATGCATAAACATACAGCTATTTTAGCACGGTAGATTGTTCTTCCGCACATAAATAACCGCCCCTCTCGCACTAAAATAAATCGCCTCGATTGCAATTTGCATGGCTAAAAAATTCAACGCCGCCGCTTAGCGGCATGCGAAAATATCTCCTTTTGGAATTTGGAGTCTCCAGGATCCACTTCTAACCTTTTCACCTAATCCTGAAAAGCCATTCTACCGTGTCAAGGAAAAACATAGTAAGCGCCAATGTAAACAAAAATGAGTTAGAGATGCTAACGGGGGTTTTCGGGAACGACGGATTCGTTTCTGGTATCGCTTTTTTCATAACTTTCTCCAAAACTGAGATATTAAAGGGGTAGAATATAGCAAGTCCAGTGGCGTCTTCGGTTTGACAAAGAAAAACACAGCATGTGACAAGTTGCTGCATGCTAGGTTTTACCTCGACCAAAGAGACCTGAACATCCCATTTTGCGCTGATGTGCATTGTGATAAAGTGTCGCATACTAGGTTCTCGCCCATTCGCGACTTCCGCGCTTTAGGAAGCCCACTCCCCTGGTTGGGTCTGTCTGTTACTGCTGGCTACATGAGCGAGCTTGATGGCACATCAAGGTTGATGCATGTAGCAACTTGATGTGCTCTAGAAAACCTAAACTTCGCTTCACCGCCCCGGAGTCCCTATTGCAACTTATCAGTGGGAACCCCGATTTTTGAACTGTGGAGAGCCACACTGACAAACTTTCGCGGTGTCCTTGAGCGGGCCGACATCTGCTGCGTGTGCCGAGCCGCCGAGCCCCGGTGGTACGAGTGGCAGGGGTGCCGGATCCAGTATCCCTGCACCTCTTCCTGACGTTCCCGAGGAGTTCCTGAGGGACCCAGTGTAATCTACGTCTGCCTCTGCGATACCGAATGCGTCTAAAGAGCACGATATTAGGGTGTGTGAAGTGCGTTAGTAGGCTAAACTATTTTGATTTGGGTTGTGTTGAAGATAGCGAGAGATACTGATGCATGCCGAGGCACTGTAGTCAGCCAGCATGATGATGAGATGGCGTACACTGCAGATATGCAGGTGTAACTTCTAAAAAAAAGACCGTGGCCCTGTTGACGGGACCTGCGGTAGCTGCGGGCCTGCGGCTCGGCGGTCAGCCGCGGGATCTATGGCCACGGGTAAACACCGAGCTGCAGCTACGGCAGGTGCCCGTGAACAGCACTCGTGAAAATCACTTCTTTATGAGCCACCTGGTCCATAGGCGTAGGAACAGGGGGGGGGGGGGCGGAGCCCCACCCACTTTTCAGCCTTTTTTAAGGAAAAATCTTCATTTTTTGATTTAAATACAAAACTAAGAGCAGGAAATGGTTCAGCAAGGTAAGATGAGCACAAAACTACAAAGAATTTCTTCATGGGAGCATTCTTGAAATGACCAGAAATGACAACTGTTTCAGTTTTGTTGACAACCTATTTCATAGATAAAGCACATCTGGCACAGAAAAACGTAGTAAGTAACCATGCTAGGTTTTCCCTCTTCGTCCAATGCCACAGCTAATCTAGCAAGTCCACATTTACATTATCGGTAAGCATTTGAAAAATTTGGATAGCATTTCTGAATTGCGCACATAAAATACATATAGAAACACTATTCAGGTTGATGCATGTTATGCGCATTTGCTTAGGCTAGCACACGTTAACGTTTCCTCGTTTTTCTCCGTTTCGTCACCTTGACACTTACTAGGTTCTTCAAAAATAGGGTAGCATTCCTCATCACTGCACCATCTACACATTAGGGTATTTACCAGTGCCGTAAGATGTGCTAAGCTGAGGCCTCTTGCACCAAAATACCTAGCTAGGTAGAATCGGCAAAATACCTACCTAGTAAAACTACCTACGGCGGTACCTTCTCTTGCACCATCCTACCTACCTACCTAGGTAAATTTGACAGCTCGCGTTTTTAGGATTTGTTTTGATTGGCTGTTTGGCGACGAATTATTTGTGGGCGCAAACAAATAGTAACTAAAGAAAACAATTAAATGGATATTGTTTTTATTAATATACATTTTGGTATTATGAAATCATTTTTCATTTACGTAAATACCGATAGAAGTTATTTTGATATTAAATTACTTAAACAAATAAGCTTCGTTTCCATGGCAACGAGTGAGTCTTCAACCTGGCTGTTCTGCTACGGAGGTTCATCGCCTTGGTACGGAGAAGCACCTCTGTGAACCCATGCAGCATTTGGTCAATTATATTATTATTCACTCGTAAAACATTGATTTATCATTGTCTAAACATTTTGTAATGCCTAATTTACATAAAAGTACCCGTGGATTATCATGTATTGTGCCTATTGTTACTAACTGAATCATTTTACCTAAGGTTTTGCTAGTTATTTTGGAAGCCCGCGTTTACCGTCAAACCGTCAAAAATTTCTCCGCGAGTACTTCTTTCCGGCTTTCGGTGCAAGAGAAAAACAGCCGGTCGCAGTTTAACAACTGGTAAGTTCCGACGCCGCTCGGTAGAATTTCTAGGTAGATTTTCACGGTAGCGTTTTTTGGTAGGTAGTTTGGTGCAAGAGAATTTAGGTAAAATCGGAATTTACCTAGGTAGGTAGTTTGGTGCAAGAGGCCTCTGGTCACTATTTACCGATAGCCTGGTTTGGCACCCGATGTAGGTATGTACGAAGGCTGTCCACGGCCTGCTCGCCGGTTTGTATCGGGCGCTATCGTGACTGGGCCGTGTTGATTCTGATAAGATTGGCGATTTGTCCTCCACCGGCGTATATGTAACGGAAGTTAGCCCACATTCAGCCCACATTCGGCCCAGCCCAGATTGGGGCTGCCAAATCTAGGGAAAAATCTAGAAATCTAGGGAAAAATCTAAAAACCGTTTTACACCTAAACGGCTGGACGAAACTGAAAAATAAGACCACCATTTGAAAGATCTCTTTACCCCG